TAAGGGTAGTAACTTACAACTTTTTACTTGAAGTCAGAAGTGGTTAGAAGCTATCAGAGTAGAAACTATTTAAAACTCACTAAATTATACAATGCTAGTCCTACTTGTTCACCTCCAGACCCTGTCTCCTCTACAGCATCGTTCCTAACCCAGGCGTGCCTTTTCGGGCTCTTAGAGCACTTACCATTGATGCTGTTCATTTGACACTTGGCATGTGCTATTTTGTACATGTCCTGTCTCCCAACCAGAATGCAAGGCCTTCAAAGAGTGGCAACCAGTAAGCATACAACAAAAGCTTGCTTAAAACATTCTCGTGGAGGGCTGGCCCAGTGGCCGAGTGGTTACGTTCGCGTGCTCCGCTTCGGCAGCGCAGGGTTTTGCTGGTTCGGATCCGGGCGTGGACATGGCACTGCTCGTCAGGCCCATGTTGAGGCGGCGTCCCACATCCCACCACTAGAAGGACCCACAACTAAAAATACACAACTGTGTACTGAGGGTGCTTCGGGGAGAAGAAGAAAAAAAAAAGACTGGCAACAGACGTTAGCTCAGGTGCCAATCTTTTTTAAAAAAAACATATTCTTGTGGATAAGATGGTGAAAGAGGAGTTGGAAACAATGCAGCATCCTTAAAAAATAAGACTCTTGGACTTGAGTTTTCTATACAGCTGCAGTTTTAAATCCACGGATACTCACTGAAACTTTAAAACCATTCTAAATTGTATTCCACGCTTTCTTGCTTTCTTAGTACTCTGGCCATGCTTTATACATTTCTTGATCTTAAGCACAATTTAACTTTTTATTGTTGAGTGCAGTCAATCATTAGGAATATCAGTCATGGTACAACTGTGGATACATAACGTGTGGGATTCAGAACCTCAGCTATGGCCCTGAATGAGTCTTTAAGAAAGAAGAAGAAAAAAAACCCCTAGCATCTTCCCCCTTTGGCACTGACCTCTTGTTAACTCTCAGCAGCTATTCACACGTCTCCTCCTCCACTTTCCCACTCTCTCCACCCTCTTTTAGCCCAGAATTACACAATGCAGAGCTGTAGGACTGATACATTTTTAGTGGTGATACTGTGAAAAATTACCATTTCTCCAGATTACAACAACCTTCCAGCTTGTTTTTCCACTGTGGCCTCTCTGCTCTGTACCTGCTATTAGCTGACCTCATCACTGCTTCTACGCTAGAGAGAACACAGCATATGGTGGAGGTAAGAGCATAAACTCGGGAGCCAGGCAGCGTGGGTTCAAACCCCAGCTTGACATTTACAGTTGAAAGTCCCATGACGAGTTACTCAACCTCACTATTCCTGTTTCCTCATCCACATAATGAGAATAAACAGATCTGCCTCACAGGACCGCTATGAGAATTAAAGGAGTTAATACTTATAAAGCGCTTCGAATACGGCCTAGTGCATAGTAAGCATGATATACGCATGTTAAATAAATGGATAAAACTCTGCCAGCTTGAAATCCACCATTCTCTTAAAACTACCCCAGTACTTCTCATTTTTGGTTGTGTTTGTATGGGTGGTGCTGGTATTCTTTTGGGGGGCAGGAGAGGCGCAGACGTGACTAACTGGTTGAGCGCTCCCTCCTCCTGGCCAGTGCCTCTATCAGACACGGAAGGGAAGGGGAGGGGCTGTGAGGTGTATTCCTTCACTGCTGTGTTAGCCAGGCCAACAAGAGCACAGGTGAAGAAAAGGGAGCTAGGGACACGTGTGACTGCTGTTTTCAAATATTTGCGGGGCTGGGGTGAAGAGATAACATTAAAAATTCTATAGAACAGCTCCAGGCTCCCCATCACTGAACATGTTCAAGCAGGGGATGGTGACCAGGTGTCAAGGATGCTGTAAGGAAGAATTTTTTCACTTAGAGCCAGATAACCTCTAAGATTCCTTCCACCTCTAAAATCTTGGCAACACAAGCGTGAATCATGAAGACGTTACAATCCAGTTGTGAGTCACACCTCGCCAGCGCGCTCCCGAAGGCACAGAATTCTTCACTCCCCACAGTGTTTGGCACATTACCACAGATCTAGGTGAGGAATTCTAGCCCTCAGGCTGCGGAGAACTCGGCTCACAGAAAAACTTCTCAAACTAAGCGCGTCGATTAGCTGATTGCAGACGTCCGTTATGACCAACAAGTACAGTAAAGCGTACATCCCAAATGGGATTTAGCAAAACGACGAGGATCCAGATTAACTATCAGACAGTCCTTCACTTCACTCTTCCGAGGCCGGACAAAAGGCAACTGGAGCGAGCAGGCAGGTGAAGGGGCAGGGGCAGCGTGGCCCGGGGGAAACGGGAGACTGGCGAGCCGACACGCAGGGCAGAGGACAAAGGCCCCGGGAGAGCACGCTGGACCGGAGGCTGGGAATGCCCGAAGTCCGGGTTTGCACCGGGGATGCAAGCGCGTGCCAGCAGCCGGGTAAGAGCGGCACCGAGGAGGGTCCCTAATGCCAGCGGAGCCCCCGCTGGGGTCCCCTCTGCCTCCCGGGAACTGGGCTCGCCGCCTGCCCTCTGAGGGGGCCTCGCTGGGCCAGGGGCCGCCGCAGCCCCAAGGCGGGGCCCGTGGGGCAGATCGGGCGGCGCACCTGCCGGCCGGACACTCGGGTCCGCACGGGGCCCCCGCCCCGCAGCCGACTCGCCGCCGGATTTCGGATGGTGCAGACTCCCGCCGCCTCAGCCGAGCCCCGTGCTCAAGCCCCAGACAGGCCATCCGACACCGACACCAGAATCTGGGTGCGGAATGTCGGGCATCGGCTGCCTCTCGCCGGGCCCGGCCCGGCCCCGGCTGTGCGCACGGCCGCCGCCATCGCGGGCCGCGGCCGGAGGGAGACGAGGGGCCGCGCCGGGCGCCACTTTACCTGAGAAACCAGCGGGAGCAGAGTCTGCTCCACAGAGCGAGTTTTGATCTCGAGTCCCGAGTCGAAGGCGAAGCCCGACGGGCCGGAGCCCTGCACTGCTCCGGCGCCGCCAACGCCGGCGGGGCCAGGAGAGGCGGCCATGGCCCTCCGCGCGTCGCGCAGCCGGGACGCCGCGCCACTGCGGGCCCGCCGCCTGCCAGCTAGCCCGCGCGCGGCGGCGGCAATGCACTAGCACCGCCCGGGGCCCGGCCCCAGTCGGGCCCCGCCCCTGGCACTGCCCCGCTCCCGGCCTGCTAGCCCGCAGTCCGGCCCGCCCCCGGAATGGCCCCGCCCACTCACCGCCTCTTCCCCGCCCCTAACCGGCCCACCAAGGCACGGCCCCTCCCCAGCCTGCTAGGCCTTGCCGGACCCCGCCCCGGAACGCCCGCCCCCCCCCCGCCCCTAACCCGGGCCCACCAAGGCACGGGCCCTCCCCCAGCCTGCTAGGTCCTTGCTGGACCCCGCCCCCGGAACGGCCCCGCCCACTCTCCGCCCCTAACTGGGCCGCACCGCAACCACCACCCCCGCCCCGGCGTGGCCCCGCCCACTCCCCCCTTTTCCCCGCCCCAACCTGTTCCCGCCCCTGGCACGACCCCGCCTCCGGCCTGGAGGCCACCGCCGAGCCCCTCGCCCCAGGGCGGCCCCGCCCACTCCCCCACCTCTCTCCCGCTTCTCCGCCCAGTCTCTCTCTCTTCAGACCACTCTTCAGCGGGTTCCACGCACGGCCTGCTCGCACCAGAGAAACTAAGATACCTGAGGGCCTCGCACGGCCACGTGGCCTCTTACCAGGGCAGGGACAATCGTCCCCAGCAAAGTTTCCCGTCCCCTCGATAGGTAATTCGTCCTACCTATGAATTCCCTCGACGATTTCTGGAAGCTGCACTGGCGTTGAAACTAACTGGTAGAGCAGGACCCGAGTCCAGTCTGCAGGGGCATGCTTTCTGGAGCTTCTCCGGAAGGTCCCATTTCCCCTCCACCCTGCTCCTTTTCTGAAGGTATCTTTCTCACAATTTCAGCTGGACCTAAGATGAAATATTTGGTAATGCAGTCGTTTAAGGAGTGTCCGGGTACTCGGCAAGAAAACAGTTATTTGGGTATCTTTCAGGCTACTGCTCAGAATTACTCTTCCAAAGGAAATTAAATAGAGCATATGGAAAAGCTTCACCTACTGTTCAACACTATTACTTTTTAAAACTACTTTCCAAGATTGTCTTCCCCTGGTGCCTAGCACAGAGCAGTTCCTTAACAGCTGTTCATGGACTGAAAAGATCATTAGTATATATTTCTGACTAAACCAAGGGTAATGCTAAAATCACGGAGCCCAGGCGTGATTGACATGGGAGGGAAACTGAACACCCCTTACCCTAAGGGTTCCAGGAGCAAAGCTAAAGGGAGGTTGTCAGAAACACACACCCTGTGAAAGGGTCCCAGGCTTAAGAGACAGACTGAGCAACATGAAGAAATATTTTCTGAACAGCATACTTGCTGAGAAGAAACTATCAGAGTAGAAAAGAATCTGAGGCTGGCTAGTCCACCCTTACACCTCTACCAGGGTCGTTTCTCCATCCATAATGTCAGATTGATGAGCTGAATACCACCACTTCGAGGTGTCAGGAAGTTCTTTCCCAAGCACTGTTGAAATGTGGTTTAAGTACTTCCACATGGGGGTTTGGCTCTGGCAGCCAGTGCTCCACAGATATCTGTGCTATTGAAGATAGCCCTAACTTAGGATTTTCTTCCTTCAAAATGTGCAGTTCTTGTATCCAACTTTCTTTTCCTTTGATTCCTAATTTCCCAGGCCACCCACCTCACCACTTCCTTATCTGCTACAAGGCCACCTTTCCCTTTGCACTGAGGGCTCCCGCCTCAGCTGTGGACCTTTTCACGTCTTAAAGTACCCGGCATCCACTCCCCAGACGCACCGTCCCTTATGTAAGTTACCCACATTTCATAAAAATTCTGTGTAGGTATTGGTGCCAGTGGAAAAGGGAAGATACAAGGCCTAAGAGTCAGATAGATATATTCATGAAAGTTTCGGCTTCGCTAAAGATCAAATTTCTCAACAGAAATGAGACAAAGTTTACAACCTGACTCTTTCAACACCAGTAATTTTATTTCAAAATATAAATATTTTACATTTACAAAGAAGTTACATCAGTAGGTTGTCAAAGCAAGTTAAAGCTAAGAAACAGCATTTGTGTGAGAATAAGGAACACGTGTTGTTGTATTTGAATAATCTTTTTTATTTTCAAACCATCTCTACTTTGCCTGAGAATGCAGAGATGATACATTTTCCGAAAGTCACATAAGCAATTACAACTATATATCCAATCTTGGTTTCAAAATCAAATGATATTCAAAATACACTCCAGTCACCTAAACAAGTAGCACAACAAAACACAAAAGAAGGGTTTTCTTTGGGATAGCGTTAATAAGAGTTACATTTTCTGGGTCACTGCAATAAAAAAAAAAATGTATAGTATTTGATAGTAAGCCAAATGATTTTACTTTAAGATTTGCTTCCACATCTTTCATTATAAAATAGAAAGCTAGAGGAAGAAGAGGAAACCAGGTGTGGAGCAAAGAACTCTGGACCTGGAGTCAGAAGTTCTACACGCGAATTCTGGCTCCATCATTTTGTGGTATAAATTAAAGGGAAGTCACAAAAGAAACCTTTCTGAGCCTCCGGTGCCTCATTTGATAATACTTAACACCTGCCTATCTCACAGGGTTGTTGTGAAAGCAGTCTGAAAACTATAAAGTGCCATACAAAAGCATTATTAAAATGGAGTATCAGTATATCACCACCGTATTTTCACATTAAGTGATCCTTGAAAAACCTGCAAAACTAAACACAAATACTGATTTTATACACTATAGGTGGAAAAGAATCTCTATACTTTATGTATAGCTCTGAACGGCAAATATGTTTTCTTTCTAGTACCTCTCTAAGCTTTGAGATTCATTACAGTTTACATGGTACCATGGTAGCAGATTCACCACTCAGAATTTCCATTAGGGATGTCTTCTAGGAGAGCTGTAAACTTACTCGAGAGCCATGTTTCCCAAAGGACCAGCAGTCCTATGTGATGCTCTGAGAAGAGGAGGATGGGAGTGTGGTTTAAGGTCAAATTAGTCTAGTAAACAGTCTTTGTCTCCTCTTATAAATTCACCATATATAATAGCACACTAAAAACTCTTAGAAATCCCAGAGAAAGGAAACAAACTCAGCATTCCTCAGTTTTAGTTGACCGTGGAGTTCCCTCCCTCCACACACACTTTTGTTCTCTTATAACGTCTAATAACATCCCTTGGAACTACTGCTATAAGGAACACATTTTTCCAAAAGCTACTCAACTATGAGGGAAAGGAAAGAGAAGTACAACAAGGGACTGTGGGGGAAAAAGAAGTGTCTTTTATTCTGACTTCTGTTACTAACTGGCTGTGTGTGTCTTAGAAAAGCCACTTTAACCTGTGGATTTGTTTCCTTCTCTAAAAAATGCCAGGATCACCTAATTAAAATAAGGCCCATTCTAACAGAGAATTTCTATGACTCTAGTAGATGGAATATCTTGATTTACAATTCTCTTATTTTTAAACTATCAAAAAATAACTGCTCAGTGGTTTCAGATAGCATGTGTATTTTCTCAAGTCCTCAATAAGTTAATGAAATGGATATATTTTGATGACAAAATGTGTAAAGATGAGAAATTAATAAAAACAAAAAGTACTTGTTCTTAGCTGGTATCTGGAATCCGCATTTAGAAGGACGTTCCCAGAGGCTGTTTCCACTGTGAAATGCCTACTGTCATCCTCTTGGAAGGGTCTTCGCAGACCCTTAGAGGAGACTGCCAGTCAGGACCAGAGCATGGCAAGTTGTGAAGGGGTTCTTCCTATAAATCTTGAGGTTGAAAGCTCTGGATAGCTCACCTAAAATTACTTGGCTCTAATCTAACCCCTCACAGCCTAAATTTCTGAGTATTTCTTGTCCAGCAGTGACGCATCCTGAAGTGCTAAACACAACCAAAGTGGGAACTGGAGGTCCTGGAAAGTCCTGATGGGTCACGATGGGTTTGTGTGAAGACCAAGGTTAGCAAGAGCACCTTATCTGCAAGCCCTTTAGCTGCCCTTTAACTGGAATATATAGCTGCTATTCCCAAAGCTACTGAGTTTGTTTAAATACAGCATCTCCATAACACTTCTTGGGTATCCTCCCATCGTCAACAATCAATCGACACCAGTCTCAGAAGTCAAGGGAAAACTCTGCCAGCTAACCACCTCTAACGGAAGGACTCTGCCAGCTAACCACCTCTAATGGAAGAGGGTGTTAGAATCCTTGCAAATTTAAAAATAAGTAAGACTGGTACCTAAGGCAGTCTGACAGAGAGCACTTCCAGGAACAGAGTGTGACAGGAACTTTGGAACTGAAGCAGGACTTGGGTCACATGGAGTCGATGCTGAAAATCCCAAACCTTGTTCTCTCAGAAAAGAGCGGAGCACACTGTGTGGAGAGCTTGCATCTCCTTCTCCCATTCCCCCATTAGTTTACAGCTGAATAGTGAATGTGCACTCCAAACTAATCTCTAACAAAGCCATACCATGCCAGACAGTGAGAGGATTCCGCACGTGGTTTTTACTGAGGCTCCTTCTACTTCACCAATGCACTGTCTGTTCCTAGAGAAACTCCTGGTCAAATCCTGAGAATCTGAGGGTAAGTCATCTGTGAGACATGAGCTTGAGCTTCCTACCTTTTCATACCATTTGATCTCTATGCCCTGTGACAATCCTGTAAAACCTCCTCACTATATCTGACGGGCATGTTTCTCTCCATCTTTGAGGGTTCCAGGAAGACCACCCCCAGCTAGATGACTTTCAAGTCCTTATGCTGCTGCTGAAGGACTGGGGAGGTTCAAGGGTCCTGGTGAGGACTGTCTGGCACTCTGGGGCACCTCTGCTCCTGTGCTATTGCCCCAGTGCTACTTTTGGCAGCTCTAAACTACTCTCTTAGAGCTCAGACTTCCCCTCTAAGAACCTGGTATTCATACTAGTAATTATGACCAGCAACAGCCATACATTAGCTCAAGTCTAGTGTTTTGCAACATCACTTTATACAGCTAAAAGCACTTTGGAGGAACAAAATTTGTATATGCACACTAAGTCATTGTGTATAATGTTTGCCTCTTATAAATATGTGCTAATTACATCTATAAACTTACCAGTATACCATTACCAAAAACAAACCTGCTTTCTTTCTTAAGTCTTTTAATGCAAAATTTTTAATTTTAGCAATACACATTATCTGGCTAAGATTTAAGGTGAGAGAAGACCTTCTTCTGAGTTATCCCCTACAGCACCCTGGACAGTGCCTGGCATGGAACCTAGAGTTTGGCAAAGTCTCAACAAATGTTTTACTGAATGAATGATAGAACAACGGACTAAAGAAGAGAATGAGTTCCTTAGTGGCCAAATGTAACACTTGGTGGAATATCAGGCTATAATTTTTGAAGGACTCATAGTAAAAATAAGAGCTCTGCATGTAGTCTACTGTACAAACGAAGACGTCATGGCAGCCTCTTTTCTAGATGGAGTTTTTCTTATGTGTAATATCAGAATAAATTTAAGGTAATTATCATTAACTATGCTTCTTGGTGAGAAGATGCTTTAGAAAAGATGATTTATACTTTTAGATGTTTTCCAAAAGGGAAATCTTTGATACTTAAGAACGCTTTCTCCTCCATATTCCCTTGGGGGCAGAGAAAGAGCCTGATGATCATTTTGTACAGTGGAGAGGGCACAGAACTAAGAGCTGGGTTCGAGGTGTCCTATTCTGTCTCATAGCACTGGAAAAACTGCATAAAATACTGGAAGGAGCACTACAGTATAGCAGAGTTTGCACACTATGGAGTCAGAAAGATTTGAAGTCAAATCTCACTAAACTTTGTCTTTGAGTTGGTCACTTTTCTGAACCCTAGCTTCCCCATCTGTGTGAAACTGTTGGAAAATAATACAAAGCTATATGAAAGCTGATGGGAAGTGGCTGTGAAATGATATGTGCAAAAAGACTCTGTAAAATGTGAAGCACTATGCTGGTTACTGTGACATCTGAGATATTTAAAAAGTCACAACTGAACTCAACAACCATTTGTCTAGAGTGTTATGTGCAAGGCACTGTGCTAAGTGATGGAAAAATACCACATGAATATAAAATTCTACTGCTAATAAGTACTAATCGGAAGAATTCCAAATAATGAAACAGGGACACATTTAACAGATCAGAGTATTGCTGCACCTGAGGTTTTTTTCAATTAAAACATTTGGAAAGAAAAACATCACAACATGAATTCTATCATACTGTTACCATTAATAGCAGCTTAATAAGTAGTTAACTTCAATGTGGTGGGTCAAGTTTTAGAAATTTGGCAATAGTGTAATGGGGGATGGAGGGAGAAGAAAGGGGAGGAAGAGAGTCAGTCTTTCTGTGTGTCCCATGGTTGCTACATACAACTAACAACTTCACATAAGCCACCCCGCCCTTACACTTAAGATCTGCTCTTTCTTACAGGGAGGACCATACACTGTGTGAGAAGGGGACAAGACTCATTTTTCCTGCTCAAGCAACTATATACTCAAAAGTGAAAGCCCTCTTCATCGAAAAGCGACCATCATAGAAAACTTTAAAAATAGATTTCTTAAAGCAGGAGAAAATGACATCTATACAATTTTAACAGCAGGTAGTTTAGGCTCTTAAAATAACTTTATAAATACACAATATAATAATATAGATAACCAAAGTGGGAAAATTTCAAGCCATGGTACCAGTGTATAAACTGAAACTTTTCAAGCCATCTTAGCAACAGTTCAGTGAACAAACCACATTTCTGAGCTCTAAAGCGGTGCTTTAAAATGCAAAGCAGCCCACAGCAAGCTCTCTCGTGTCCAGGCATTCTGTATGGAAGGCCAGGAGGCTGCTGCTGCTGCTCTTCCTGGGCTCTGCTTGCCAGGCACAGCTGAAAGGACAGAAGGCCACAGCTGAGCTGTATTCATGGTCAAGGTTGAACTTCCTAGAGAAACCACTGCAGTGGAAGCCATGTCAGTCTACCGAAGATTTCAGATCTTCAGAAATGTCACGGAAAGTCCTATAAGAAGAAAAGATAGAATAATTAGTTTTGCCTTTGGAAAGGAGGGGGAAAAAAATAAAACCACAAAGATACTAGAAAAAGAAAGAAAAGAAAAAGAGCATCAACCAGTAATTAATTGTCATAGAACAATGCCTTATTTTTATAACCTGAGAGCCTTGATGAGGTTATATAGTCATTATTTTTTCCTGGTATTTTCACTGAGTATTGTTTCAAAGCCTGCTAGCTGTTTCTCATTCTTTATAAACAAGAACTCCAGTTTTCTGCTGAATCCACTGTCTCCTGTCCAAAAGACTACTTCCCCAGACTCCCTTGAAACTAAAACCATGTGACTAAGTTCTGGCCAATGAGACGTAAGTGGATGCTATGTGTGATTTCTGGGCAGTGTCCTTAAAAGACAAGGGTGATCTTCTTCGACCCCTCACCCTCCTCACTGGCTGGAAAGTGGAAACAACGACGTTAAAGAGAAAAAAACAAAGAGACCAAAGATTAAATGCTAAGTGGATGAGTTTTATTGCAAAACAGGAAACCAGATCCTGCAGAGGCCAAGCTCTGAGGGATACGGTTCAGGGCAGCAGAAATGCAGTAGGTCTTTTCATCAAATGACCTTGTGCTTGTACTGTCTCTGACCACATCAGGCAAGCCAAGTGAATGTTGCGAACTGGCAGGTGATATCTGTGCTTGATGGAGGTGGTCTGCTGCATATCTGAGGGGCCTACCTCAGCACTATAGTAGCTAGCTTGCCTTTGCTACATAATTTATATGCCTGAGCTGGGATGACGTCACCCGATCAGGTCTGCGTCTGGGTTGGTAGCCAAATGGCCAGGTCAGAGTCTATCAACAAACACGAGCTCAAGCACCCATCTTAGACTAAAAGGCCTCACGCCAGGCTGGCAGAATAGCACGATGCAGGGAGGCTGGGCATGGATGTTTGTGGAACAGTCATACCAGCCCTGGATTGCCCACCTCTGGACTTCTTTCACCCAGGACAGAAATAAACTTCTAGCTCATTTAAGTCACTGTTATCCTGCGTTCTGTGGACGGTGGGGCTTTTGCAGTTTTTTGTTTGTTTTTTGTTTATATACAGTCAAATCTACCTTAAAAGAATCAGATATGAAGCACAAGTTGATCACCAATCTTTCAGATAGAGGTTACCGCTCCTTTACAACAATAGCACCAATGAGGAACACAAAAATATCTGAGCTCAAAACACTTGCCTTTTTCAAAATAATTTGAAAGTCTTCAAGTTACATTAATTTGTAGCCACGTCATTCTTGGATTATTTATCACTCAAATAAAGCCCATTTTATTTTTATGTCTACAACCAAGTGATGGTTAATGTAAACAGATTACTCAACTTTTTTATTAGAAATAGACCTAAAATATAAGGAAATGTTTCAAAACTTCAGGAACAGCTCACAGTTGCATAAACAAAAGATTAACAAAAAGTTGTCATTAGGTACAAATCATCTAAAAATTTATACAGCAAAAAAATCTGACCTTCAGAGGTAATTCCACACTCATGCTACTTCTCTTTCTCCTTTTGTCTTACTCGTTTTGTCTTCTCCATTTTCAGGTCATACAAATATTTGGGAGAGTTAGATAGGCAGGGCAGAGGTAAACTAAAGACTTACCTTCTAGCACAATGCTGGAAGTACTTCAATGTTAAGAGGGGCACAGGTAACATGTTACAGAAAAGAGATTACATTCAAGGATGGTCAGTTATCTCAAGCTTCTTTCACTGGATGGTGCCCTGAAGGACCTTCAAGGCACCTCCTGTACCTCTGAAGCCTGCCTGGAACTAGCAGAGCTCTACTTCAAAAGGAACAGCTTTCCGGAATGAATGGGTAAGGCTCTTGGCTACAGCTCTTGTGGCCATGAAAGGGTTTGTGTGTGACGTGGCCGGACCCACCATGTTGAATATAAGCTGATAGGTCAAAGAATTGGAATAAATTTTGTTTCCTTAAATATTTGTTATACTCTGAAAAAAATTCCCCAAAACGAAGATTTATATACACACACACGTTTTATATGTATTAATATCCATCTGTCTATATACCTGTCAAATCAGGGTTTCTCAGTAGCAACACTATTGATGTTTTTGTGCATTATAAGATGTTCAGCAGCATCCCTGCCTCCACCCTTTAGAGTTGTGACAATCAAAATGTCTCTAGACACAGCCAACTGTCCCCAGGAGCAGAGCAAAAACACACTCTCCCCTCAAACCACTGATCTAGATATTTATCTATCTACCTATTTATTTATAAATCTATTTTTCACACTCACCTAAATTTGTGCTTTTATGTTTGTATACATGCAAAACTGGCTACAAGCTATCTCAGATGCTATGAATTTCAGGCAGCACTCAATTCTGGGAAGCCCTGGAAACTCTTTACAAACAATAACCAAAAACTGGCCCATGTTACAAAGCATTTTCTAACACCCAACAGGTTTTTAAATTCACCCTTTGACATCTTTTCAAATTTCTAAGATAGCTCTAAGTTTGAATCGCTAGCGCGCTTCAATGCTTCTAAATTATGAAGGAAAATTTCTGCCTCGAGGCAAAGATGCATGAAATAAGATTAAGTCTGTGGTTGGCCTAGTGACTGCTTTTTGTTGACAAGCAAGCTTAGCTGCAACCTTGAAATTCATACCTACTATTCAACTCTGCCTCCAGGCCAAGAAAGCCTCCAGAAGGACTAAGGAAGACAACAAAGTAACGCAAGCTGAGACAACAGTTACTAAGAGTTTTCCATCTCAACATTACGCATTCTCTAGATGTTCAGGGTGGAGACGGGGGAGGGCGGGTGTGTAAAACGCTATCGAAGTAACATTGATCTTAAACAAACCTCTAATTATCTCCTAGAAAACAAACTCCACAACCTAAAAAATTAAGATGGTACTCTAACATGCGTGATTGCAGGAGTGTTTTTGCCCCTCCCCACGGTGTTAACAGAACAGAGGAAGTGCTATGTTCTGTTTATTGAGTTGAGGTCAAAATAGTTGGGAACCCAGTGCTGTGCTGTGTCCAAGACATTCACCCCCATCAGATACTGCATTCACGACTAGCAACAGTGAAAATCAGAGAAAAGGAGTCCTCCGTCCTTCAGGATGGAGAGTAGTACACAAAAATAGTCTTGCGAATGTGTCTTTTTAGACCCCAGTGCCTGCATCTGCAATAAGAAGGCACATTTGCCTAATGAAATGCGACCACACACCCTCTGTTATCACACTGTAACAACATAACAGAGTTCCTAAAATAAGCCAAGCCCTTCCACACCTCAGCCTCTGTATTGACTATTCCTTCACAGCCCATTCTTTCCTTCAACTAGGAATTGAGTGCCTTTCAAGTGCAAAACATTGTCGACAGGTGCTGTGGATACACCAATTAACTAAAATTGACATGGCCCCTGGAGTAACAGCAACCACAGTCAAGAGGGAAGACAAAAGATGAATATTCAAGTGTATACATGAAAACTGTACTGCAAAGGAAAGGCACAAGATGGTGTCTAGAAAAGCATTAACTAGCAGGAGGGACGTAACCTCAGTGGGAGGCAAGGGAAAGCTTCTCTCATGACCTGACATTTGAGTTGAGATCTGAAGAATGATTAGCAGTTCATTAAGCAAGGCAAGATGGGGGAATGGGAGAGTCTCCAGATGGAGAAAGCAGCGTGTGTACAGGCCAGAGTTTGAATGGAGCCTGGAGTATCCGAGGCCCTGACAGAAAACCAGTATGGCTGCGGCTCAGAGAGCAAGGGGAAATGTCTGAGGATTAGGGAGGAAGGCACAGGTCAGATCGTGTAGGGCCTTGCAAGCCACATTAAGGATTTTGATCCTCCTCCTAACAGCAACAGGTGGCCATTTTCGGGAAGAGAGCATCACTATCAGCCAGGCTTGCATTTTGAAAAGAACACATCAGCTGCAGCCTGGAGAATGGACTGGAGAACAGTAAGAGCGGAGGCTGGGAGACTAGTTAGAAGACTAAGATGACCACAGCAGTCCAGGTGAGAAATGCAGCGGCTGGGCCCAGCTTAGACCAGGGGGGCGGTACCAGGGAGAGAAACAGGCAAGGACAGATATGGGGTAAAACTGACAGGACGTGGTAAAGATGGTGAATGAGGAGACAGGAAGTAATAAGGATGAGTACACACTGGCATATGTAAGGGAGAATAACATTCACTGAGGCAGGAAACAGAGAGAATGTTTTTTACTGTGGAAGGGCAGAGGATGGTTAGAGAAGGCAAAGAAAGATCAGTGGTTGAAGCACACCAGCTCAGCTGCTTTTTAGCCATGTGACTATGGGGAAGTTAACCTCTCTGAGCCTTGTTTCCTCATCTATAAAACATGGAAAACAATCGTTCCTAACCTCGTATGAAAACACTGGACAGATTAAATAACACATGCAAAGTTTTATCACAGAACTTGGCACACACTAAGTACCAATAAATGTCAGCAGGGGTTGTGTTTGTTATATTTAAGAGGTCATTTAGACTTCCCACTAAAAAGTGATGCACTGAACACACATTTCCTTCAGTTCCTCTCAAAACCCCGTTAGAATGACAGTAAAAGTATTTTTTTAAGGTATAAACTTACTTGAAAAAAGGCGAAAAAGAGAATCTAAGAGGTAAGAGCAACAAACATTTAGAAGGTGGAAAGCAGATGGACAAGTGCTATGACCCAGCATATGCCAAAACCCGATCCTAAGCCAACAGTGGGAAGAGTCAAGAAGCAATCTGATTTATTCAGCAAAATCCCCCATGAGGCTCAGGAACTGGTGATATCAAGTAACTCTGGACTGGGGTTAAGGTGGGGCTAAACACTGGAGGAATGCTTTAAAGTCGGATTAAACAGCAATAAGACTCCAGCGCTCCAACATCCTCACCCACCTCCACCTGGCCGAGCGACTGCCCCTATCACTAGCAGAAAAGTAGAGCTGTTCTCCCTCTGGAGAAGGTAAAACAAAGAGTCTCTGCACTGGGGGACGACAGGCAGAGAGGGGGCTGGGGTACATACTGACACTGGGAGAGTACGCGAATGTTTATATCTTGAATGCTGTCCGGTCCGTTTCCCCCCTTGGCTCCCAGAATGATGGCAGCCAAGCCGTCAAACTCTAGGCAGGAGGTTAGATCTTTCTCTGAGGAATTTACCAGCCCAAAAAAAGGATAAAGAAGCACTGACATCAAAGGTTACACAAGACAATGGCCCTGCCAGATTATATAATAGTAACACACACAATAACCCACCCACAGCTCCTGAGTGTCTCACTCTTAATATGAGCCAAGAGCCAAAAGCATCTGATGTCATGATTCTGTTGTATTAACATGGTAAAGGTGAAGGGATTTTGCAGATGTAATTAAGGTCCCTAATCAGTCAAATTTAACCAAAAAGGAGAGGATGGTGTGTGGGCCAAGATGAATCAGGCAAGCCCTTTAAAAAAGGATTTTAGCAGTCAGAAACAGAAGTCAGAAAAACACTCTCCTGATAGCCTTGAAGAAGCAGTCATGTTATGAACTGCCTATGGAGAGAGGCAGCTCCAGGAATTGCCAGCCTTGGCTCTACACTGCAAGCAAACAAATTCTGCCAGCAATAGGAGAACCTGGAAGTGAATCCCAATCCACAGACAAAACCCCAGCGCCTGCTGACACCTTGCCTGCAGCCTTGTCAGACCCTAAGCAGAAGCCCCAGCTAAACTGTGCCTGGACTCCCAGGCCACGGAAATTTTAATATAATAAATGTATTTTGTTTTAAACCACTAAGTTAGCAATGATTTGTTACATAGCTTAGAAAACTAATAAATACCTGTATACTAAAAAGATTAATTTTATTTATGTAAATAATGCCTCAATAAACCAGACTGAAAAAATATGAGAGCAGAAATGGAAACCTCTATGGAGGGGTTAGAAGGTAAAGTTGAATAAATCACCCAGAAAATGGAGCCAAATAGAAAAACAGCAAAGACAAAACAAAAAGCTGAGATACATTCTTTCCCAAAAATCTACAGGAGGATGTGCTCCACCAAAAAGAGGGGGGAAAATCAAGAAGGAAAATGATATGAGAAATCCTATGGAAAATAAAGATTCCAACACAGGGGTGCTGAGGGAATCCCCAGGGTCCAGCTGCACAGCAGGCAAGAGGGCAGCACTCTGCTGCAGCAGATCAGAAGTCTCCAGGAGCAGCTTCTTCAGCAAGCCAAAACTTGCAACATACCAGATGCAACTGAATGTACTGAGCGAGAGGAGATGTAAACACGGGCGGGCCCAAAGCTTGGAGTTGGACTAATTATAAACAGGCAGAAAACAAAGCAAATAAAAAACAGTATCTTTATAACTCAAAGGAAAGCAAAAAGTTGTATAGGCAAGGAAATATAGACATAATATACATGAAGGCTCAAATACAAATACAATTGAGAGTCATAATAATGCAAACACTGAATGTTGATCTAACCAATATCACAGCTTAGTAATATTGGGAGGATGCATAGTAAGAGAGATAATTTCTCACCTTCCCAGTGGGAAGTAAATAGATAACACGTATACATGAAAAAAATCAAGAAGTAAACATTATTTCAAGATATGGAGGTCAGGGGGCTGGCCCAGTGGCACAGTGGTTAAGTTCACACATTCCGTTCTGGTGGCCCAGGGTTCGCCGGTCCGGATCCCAGGTGCAGACATGGCACCGCTTGGCAAGCCATGCTGTGGTAGGCGTCCCACATATAAAGTAGAGGAAGACGGGCACGGATGTCAGCTCAAGGCCAGTCTTCCTCAGCAAAAAGAGGAGGATTGGCAGCAGATGTTAGCTCAGGGCTGATCTTCCTCAATAAATAAATAAATAAATAAATAAGATATGGAGGTCATTATCAGGTAGAGTCGAAAAGTGGTTCCTCTTAGAGGGAAGAGGGGGCAGGGAGAAGGCAAAGGACGGCTACTCTTCACAACGAGCTTTGCAGACATTTCTGACTCTTTAAATTGCATGCATAAACAACTGAAGGAGAAAAAGATGACGGCTATACCTCCTCACATTATTTTTTCAATGCCCATACTACCTGATTAACAACCTTCTACCTTCAGGAGGGGGAACAGGTCATTTGCATCTAGAAGAATTCATATTAGTTTCTTTTGTTTCCCCTTAAAAATTAACTCTTGGTTCACTAACATGGAATCATTAGAAGTTTCTTCTAGGGGCTGGCCCCACGGCCCAGCGGTTAAATTCATGCGCTCCACTTCAGCTGCCCAGGGTTTCACCGATTTGGATCCTGGGCACAGACCTAGCACTGCTCATCAGGCCATGCTGAGGCAGCGTCCCACATAGCAGAACTCAAAGGACCCACAACTAGAATATACAACTATGTACTCAGGGGCTTTGGGGAGAAGAAGAAGAAAAAAGTTTCTTCTAAAATAACTGCAAAATATTGATCAGCCACTTTTCTTTTTGCTTGTTTGGCATGCCCAAGGAGTAGTATATGCAGTTAGCAAGCACACTCTATGGCTTTCAAGTAACTGTCCACTGGCTTCTCAGGTACCCACGTACCTGCCTTTAAGAGGCAAAGGCAGAAAAGGATATCATAGTGTCACCACCCCCAAAATGGCGAAGGCTTGGTGAAAACCCTCTCAGTACCTCGTCTCCTTTTATTCTAAGGACTTGACTTTTCCCTGCCACCAAGTGAGCACCTCGCATTAGCTAAAATGGCCCTCTAACCAACCAGCTCTGACTCAGAAACTTTATTCTACGTGTTCTGAGTTGAAGGACCATGTCTTTCTTCACAAAACATCACACTTAAAGTAAGAACCACATTTAAAAAAAATTTTAAATAAAAAATAGTTTCATTAAACACATTTTCAGAATCAACTTGTTAATGACTCCTCAATTACACTAGAATACCCAATGGCAGGCAAAACTGTTTACCAACTGGGAATAATAAGGCCAATGCAGTATAGTCTCTGGAAAGTTAAAATCCTTTATTCTGAGACTTCTTGCTTTTTTGTTGTTAAAAGTCCTTCTTACGTTTCTTTTGTTAAAATGTAATTTCTGGCACAACCACACAGAAAACCTGTTTTGCAAGTATCCAAGAAAGTTAAACCAGATGTATCACCAGCCACTCCACATCTGGGTATATATTCAACTGAAGTAAGTAACCATGTCCACCAAAAGACACGCACAACAAAGTTCAAGCAGCATGATTCATAACAGTGAGAAACTGGAAATCACCAAATGTCCATCTCTACAATGACCAAATAAATTCACACACTGGAATACTAGGCAGCAATGAAAAAAGAATGAACCACTGCTATATGCAACAAGCAGGGGTGACTCTCACAGACAGGACATTGAGCAAAAGAGGCCGGATTCAAGAGTACATACTATATGATTCCTTTTACATGACAAGTTCAAAAACTGGCCAAACAAACCTAAGGTGATGGTGGTCAGATTATTGGTAGAGAAGGGCTCTGACTGAGAGGGGCTATGGGGAAGCCTTCTAGAGAAACAGAAATATTCTATATCTTGATATGGGTGATGCTTACATGGGTATAAGTATATGAAGAAAATCATCATGTTGTATATTTAAGATGTGCATTTCACCACATGTAAGATATACGTGAATAAAGTTTTTTTAAAATTATGACACAATCAGGAACATCTTTTAAATTACAATTTATATTACATTATAATTTATTTTACGAAATGTGTGTGATAGATGACAACAATTATGATTTCAATGTCTGTACTTGCAAAATAACAAGTTGTAGCTCAATACTGGTACACTCAAATAATTTTTTCCCAAGTTTTTATTTGGAACAAGTATAAACCCACAGAAAATCACAAGACTAGTACAACTACCAACCATATGTCCTTCATCTAGAGTCACCAATTGCTGACATTCTGCTACAGTCACTTTCTCCCTCTCTCAGCTTTGGGTGAACTATTTGAAAATATGCTGCAGACATCATGACATCTCAGCCCTAAAGGATAGTCTGCTACATAACCAAAGTACCATTATCACACCTAACAAATTTAACATTCACATATTATTATTCAATATCTGGTCCATATTCAAATTTCTCTAATTGTTCCAGAAACGTTCTTTATAAACTCTTCCCACTCCTAACCCAGGATCCTGTCATGAATTCATGCATTGCATTCGGCTGTCCTGTTTGTTTACTCTCCTTTAATCCAGTATTCCACATCCCAACACAGTCTTTTCCATTTTTCATTTATTTTTAGTCTTTCAGGACATTAACAATTCTGACCCAATTTAGCTTTTAAATGTTCCTAGTATATGAAGCCCCAAAGTCTGCAAACCAATCACTTCTATTAATTTAGTGTCTTCTACAATCTTTAGCAGAGCGCAGGCACTGAAATACCTGTATCTTGACAACACTGCTCAGGTCAAAAATACAGAGATTCAGGAGGCCAGCCCCATGGCCGAGTGGTTAAGTCTGCGCGCTCTGCTTTGGTGGCCCAGGGTTTCACCGGTTTGGATCCTGGGCATGGACATGGCACCATTCATCAGGCCATGCTGAGGCGGCATCCCACATGTCACAATTAGAAGGATCCACAACTAAAATATACAACTACGTACCGGGGGGCTTTGAGGAGAAAGCAAAAAAAGAAATAACAGAGATTCAAATTCACACACGGTTTATGATCCTTCTGCTTTAACTCACCGCTGGGTCTGAGCAGGCCACGGGGTCTGGTGTGGCGTGGGCACTGAGTTCGTGGGACTCACTAGCATGGCACTGTAGATATTGGAAGCCACCACAAGGATGCAGAGAAGGATGGGCCCGATGATCGCTCCCTCCAGGCCTAGGTAGTATGCCCCGCCAGCCACTGCCAAGCCCGTCAAGTAAGGATGGCCACCTCTGGAATGAAGAGCACATTGCTTAGCTCATGACTTTGAAGAAACATAAATCTCAGAGTAAATCTGAAACACATTCTCTGCCACCATGTTCATGCTCTAATATACCAGGCTTTTGATGCATTATCAGTTTTCTTTAGATCATCTCAATGTGGATAACTGAACATTGATTGTAATAATATCAAGATGCAAGAATTTTCCAGCCTACATAACATGTGTGACATCTGCCTTTTTATAGGTCCAGCATCCGAAGGAGTAAAGTCAGATTGTTAACAGGTACCTTGTACCCGTTAGGTGGCTGTCTGAGGTGGGTTAATGCTGGCTTAGGACTGGTTACCTAAGTCTACCTGTGAAGTTTACCCCCATCAGGGATAATTAAATGAGCACAATTTACTATGTAATTCAGTTAATTATGCTTTTCATAAGATGACAACAATACAACAGCATCCCTGTTATTCACAGCTTAGATTTCTGGCAATATAGTTTTTAACACAGGTAGTGATTTAAAAAAAAAAGGCCTCATGAGGAAAATATCTGTCACAAAACCCAAGCTTTTTAATTCACGGGAGAGTCATAACTGTCCTCCAGCTTATCACAATATCACTTACATAAATGGAATGAAGTAAGACAGACGACAGCAGCACAGCACAGTGACAATGATCACAAATGACCACTGACATAGAGGGACTTGGAAATGAGGTATTTCTGTTTGTTTCTAATTTTTTTTTTTTTTTTAAGATTTTATTTTTTCCTTTTTCTCCCCAAAGCCCCCCGGTACATAGTTGTGTATTCTTCGTTGTGGGTTCTTCTAGTTGTGGCATGTGGGATGCTGCCTCAGCGTGGTCTGATGAGCAGTGCCATGTCCGCGCCCAGGATTCGAACTAACGAAACACTGGGCCGCCTGCAGCGGAGCGCGCGAATGTAACCACTCGGCCACGGGGCCAGCCCCTGTTTGTTTCTAATTTTTAAACACGGATGATCAGAACAATGTAGTGAGGGGCAACTAACTAAAGAGCCTGGAAGGATGTCTTGTATTATCTTACAGTTCAGTAAGTAATATTTAAGGTGAGCCAGTTTTCAGGACACTAATACATTATGTTCATAATTTATATGACTTCCTCATTCCAAAAAAGGATTTAGGGCAGTATTCCACGTATGCCATGTAAGCAAGCTTTTTCCCTAAACAAAACATTTTAAGGAAAATTTTTATCAAAAAATGCTTAAAGCTTAAAAGAAAAAGTGTAGGAGCTTTTAAATAAAAGCTTCATTTAAACAAATAAAACAATTTATGCAAAATCTTTCTTTTCCTAATGATGCTGGTTAAATAAGGTATTACTTTATTAAGATAAAACCACACATACGTCTTAAATTCTAGCTAGAAACCTTAATATAAAATTTATAGCAAAGTTTAAAGAAATGAAAACACTTAACCATAAATCATGTAACTGCTGTTACTGTTAAAATCTCAGCCGATAAACACGTAAACCACACTCTGCCGTTCTCCTTTTATCTTTAATTTTCTCCCTCATGTTTTAGGCATAATAGTTCCCCTAGGGCTTGCTTAATGAGTTGTTTCTTTTTTGCTCTGGAATTTCAGGGCTTCAGAGTTCTACACCATTAATTTTCTACTTTAACTTACTAGAGAGAAAACAAGGTGGTATACGCTTTGTCTCCACAAAATTTCAAATTAACTGAAGGCTACTCTTTCTATAAAAACAGACCCCGTCTACCCTTATTGTGAAAGTGAGTTTTACTTAAAGAAAATTTAATATATTAATTATTATGACAGCTTCAGTAGGACTGTCCTAATATTCTGAATTTGAGTAGCTAATCAAAATTCAACATTTGGTCACATCCTAGATTCAAATAAGCAATGTTACTCTGGATACATGACTAAGTGAGAATTGGCTTGATTTACCTAATGCAATTTCTAAAAGAGATAGTAAAACCTACAAAAACAGATATTTATTTATTCTATTATATGGCCAAAGTCTGGCTTCTGCCTTAAATTTAACCTGCATTCATCATAGAACCATACTTGACGACCTCAGGTAAGAGAGCTCTGCTTGTCAGACATTAACTTGATAAGATCTGGTTTCACATGGAAATCCTTAGACGTACAACCCAATGATGTTTTTCTCCAAAAGCAAAGAAGTTCTGAAAATAAACTCTAACTCGTTACTGTACTTGAAATATTTTATGCAATGTTTCTTTCCTAGGTTAAATGTCACTAAATCAGAAGATTATTCAGAATTTTGTTTTAACCCAGGGTCTCAATTATTGTAAATAATATTTATATAATAACAAATGAGTATACACCTTGTAAACGATATTAATCATATTAAATTAAACTTTGATTAAATCGGTGGGATCACAAAAGACTACTTCACTTAAAAATCCCACCAGCTGTTGTTTCTCCCCTCTTCGAAAAAAAAAAAAAAATCTCTTTAAAAAAGGCCACAGAAATCCATGGATATGATTCAGCAGCAACTTCAGAAGTTCCGTGGAATACTTACCCTGAGATATCAGAGTAGATAGCAGTATCTACAAAGTAGGTTGGCAAGAGATGAAAAACCAACAGTAGGATGGCTTTGCATCCTAAGCCCTGTGTAAGCCACAGGTCTAGCACTGCAGGTATCGCTGCCCAGTACGTTCCCAGAAACGGCACTGCCCCGAGGATTGCTGCTAAAGCTGAGAAAGGATTAAAAGAGGAAAAGCAACTTAACATCATCATCAAAACAACGACAAAACAGCAGAACCCAAGCACTAGCTCCTCCTATTTAAAAATGTCCACCAAAACAAGTTAAACAGATACAAACTTAAATTTTAGGGGAATGATATGCCCTGTTTAACTGAATCTGCTAGTTAAAGAAGGTCCAGTATCTTAAAACTTGATACTAGAAACCTTTCTAAAGTGTGTGTCTACCTCACAAATCTGTTTTCTCTTTTTGCTTTTTTTTTTGGTGAGGAAGATTGGCCCTGAGGTAACATCTGTTGCCACTCTTCCACCTTTTGCTTGAGGAAGATTGTGGCTGAGCTAACATCTGTGCCAATCTTCCTCTATTTTGTACATGTGATGCTGCCATAGCATGGCTTGATGACCAGCGTGTAGGTCCGCGCCCATGAACCCCGGGACGCCGAAGTGGAGCTCATGAACCTAACCACCACACCACTGGGCCGGCCCCCATGAATCTGTTTTTAAGCAACAAAACTTTAGTGGCCTGCAGTTGTCATTCTGAATCAACGGTTAGTTACTATACAGTCCTATAACTATAGAGCATTGGTCAAAATTTGTACGGAGTCCAAAGCCAAATCAGAAATTAGTTTCTAAATCTCAGATACAAATGTATATTCTTTACCTTGCTTCTTTCTAATAAAAATAAAATGTAATTAAAAAAGAAAAAGAAAAACCCTGCTAGCTGAAAGACCTTACTTCACGCTTGCCCTCTTCTAGAGCAGTGTGCAGGTTCGAGCACTCTGGAGAGAGTCTGGCTCCCCTCCAGACTAAGAGACAAGCAGACATGGACTCTGGTTCTGGCTCTACCATTAAGCAGGTATGTGACCTTGGAAAACTGTGGTTTCTCCTCTACACAACAAGGACACGACCTACCCTGCCTGCCTCCCAGGGCGGTTATGAAACCACCACCTCCATGTGCTCTCAGGAACAGTGAAGTAGGAGAGAACTTGAACGAACGTGGGAATGTAAAGAAGGGTGCACAGACAAAAGGGGGGAAAACGGTAAACATGGAAGGCAGATATATTTAGGAAGACAAGCGGCCACAGAAATAAAAGAAGAAAAAGCGGAAGGAAAGGAGCAGAGATAACACAGAGGAAAAGCAAAAGATGGTCATTAAACCCTCCTTGATGCTTATGGAATGGGGGTATAATCAGAATAGATCTTAGGAGGTATGCAGACAGCTTAGGGTCCTCAGAGGCATTCATCTCACCCCAGGGCCATACCCGTCACGGCACAAAGCTATCTGACGACTCACCGTTCCCTGCCAATCAGTTCGAATTAAACACTTGTTGAACACCAAGTACGTGCTAGGTGCTGTGTTAAGTGCTAGGTCATTCGTCCATTTAACAATACTGATACAGCGCTTTCTATGTGCTGGGTACTGTTCTAGCTACTGGGACACAGCAATAAATAAACATTACAAGTCATATCTCTGCTCCTAATCTGGACTAGATTAGATTTCAAAATTCACTATTTTAAAATTTGAGAAAGATGACATTTCCCAACGTACGTAAAATGGCTTAACTTTAAATAGAGGACAGAGGAAGTCATGATACAGTTGTTACCTGAGGGTATGAAGACAATATTGATGCCAAATATAGTGTGAGTCAGCCAGGTGTACAGTCCGTAGAAACCAGCCATTTTGAGGGAAGCATCAAACACCCCTCTAGAAGGCCCAAGACAAAGGGAAAGTAAACACACACGGGATCATCTTGTGATTCAGAAACATCAATATGTCTAGGTTTCTGGCTACTGCAGTCCAAATCTGATAATAGCTTCCAATTCTCCAATGGCCTGAGAATGGTGTTTTCATTTCGTTTCAAAGACACATAAAGACTGTATTTTAAAACCCTGAAATGGGTTTACTAAACTGTTCTTTAAATTTCTCTCTGATAAAAAGATAACTGAAATAAAATACCTTAAAATACCCTACTCACTGAAATAACTCATCCACTTTTCACTTCCAAAGCAGATTTTTCACCGTCAAAATAAACGGAAAGAAAATTGAGATTGAAGATCATGTTTCTGAGGATGTAGCTAAACTGTAAGAAATCCAGGCTGCAGCCAGCCCTCCCCTCTGGAAAGAGCAAGTGAGGGATAATATAACTTCAACTTCCTCCATCTTTCTTCTCTTGTTAACAAAATTTTGCCACATTTCTTCAACTATGCAACCAAGCCTACAAAGTAACTTCTACAAATGCTATCAAAGAATGTAGGTCATTGGGAGAGAATTTATGGAAAGAAAAATCTTACTAACTCCAAAGTAAAATCAGAGAGGAAAATACAAGAGGGGTAAAAACAGACACACATAATCAGTGACTAACAGGAATAAAGTACATGAAAATCTGCAATCTCAGGCACTACATTTTTGCTTTCAGTTGGAAGATTATTAGGGTAGTATTGTGTATGGAGGAGAAATAAGGAACTTCTCAGAGAGACCCCAAAGGCAGCAAACCTTAAGTTACCCCAAAGTTACAAACACCCAGGAATCTGCGGGGCACGGGGGAGGCATACTCATACTCACGAGAGAAGGAAAAGCCATCTGCAATGGAAAAAGCAGAGACCATGGCAGCAAAGGTGACACTGTACAAACAAGAGCAAACACCAAGCTTTTCCAAAGCATCGCAAGAGGTGTACTGTCGCAAAGCCAAGCTCTGGAGTCTGGTGATTCAGTCACTTAATAGGGTTCGGAGACATGGATTTGGTGACAGAGCGGCTCCCTAAATTGTGCCTTCTCTGTCATCCTGACCAACAGCTTTCACTCAAGAATGTCTTAAAGGTACCATGTGATCTCTGACAAGAAGGACACAGATGAAAGTGGTATCAAAAAGACTGAAACGAAAGGAGATAGCCCACAGGAAATATAAAAAATCTAGCGGCCTGGGGTTCACTGGTTTGGATCCTGGGTGCGGACGTGGCACTGCTTGGCGAGCCACACTGTGGTAGGCGTCCCACATATAAAGTAGAGGAAGATGGGCACAGATGTTAGCTCAGGGCCAGTCTTCCTCAGCAGAAAGAGGAGGATTGGCAGCAGATGTTAGCTCAGGGCTAATCTTCCTCAAAAAAAAAAAAATCTAAACAGTAACTGGATAGAGGAGACAGAGGAAAATGAAAATGGCAGAGCTTCAGGTTTTAAACCTGAGGGGAAAAGAACAGCAGTGTCTCAAAGACAGAAAAGCCCAGAATGTGAGAGGACGTGGAAGAAAAGGGAATACATTTAGCTTGGGCGATTGTAAGAAAAAAGGATGATGAGGTAGCTGGAAATAAGAGACAAGGCTTAGTAGAGAACCAGAGATAACAGATTTGAGATGCATCAGAATGGATTAACCACGGGAAAGGATAAGACGTCCCAAGAGGCAAGCACAGAGAAAATGGAGCAATGGGCCGTGTTCTCACAGGGGACCGAAGGACAAAGATAGACCAGCCAGAGAGATACTGAAATCATTTCGTAGGAGAAAGAAAATCACTTGAGTATACCATTCCCAGAGATCAAGGGAGAAGGAAGCTTTTGAGAGGAGAGAATAATATCAAATGCCCACAGAGAGATTAATGAGAATAAAGTCTAAGAAAAAAAGCACAGAATTTGACTAGAACTGGGGGGCGGGGTGTCAATCAAAAAAGATACAGAGGTGGTACTTTCATCAACTTTATGTCATTTAAAAATCTTCAAGCCAAAAATAAGCTGACATCAAAGGTGCAACAGAATATCTCAACTGAGTCACCCCTTTGGGTGGCAAGCAAGCAAAGCTCAATCCAAAAGGGACCACTTACAGGAAACACACATGGTCTTCTTTCTCCTTCCTCTAGGAATAGTGCTTGTTTGTGATATTCTCACTTAGGCAACTTTTAAGTAATTTTGTGGACCGTAAGTGCATTACATATTGTTTGCAGTTACTAAATACATTCATGTAACCCAAGGAGGGAGGAAAAGACAAGATATTCTCCTCTACCTTATGACTTACGATCTGGTACACAAGCTTTACAAAACACCAGAGAACGACCCTCTAACGATTCACTGGGAGATAGAATTTCTTAACTCCCTCAAAATCCTAGCCATTTTTCCTCCTCTCTTTTTACCACTTTATTGAATTATAATTTACAAAGAACAAAATTCACCAACTTTTCGTGTACAATTCAGTAAGTCCTGACAAATGTATACAGTTGCATAACCACCGCTACAGTCGAGATACAGAACAATTCCATCACCCCAAAAAGTTCCCTCATGCCCTTTTATAGTCTATGCCCCCGAACCCTGGTCTCTGACAAGCCACTAAATATGCTTTGTCACTATCATTACAGTTTTGCCTTTTCTAGAATTCATGTTAACAGGACATCATACATTACGTAGCTTTTTAACAAAATTGTGGTAAAATATACACAACGTGACATTTACCATTTACCCATTTTTCAGTGTATAGTTCAGTGGCATCAAGTACATCCACACTGTCATTATGTAGCTTTTTGTGTTTGGTTCCTTTCACCTAGTACAACGCTTTTGAGATTCCTTCCCATTGTTGAGTATACTGGTAGTTTGTTCCTTTTTAATTGCTGAGTAGCATTCCATTATACAGATATAGCACAATTTGTTTATCCATTTGCCAGTTGATGGGCATTGGGCTGTTTCCACTTTGGGGCTGTTGTGAATACTGCTGCTATGAACATTTCAGCACAAGGCTTTGTGTGGACATGTGCTTTCACTGCTCTTCAGTAAATGCCTAGGAGTGGAGACGCTGGGTCATATGGTATCTGCTCAACTTTTTAAGAATCACTAACAATTGTTTCGATCTCCCAATTTAGAGAAAATGTCTATAGCCCATGAACACCCAGCCAGAAGTCGCTGCCTGCTACATCATACCCCATCCCCCAAGGTATGAGGCTAAACTCCATACTCATGGTATTATGTGGATGGATACCGATAGAAAGAGCAAGTCAGCTCACGAAAAGCTAAATGACAATGCACCTGAAGCTGCTGGTAACCGACCCGGCGCACACTAGGTGCTCAATAAACAACAGCTGTCACTGGAGCTACTGTTGTCATCAGATTTCCTGAGATCAGTACAGTCGATCAGCGCTCAGAGGATTCTGATGATGATGAAGACTCTAGAAGTTTATAGCACCTCAAGAGCTTAGTATATCTGAATTGAGATGGTCAGGTCAAGAGAAACTAACATTTGCTAAGTACCCACGTGGTAGGCTGAATAATGCCCCCACAATAATGTCTATATCCTAATGCCCAGAACCTGTGAATATGTTACCTTACAGGACAAAAGGAACTTTGCAGATGTGATTAAGAATCTTGAGATGGGGAGAGTATCCTGGATTACTGGGTGGGCTCAATGTAATCACAAAAGTCCTTCTAAGAGGGAGTAGTTCTGATATTAGATAGTGGTGATGGTTGCACAAATTGCAGATATACTAAAAACTACTGAACTGTATACTTTAAAATGGTGCGTTTATGTATGTGAATTTTATCTGAATAAAAAAATTTTTATAAAAAGGAGGTAGGAGAGTCAGAGACAGGGGAGGAGACATGAGGACAGAAGCAGAGGTCAGAGAGAAAGAAAAGTGAAGATGCTATGCTGCTGGCCATGGAGATAAAAGGGCCACAAGCCAAGGAATGCAGGCAACCTCCAGAAGCTAGAGAAGGCAAGAAAACAGATGTATCCCTATTATAGACATCAAAAAAATGCAGCCCTGCTGATACCTTGATTTCAGGACTTCTGACCTCCAGAACCGTAAAACAAAAAATCTGTCTTGTTTAAGCCTCTAAGTGTATGGTAATTTGTTACAGCAGCAATAGGAAACTATTACAGGAAATAGGAAAAATAATATAACCCACTATGTGCCAAGCACTGTGTTATATGCTTTGCATCTGCTTATTTCATGGATTCCCTGTTGGGTCCCCTCATCCACACAGAAAAGAGACTCCTGGTCAGAAATCAGGTAAATCTGTTAAACTAGAAGTCTAGTATGGTTTTTTAAAAAAGAAAAGAAATAAGAAAAAAACTCAAAATGACAGCAGGGCAGGCCTGAGGTAGTCAAAGTTAAAAGGCAAGAAAAAACCCTTCTGGAAATTATTGGATCTAGGTACTAGATCATTCTGTGTCCTAACTCCCAATCTAGACACCCAGTCACCAAAAGCCAAGACACTGGGTGAATATTCGTTTTTCGTATCCAGATTTCTATTATACATTACTAAGATATTCTCACTCAGGTCAACCAGGTACTTAATGGTCCTCAAAGCCAAGAGACCACCCAACAGAAGCCCGGGCAGCTGCATTACAGCGTGAGTCTGGTCCTGGCCAGGGCCCTGATTTGATAAAATGGCTATCCTAGCTGACCACTTCCAAAAGGGGATAGGGGCTCAGTATACCCATCTTGAGACAAACTGGGATCCTAGTCATCCTATTAAAGTGTTCTGGAAAACAGAAATAGAACATGGGGACAGGGGCAGAGAAACGGAAGAGCAACAAGAGACCAGACAAGCCAGGTGCTCACAGTGTGAGCGTCCACGCCTTGTTGGTACAACTAGATATGGAACTGCCGTATCCCGTTCTGACACCCAGTGTCTTGGCCTTCAGTGAGCTGGGTGCCTGGATTGGGAGGTAGTACACCAGAGTGATCGAGTACACAGATCCTACAGTTTCGAGAGGGCTGTTCTTGTCTTTTTACCTGGAAAAACTCAGGCCCTCATTCTGAGGGATTTTTTTTCCTCTTAACTGAGCTACACTCCCAGTTTAATAAATTTAGTTGATTTCTGACCAAAGGTCTCTTTTTCTGGATGAACAAGGGGACCTAACAGGGAATCAGTAAAATAACATACGCAAAGCATGTAACTCGGTGCTTGACAGCAAATGTTAGGGTGGAGGACGGACTGAGAGAAGGGATGAGACTGGAGGCCAAGGGCCCAGTAGTTAGAAGACTAATAAGAGAGAGAACAACAGAAGGAACTAACAGAGTGGCGGGGAGGAAGAAAACGAGAAAAGAACGCGGAAAATGAGAAATGTTAAGGAGGAGAAACAAAAGGACATGGATTCAGTAGAAAGAACAGGGAAATGAGAGTCCTAAGACCTGAAATAATCCTGGCTCTGTCGCCAACTGCTTTGGAATTCCAGTTCTGTCACTTATTAGTGGCACGATCTTGAAAACCATAAAACTTCTCTGAGCCTCACTTTCCTTGATTGTAAAATAGAGATAATAGGATTCACCTCATAGGGTTATTATGAAGATTACTCTAACGCCAACTAAAAAGTTAACAAGGGGTTGTCTCACTTATATAGGCAAATAGCAAACATTTGTATCTCAACACTACTATTATAAGCCTATTAAAGTGAATTCAGCAATTTTTAAAGCAACACAATGAGAAACTAAATACAAGACAAAGTTTTTTCAGGTCATTTTTCTTGGAAACTTAAAGAAACAGAGGTTTAGGTTTATTAGACTGATCTTTAATCAAGTAGTTAAAAAGGCATTGTATTTACTGACAATTATTACTTAAGAACTCTAGCTAATTTAATTTTCACAATTACAAAAAAGACATTTTGCCTCTCTATTCCAGTGTTAGGTGAGATATCTCTTCAAATAAGTGAAAATATATTTTCCAACAGCTTTAAACTCTTCCTTATCATTTTAATTTAAACAAATACGGTTATAAAGTATAATCTTAAATCCATGAGAATTTCTTTCCAAGGAATATTTAATTTGCTAAAAGTCAAAAATGGAAATACTGATTTACCAAATGATCGACGCTGATTTTTTTTAACGCAAATACTTTTAATTCTCCAAAACTGGAGGGTAAAGGTGGGAAGCATGTTCACTTTCCAAATGAAAATCTCGCAGTACATACATTTCCCCACCTAATTCATTAGTAGGACTCCCACCCGCCAGCACTGAAAAGCTGTAATCCCACAAGCAAGAGCCATACCCGTGTGCATGCACTCATGTGAAAATATCACACACACTAAATTGCACTGAGGCCGTGACAACGTGCAACTTAGTAATGTGCAATATCTCCACCAGAGCAAGCAGAAGGGAGCATCAGGAAGGAAGGGTGCGATGCAAACATTCAGGACGCAACATGCTCTGGGGGGAAAATGGTCTGGGGATAAAGGATGCATGCCACTCTCTCAAAAGTTCACGAAATGACAACTCCATCACAAATGTATTCAATTTAGAAGAATACTTACTCAGGATTGAGAATAATAATTAAGGTTCAAAAATTCAATGAGACAGTGACTATAAAGTAACCACATATTTCAAAAGGCCAAGCTTAAAGAACAAAGACATTTTCACTGTCTGGGCATGCAGTTAACTCCCAATTTCAATACCACTTTTAACTTACTGATGGGTCATATAAAATGAGTTTAATGATTTCCACTTAACCGCAACACTGAAGGTGACTAATAACTGATGCTTATAAAGTCTGTATCACTGATTTGCAGACTAAACTGCACCCTCAGGACATTATAACATTTTCATAATCAAGTGTATAATATTTTTCCTCTTAAAATCTTTCTCCATGAAGAAACATTTCATCTTGAACACAATCCTTCAGAATGAAAGATCCGACAAGAGCTCTTAGAACTAGAACTCACTGCTCTCATATATATGAGAAGGTTCCTTAGAGGCATCTATGGAAAACCTGTACATTTTGATTGAAGTCCTGAATTTAACTGAGTAAAGAAATAGACCAAAAGCACTTAGACTGCTAAAAATCACCTTGAATTACAATCTTTAATTTATCTAACTTGATGTAGCTGTGGTTAGAAGAACAGCGCAGGCTATATAACAAGTTCTCTAGTCTGTATCATATTTTTCCAACTCAGAAAAATCGATCAGTTTGAGAACCATTAGGACTACAGTTATGGTACTGAAGGTTGTTAAAATTTTTTCTGTATTAAAAATAAGATGATAAAGTGAATGGCTTTTGTTCCAGTATACTTTGCAACCAAGACATGGGGTACTATTGTAATGCATAATTAGTGTGCGCAATCTGAAGAAGATAAGACAAATCTAATTTGTAAAAAGACAGATATTTCCTCATATCTCTGTAGATGACCACACTCTTTCTAATCTCATATTCCCTCCTGAGCCAAAGAACTGAATTTTTAGCCACCAGCCTCATGTATCCATCTGAACGGTCTTAACAGTACCACAAATGTAACTCATGAGCTTCTCCCCAGCCAGCTCCTCCTGGAAGAAGGCATCGTGATGTATCAGAAGCACGCGTGCTTTCAAGCACTGGGCCAAGGTGCAAATCACAGCTCTGCTTACCAACTTCGAGCAATCATGACATTAGAGAATTAAGTTTAAAACAAGGGATAATTTGGTAGGGCTGGCCTGGTGGCGTAGTGATTAAGTTTGCACACTCTGCTTCAGCAGCCCAAGGTTCACAGGTTCAGATACCCAGCATGGACCCACACACTGCTCATCAAGCCACGCTGTGGCAGTGTCCCACATATAAATAGAAAATAGAGGAGGACTGGCACAGATGTTAGCTCAGCGACAATCTTCCTCAAGCAAAAAGAGGAAGATTGGCAACAGATGTTAGCTCAGGGCCAATCTTCCTCATCAAAAAAAAAAAAAAAAAAAGGAGGGGGGACAATTTGATTTCATACCATATACACCATGGAAAAAAAAGTGACTCAATGACAGACATCTGGAAAATGATCTAAGAAAGCAGAAACAGAGAAAATTCAAGAACTGTGATTTGAAGATAGAAAAGCTTTTGTGAGAATAAGAGTCAGTGCTAATTAAGGTTACTTTAGGAAAATGAAGTATCATCTTTCTTGAAGTTCTTCATGGACGAGGTAAATATTTTTCTGTAAAGCTTAGCTTAAGTCACACTGACAGGAGGATTTTGCCAGCCTTTGACATGGTTGATTCAATAGCTTTATCCTATTGAGAAGGTTGAAGGTGATTTTTCCTTTCTGGTAGAGCATTTGCATAAACTTGTTTGAGTCAGATAGATGTCACTTAGAAAAAGTTAGGCACTGGCCCAGTGGTGCGGCAGTTAAGTTCGTGTACTCTACTTCAGCAGCCCTGGGTTCATGGTTTGGATCCCAGGCATCGACCTAGGCACTGCTTATCAAGCCATGCTGTGGCAGGCATGCCACATATAAAGTAGAGGAAGATGGGCACAGATGTTAGCTCAGGGCCAGTCTTCCTCAGCAAAAAGAGGAGGATTGGTGGCAGATGTTAGCTCAGGGCTAATCTTTCTCAAAAAAAAGAGAGAAAAAGTTAACCTATTGCTAGAATTCCCATCATTTTGGTGACTCAATAAAGGTGACAGCCAACAGTTACATAGACTTAGGCGGCTTAGTAAGTTCCTCCTGAAGGACAGCTTCACCCTAAGAGCTGTTACATTAGATAACAGACTCCCAAACTTGCAATCTTTCCATGGATGGACCCATGTGGATACCCGAGGGCACTACAGGGTATAACGGATTTTTTTTTTTATCCCACTTGATGTCTAATCAAGGAAGGAAAAAAATCGATCAAGTCTTTACTCAGGCCTTGCTGGTAGGAAAAGGGGAGAAAACCTAGCCAAGTTTTCAGAAAGAGTTTATTTTAGGAGCATTCATCCTATCTGAATGTAACGGAGGGTTTTTCAAAGATCAAAGAAGTATCTTCAGCTGTGACACGAATACAGTGAAAAAATAAGCCAAGCTCAGTCAGACAAGATTATCAGGTCAAATCAAGATTTCTGCAGAAGACTAGTTCCAAGCAATGGTATTTTTACAAAATATGTAAAAACAAAAATGTAAGCCAAAGATTCATTATTCAAGACAAGCTTAAGACTGCCTGGCTAACAACTTCTTAGAAAAAGGAGCTCTAATGGATAACATGAGGATTCAATTTGAGTAGCTATCCATAACAAGTAAAAATGTAGTAGAGGCTTATTAACGAGTTAAGGGCAATAAGGGAAAAGGGTTGGGGAAGGAGCTGAGACAGGCCTGGGCTGCAAAAGGCCTCTCCGTACCCAAAATGCTAAAAGGAAAAAGAAAAGGGGGCAGGAGCCACTGACTTGGAAAGAGTGTATAGAGAATAAAAGTTGAAGAATCACCTCATTCAGAAACCCAGCCTGCAATACACAGACTGCAGATGACATGATGGAAGTTTCTGAACAGAACCTGTGATGCACATAGAGGCTATGACCTGGAGATGACCAAAGACTTTGCCTTTCCAGTATCTAAACCACTCCCTGCCAAGGGCACAGCTCAGATGCAGAAAGAAAGGAAGAAATAGGAAGGCCATCTACTCTCCTCCCAAAGCCAAGCCAGAACTCCTGAGCACAGAAGGAGGGTTCTGAGAGAAGGTGAGGCATGTGGTGCAAGAGGGTGTCTCCCAAGCAATGATTAGGAGCTAGAGAAAGAGCCTGCGGACAGAAGGCTGATGGGGAGAGACCATTAAGTCTTTGTAAATCACAGGCTTGAGAGGTAGGATATTGAAACTGCTGAAGTTTTTTCTTGCCAACATTTGCACTGCTCATATTATCCTCTCAAAAAGACATAAATTTTTTTAAATACCATTGTCCATCACTAGTTTAGCACTGATTATTACTAAGAAGGCTCAGGACAGAAAATGGGCTTCTCATGGAAAGCACTTTCCAAAGGAAATAAGGATAACATAAATCTTATCCCTACCTGATAGCTTCTTCCACAGACTGGCCAATAATATTAGAAGAAGGACCTGGCTGAGACAGTGGTGTCAGGCTTATCACCCACTTCACTGGCTTGTAGTACTCATCACTGGAACTTAACAGATAAAATAGTGTGGTCAGGAAAATTATCTGCAAAACAAAGGACAGTATCTCCTAAAAAATCACATTTGGAAACGACAGGAAGGAAACACAAATGGAACCAAGAATACGCTTTACTGCGGAAAGAAATGTGATGTGTACTTATCTTGGGTACATACCAGAGACAGCACAAAATTGAGAAGGGCAGTCCCGCTGTAGAAGAGGATGGTCAGGAGCGTAGTGACAGTAGTGAAAAGCAGGCTGACATTCCGGCTCATAACAATCCACAGAGACTCTAAGATCTGACCAGGAGGGAAAGCTCAATATCAGAACTGATCCTGAGGAAAGAAGTGTCTAACATATGCTTTTAATAATAATAATAATAATGTGTTTTAGTACCAAAAACTGAAAAGATAAGAACTGAGTATTATTATTTTAAATGAAAAAAGAAAATCATCTGAAAACATCTGAATGTTGATTAGTAAGGAAAATGGTTAAGTAAATTATGGTGAATCTACTCCAAATAATATTAGGCAGCCATTAAAAACATCTGTTATAACATAGAAAAATATTTTACCATATAATGGTAAGTTTAAAAATCAGGATACAAAAATTTTATAGATAGCATGATTACAACTATCTAAAAATGGCATCATAGAAAAAATACCTACAGAAGAACATGCCATAATGCAACCTATGGTTCTAGGTAGCCTGTAGGATCACAAGCACAGGCCATGAAATTCCAGCATTTGTCTTGCCTCCCTCCTTGCCACCTCTAACTCAGATTCATCTACAAACACAAAAGCATCACTTCAATGACTTCAATAAAGTCATAATAAAAGAATTGAACAGATAGGGTCAAGAGCAGAGTGCTGCAGCTGAAAATCTTTCCTCAGAAGGACATGACCCTTACATCAAGACCTACTGAGTTCATTCGATCCATCACCTACAAGTGGTTATCCACTAGAACCAGAATTAAAATGGTTATTAACATATGTTAATTACTAAAAGAAGATGTACAATATCTATAGCACACCTACATGTTTTTATTTCCTACATGTTTTATCTCTTCATGAACTTAAATTCCCTCATGATAATGTCTGCTCTATTCTTCCCAAGAGAATTATCCTTCCTCCTAATGAAAAACATGGAAGCAAAATGATCAGAAAAACACCTTCCGTTACAGTTTTCGAAATGCTGCCACCAACCTCACGGCAATGCTGTGAGGCAAGCAATGCAGATGATACCATCTTTATGTTACATATATACAAAAAGAAGCTCAGAGATTTTTAAAGACTTGCCCAAGGGCATGGAGCTAATAAGTGGAAAGAGAGCTGGAACCAGAACTCCTAACGTCTGATTTTATTTTGGTGCCCTTTCCAAAACAGAAGCTCTGTTTTTTGTCATATGGTCAAGTTATACCATCTGTTCAGTAAAAAGCCCATCCATTCCTTTCCTATCTCAAATGTACCCTTTATCAAGGCATATTTTGTTGTCCTCGGCATTTCTTGCAAACCTCAGCTCGCTCTTCATAAGAGAACTCTGGCAGGCTGGTTTCATTTACAATAATAACTCCTTACATAAAATCTTGAAAACGCTTCACTATGCCTACAAAAATATGCACGATTGACTGTTTGACCTTGTGGGATAAAGAATGAATGAATAATGCCACTGATTCCGAGAAACAAACCAACAATGCCCTTACTTGTGATTTTGACAAGCATTCTTTTGGAGGCTTCATTCATTTTGGAATTTTTCATCCAAAAAATTTTTAAATAGTTTCTGGGTCATGCTGATAGGAAATAGTCCATGCTAATTCTTAAGAAATTAACTGCATATATTAATTGTAGACTGGTAGTTGCCAACAACATCAAGTAACCTTTCCGTGTAGTCACGGGGATTAGGCAGGAAGGTTCAGAATATACAAAAGAGCTGTTGGGTATTACAAGTTTGAGGGCAGAAATAAAAAGTTCAATCAAGGGGTGACCTTGACAGCTTAAAATTTTTGTCCGATGAGATCAGCAGTGCTATTAAACAATGTGACCTTTTATACTGTATAAAATGTGTCAATATTTAGATAATGTACAGAAATCAGTGAACCAGTATTCCAAATGACCAGTGCATATTACAAAACCATGTACGGGTAAAAGATCCATTCCTAGCCAAAACACAGCAACAGACTTTAACATAAGAGCACAAAAAGTTCACTGACATGGTTTCAAATTCCACACTGCAACAAACCTTTAAGAAATCCATTTGTTGAGTTTTGGTGCAGTATCAAAGAAACACCACCACAATTTATCTGAAAACGTTATTAAAAGACTCCCCTCTTTTCCAACTATATATCTGTGTGAGGCTGAATTCTCCTCATACACTTCACCTAAAAGTATTTCAATAAACTGAATGCAGAAGTAGATATGAGAATCCAGGCATTAAACAGATTTGCAAAAATATAAAAGAAAGCCACTCTTCTCACTAAATCATTTTTTGTTTTGGAAAATCAGACAAACACTGATTTGCAGTCCCACCCTTAACACAACTGTCTCCATTTTTCCTTTTTTTCTGCAACTTTCTGCTTATTTACAGATATAATTCGAATTCTATGTTTTCTTTTGCATCATAAGCATTTCATCTTTATCTTTCATCACTAACCTTCATCTTTATTTTTAATGACCCACATTAGTTCATTGAGTTTTGATATTAGTATTTAATCATTACCCAATCATAGGATATAGAGATGGTTCCCAATTTTTAATGTCACAAGTAACACTGCAAGGAACATCCCTACACACATATTTTTTGTTTTGGAAAACAAAAAGCATGTTCTTTATGTTAACATGCAATGTTACTTTTTAGTGAACTGATAAATATTTTAAAAGTTCTCAATTTTAACTGTTAATACAATAAACATCAACAGAATCCATGTAAGCTAAAGCTCTTTGGAGTCCTCAGACCAAAATGTTTGCGAGCCACTGGACTAGAGAAAACAGATGGAAGGGATTATTAAAAATTCTTAGAACCGAAGGATATGAATTTCTAAACTTAATTTCAAACTGTTATAGCTATATTCGGTGCATGGGAGGAAGAGAACATGTGAGTGCAGGGATGGGGGTAGGAACAAAAGGAGCTGAAAAAAAAACCCCAAGGGAAGTATAAGAAAGCACTGAGGGACTTGTAAAAAAGTCACATCTTTATCTTCCTCTTCCATATTAGGAAGCCAAAAGACAATATCTAAAATTGCAAAATGAAGACAGAGCAGCAAAAACGTTATTTTAGAAATTTAGAGATAGATACCCAGAGAAAGCTAAAAGAATTGACAACTGGTTCTGGAGAATGAGACGGAAGTGAGGAAGCACAGAGTAGGGCACTACTATTTTTTTTATTAAAAATCTCAAAGCATTTTTGACTTATCAACTATGGCCATCTATTAGCTTGATAAAATTAAATTTAAAAAAAACTAGCATTGCGAACTTCAACTTCAGTTAACCTGATGAGTCACAGGCTGAGACACCTCACCAAGCACGCTATGGAATGAAGAGCGGTCATTAAAACTTAGCAACACTGCTAACTGTTCCTTGCTGCCTTGGATCTTTTGGAAAACAAGGCAGAGGTGGATGGTGCATGGGGGGAGAGTAGGTGGGACAATAACAAGCTAAGCCGTTAAACGTCCAGTCTCTCTGATGTAACTGGAGCCATATTTCCATCTGCCAAAGGGCGTCGCCCACCAGAAAGGCAGCTTTAACCCTCTCCAGTGGTCCAGCTGGAGACAGTCTAGTCAGCCTAAGGGAACGAGGGCGCCTGTCTCGGAATCTGAGCGCACTAGCACCGCACACATGCTTCCTGACTCAGCATCTCTCGGTTACTCTTCAACCACAGAGGGGGCATCAGGTAAGCTACACCCGGGGCCTATGGCTTTTGGACATCTTTCTAGCGCACTTAGAATCCTCAAAACTGTAAATGTCACGGCATTAAAAACCCAAGGCCTCTAAGTGTATAAAGAAAACTGGGAATTAGTTTGCGTTTTTTCCTAAGTCCAATTCAAATATAAATACCATTTCTCACCGAAAGAAATGTCTCGATGTTCTCATGAACAAAGGAGGCGATATCCTGCCAGTCCAGAATGTCTCCGAGCCAGCTGTTCTGACGATTTATATGCATCTTGTGTCCTTTGTGCCTTCCAGAATGCGTTACGTTCTACGGCATAAAACAGTTCAGACATGAAATCTCCATCTTAATCTACAGATTAAAACGTGTAAATAGCCTATTTTGTTTTAGGTCCACTTGAACGCTTTAGTAGTTACTCAAAGGTAAAAAACTGCATTATTTAAGAAACTAAGAACTCCACCTAAACAGCTGAAATATAATGTTTCTGTTTACATTCTAGCTACTGTGTCTCAGATTAGCTCAAGTGTTTCCCTCCTAAGTACATTTGTGCACACACTTTATTCCTCAATATACTCAGCTGTGCACCAACACAGCACTGACTTGCAGCTGTTTTTTTCCTCCTGTGTAGCCCCTCTACCTTTTTCTCGGTCTCCCACTTTTGCTTCTTCCTCCTTTCCTCATCGCCTTTATTAATCTTCCATACAAGAGAAAGAGAGCAAGGGGGAGACAAGAATATGAAAAACAAACAAGAATGGGGGGAATCTAACTTGCCCATCTGGAAGAGAACTACCCTGGCGAGAATGCAGGAATAGTTAAACTTGAAAGAGATGTGAATAAACACAGTGGGGAGGTTAAAATTCAGAAACAGAGGTAGGCTCTTAACATTCTGCATGTGTCCCATTCTCCAACTTTTGCTAAGAGAACAGTGATGTCAATCTTTATTACACGATGGACATTAGGTCCCAGTGAAAGAGCTGAAGAAAGCAATTTACTTACCCTTACAAACCGATGCTTTTAAAACACTGACCTCCCTGGACCATAAAATGAAGCTCAAAGGGGATGAGGGATAGCAAAAGCTGTTCGTTTGTAAGCAGAAGCCCCAAGAGTTAGCAGAAGGAATAGAGAGAACTTTTCCAACTGTCCGACTCTTCAGTAGATTACCTACCTAGAGATTCCCCAAGTAATTTTAACTCCTAGTCTCTGAAACCCATAAAAACCAACACTGTTCCCTCAATTCCTCACAGGACAAGAGTACAAAACCCCAAACAGGTCACTAGGCAGCAAATCTGAATTTAAAATGGCGCCCTCCTCCCCTCCACCCCAAGTTAGGAGATTTAGATATGCTCCTCCTCTCCGTGGATCAACCCCGGGAAAAATCGTCATCAACTCTGCCCCACTCTCCTTCTTCCCCACGAGACAGGCATCCTCCACAGCACAGCTCCTCACGGCCCACGGGCCCTGCCAGCCCAGTGTACAGCATGGCCCGGCACAACCAGCTGCTTTCAAAACCGCATTTCTACATTTAGTGAAAAATGCTATTATTTTCCATCACAAATTCTGAAGTAAGAGTACATCGGCCCAAGTAGTATACCAGGTTGACTTAAAATAAAGATCTCTAAACTTTTGGCTCTATTTTCACTTTCTCAAAGAGAAAACGTCTAGAGCTGTATTGTCCAAAACAGTAGCCTCTAGCCATGTATGGCTACTGAGCACTTGAAATGTGGCTAGTCCAAAAACTGAAATGTTCTGTTAGTGTAAAATACACACCAGATTTCCAAGACTTACTTAAAAAAAAAAAAGAGGATGTAAAATATCTCATTAAAATTTTTTCCATTGATCACATATTGAAATAATAATATATTGGGTTAATTAAAATATAGTATTAAAATTAATTTCACCTGACTTTTTATTTTATTTATTTTTTTGAGGAAGATTAGCCCTGAGCTAACTACTGCCAATCCTCCTCTTTTTGCTGAGGAAGACTGGCCCTGAGCTAACATCCATGCCCATCCTCCTCTGCTTTATATGTGGGACGCCTACCACAGCATGGCTTTTGCCAAGCGGTGCCATGTCCACACCCGGGATCCAAACCAGCAAATTCCAGGCCGCCGAGAAGCAGAACATGCAAACCTAACCCCTGTGCCACCAGGCCGGCCCCTGAGTTTTTTTTAATGTGGCCGCTAGATAAATTAGCATTTCTACTGCACAGAGCTAGTCTAGAGGGTGCGATGCTGCTGATGACAATGATGAACAGAGGATGGAATATGGATACACCAGAGGGAGGAGCGGGTTCTACCATGGAGATGAACCATCAACTCAAGCTGACTTTTAGTGACCTGCGGTTTAAGACCTTGCAGCTTAAAATTTTCAATAAATGAAATCCCAGTGTTAATACAATCCTATCTAGTCAATGAGTCTGTAAAATAAAAGGACTTCATCAGTTTACAATTTTACTAAAATCCTTTTATTATAATCCTTTTATTACAACTTCATTATAATCCTTTCATAAAATAACTTACCTTTACAAACCAAGAATGATACAGTCTGTCCCAAAGTTCCAGTACTTGCTTTTCAATTACAGCAGTATTGTTCACCTTATCTCCCAGAATTTTATGAAGCTGGAAGAAATACAGATATAATCTGTTTTAATATTTTTCAGGCAACAATCCAGTAAAATTAATACAAGCTGGGTCTTTACATTTGTTCCAAACCAAACTAAGACGTTCCAGACCATTTAATTGCCTCTGCCCACACTATGTTTTCTTAAACTCTACTCCTCAATATTCCCAGTAAATTTCCTTGCCTTTCTTAGCTTTTTGCGTTTTTTCTCTCCTCTATTCTTGATTCTCTAAGAGAGTCACTTTAGGTTATAAGGGACTGGTATAAATGGAGCCTTGATTACTGACTTCTCTAAGCTCATCTGCCCAGAGAAAAACCTGTTGCATGTGGCCCAAGTGCCCGTCTATTATACAGAAGTCTCACGTTACATTTATCACTATGATAAGAATTACCACAGAACTTTAAGAAAAATTTTAGAAACTTAGCCACACACACAGTATTCCCTTTGTTTGCTAAGAGATGTCAGGTCTGAGTTATAGCTGATCAAGTCTGGCTTCAGGGCTCCTGGAAATCAAGTGCACTGAGACAAGATAACTCAGAAGAAAGCTATTCATTATAACATCCTATCCCATATTTTATTTATTATTAAAACCAGATGGTAATATTACATCAGACAAACACTGATTCGTAGTCCCACTTCCTTAACACAACTGTTTCCGTTTTTCCAGTTCCTCTGCAACTTTCTGCCTATGGCTAGATATAATTTAGAATTTTGTATTTTCTTTTGCATCATAAGCATTTCACCTTTAACCTTCATCTTTATTTTTTGTTTTTTGAGGAAAAGGAAGATTAGCCCTGAGCTAACATCTGCTGCCAATCCTCCTCTTTTTGCTGAGGAAGACTGGCCCTGAGCTAACATCCGTGCTCATCTTCCTCTACTTTGTATGTGGGACGCCTGCCACAGCATGGCTTGCCAAGTGGTGCCATGTCCGCACCTGGGATCCGAACCGGCAAACCCTGGACCCTCGAAGCGGAATGCACGCACTTAACCACTGTACCACCGGGCCGGCCCCCTCATCTTTATTTTTAATGGTTCTATATTAGTTCATTAAGTTTCAATATTATTATTTAACCATTACCCAATCATAGGATATAAAGATGATTCCCAATTTTTATTGTCACAAGTAACCCTGCAATGAATACCCTAATACACAATTTTTTTCTTATTACTAACAGTAAGATAAATGTATAGGAATCAAAGGAAATGAGCATTTTAATGGCTCTTGCTATGCACTGCCAAACTGTCTTCTCTAAGAACTGTACCAACTAATACTTTCCAACATTGCATGAATGAACCAATTTTCCCAAAAACTTAAGGACTAACTGATAAATTTTACATAATTTAATAAGTGTGAAATGGTAAAGAATTATTTAAACTTTTCTTCTTTAGTGACGAGAGTGACCATTTCTCATGCTAGTTTCCAATGTGTATTTCCTCTTGTGTGGCCTTATTCATACCTTTTGCCCACTTGATGCTGGCCTTAAAGATACCTGAACCAGTTTGTAGACATGTTTAATATAAATACATCTGCCCAATGTCTTCCTTTACATTTACTTGATTTATTCATAAACCAAATATAAACCAGTGAATAGAGTAAAGGCCACTTATCTTTGCATAACATTATACAATTTACAATTGGCTTTCACCTACATTATGTGATCTTTACAACTCTAAGAGTTAGACAGAAAAGGTTTTGTTATCACCTTTGCTCTCTTAATATGAGAAAACAGATTTAGAAAGGATGTATGACAGGCCCAAGGTCATGCAGCTAAGTGGCAGAGTCAGGATTAAAAGTTCTCAAATATTCTTTCAACTACAGCGTATATAACCCACGAACAAAGAACACCTAACAGTGCAAATTACCCAAAGTAATTAAAAATCATAATTACCTCTAGTCTACTTTCCTCCAGTTACTTTAAATTTGTCTTTTATATATTATAACAGTCAGATACTCCAGGACTTCCCATTACCAATTCTTTCTGTCACTCTATCAGCTTCTGAGATCTCCCTTTAACCAGAAGAGGCCTAAAATGGTTACCGACAGCACCCGGTCCAGGTTGGCCGCGGAGTGGCCTTTATTGCTATAAAGCACTACTTCAAATTGGCATCTTCCTTAGCAGTCTCACTCCCAGAACAACAGAGAAGAACTAAAATATCACAACTATTAAAATAAAGGGGAGGTCAACATAATTGTACAGCACGCTATAAAACACTCTTCTCAAACTCATGGTGCTATCAACCAAAGCAGAACACTACACACCCGGAATACTGTCCTGTGACATTACATACATATTGCAAGTCACAAGGAAGAGTGGGCCAGAGAGCACGGAGTCTGAGGGACATATCGCTGCTGTAAGAATCATCACTAAAACACACATACCGTTGGTGGTATATAAGATGCTCTTTGTATATGAAAGGTAATAAAGCATTAAGAGCAATCAAAATGCCATTTGAAAGCTCTATCACTTAAGGCAAATAACCTCATCTATAAAGTGGAGATGCTAAGTCAGCGGGTAATTCTCTCTTCTCACCTTGCTTGAAATCTTGGCAGTGTCTGCCATAGTGGATGATGTCTTTCTTGAAACTTTTTTTTCTCTAGGCCTCTGACAAAGTTTGGTTTTCCTCCTACCTCACAGGCTACTCCTCCTCAGTCTTCTCTGCTGGCTGACTTTGCTGACCTTCAAAAGCTTAAGTGCTCCACGAGTCTATCTTTGATCCTCTTCTAGCTACACTCTCTCCTTAGGCCATATTATGGACTCAACTCTGTCCCCCCCTCACCCCCCCCTGCAATATTCGTATGTTGAAGTCCTAACCCCCAGTACCTCAGCATGTGACTGTATTGGAGATAGGATCTTTAAAGAGGTAAATAAGGTAAAATGAGGTCATTAGGGTAGGCCCTAATCCAACGACTAGTATTCTTATAAAAAGAGATGAGGACACAGCCATACACAGAGGGAGGACCAAGCCAAGGAGAGAGGCCCCAGAAGAAACCATTCCTGCTGACATCTTGATCTTGGACTTCTAGCCTCTAGAATCGTAAGAAAATTAATTTCTGTTGTTTAAGCCACTTGGTCTGTGGTACTTTGTTACGGCAGCCCTAGCAAATTAACACTCAACGAGCAAAATAACATCTCATCCAATCCTGTGGGTACTATATGATGATACTCAAACCTCCATCTACAGCCCAGGTCTCTCCCCTGAGCTCCCGCTATGTATGTCCAATAGCCTTTTTTCGTATCTCTACTTAGATATCAAATAGATATCTTAAACATAATATGCCCCAGACAGAATTACTCATCTATCTGTAACACCTACACCCCACTACCACCTCCAAGTCTTTCCATCTCAGTAAGCGGCACAGCTATCCTCCTAGCTAGACGAACCAAAAACATCCTTCCCTTTCACTCCATGTCCAATCTATGAGTAATTCCTGTCAGAACAACCTCAAAAATATAGCTCAAATATGACCATTTCCCTCAATTTCCACTTCTACAATCCTAGTCTAAACCATCAACATCTCACTTGGACTACTGGAATAATAATCTTTTAAGTGGTCTCTAGGCCTGCTCCATTCTTGCCCACTTCTCCATAAAGCAGCCAAAATGAGCTTTCAATATCCTAAGTCAGATATCTCTTTCTGTTTTAAATCCATATAATGCTTACCTTTGTAACTAAAACAAAATCCCAATGTCTTGTTATGATCTATGGCTTGTCTCATCACCACATTCCCTATTCCAGCCATCTTGGCCTTCTTTCCATCAGCCAAGACTGTGCCCATCTCAGAGCCTTTGAATTGTCTATGCCCTCAGCCTGAAACATTCTTTTCCCAGACCTTCACAAATTGCCTCCTTTTCATCATTCAAGTCATAGAGTAAACATCACCTTCTCAGAGACATTCTCTGGCCATCTCAGCAAAAGCATCACCCTGAGACACCCTCTACCACATTACCCTGTTAACTCTGGTCATAGCACTTTTAGATCTGAAATTATTTGTTTACGTGGTTGTTTCCTCTCACCAGAGCGTAAGCTCTAGAAAGCTCCAGAACAGTGGTAACTCTTTCTGGTTTACTGTTTTTCCCCAGCACTTAGAACAGTGCCTGCCATTTTGCAGACTGGCTGTCACTTTCTTCATTCTAGGCACAGGAGAAGGGACAGAGGAAACGCATTCAGTACTTATTCTCTTGCTGTCTTAGGGCAGCATCTCCAGGTACTAGTTTTAAAAAGAGCGTATCAAGCAGAAAGAATAGCTCAAGCAAGGATGTCGAAGGAAAAAAGTAAATTGGATGCTGAGAAAACAGCAAACTGGGAGGTCTGAGTAGAATTCAAACAAGGCCTAGAGGACGTAGGAGAGAAGGCTGACAAAGTCGGCTGGGGGGCAGACATACAGGAACCTTCTCTGTTCATTTCTAAACACACCCTAAAAAATTCTTTTCGTTTTCTGAGCATGACATTTTTTCCTAGCCTTGGCCCCTTCTGGACTTTAGCTCTTAGGACCCAATCCTGACATGATTCTTATTTGGATAAGATCTGAGCTTATTAGAAAGCTACCTCTGCAATTATAACGGCTCCTTTTTCTTTTTTTAATAACTTTATTGAGATATAATTCACACACCTTCCAACTTACTCATTTAAATGTAGAATCAATAGTTATTTGGTATATTCAGAACTATGCAACCACTGCCACAATCAATTTTGGAACATTTTCATTACCCCAAAAGGAAACCCACACTCACTGGCAATCACTCCCCCATTTCTCTCCAATCCCCTGTACCCCTGGAAACCACTACTTGACAGTCTATAGATATCTCTCTTCCGGACATTCATATAAATTGATCATACTTACGTGGTCTTTTATGACTGCTGCTTTTACTAAGCATAATGTTTTTGAGGTCCATCCATGTTGTAGAACATATCAGTACTTCATTCCTTTCTATGGCCAAATAATATTCCATTATATGGATATATCCCATTGTATTTATCCATGCATCAGTTGATGGACCTTCAACGGTTGCTTTTAGATATTATCCCCATGTCTTCTAAGTCATGATTACATATATTTTACAACTTTGTTAGCAATGACCATCTCTCTTCAGTTGTCTTCCCTTTTAGAATCTTGAGCAAAAGGTTTCAAACCTATTTTTTCTCTTAAGTAATTTGAAACTTACTTCTTTAAAATCTAAGGCACATTTCCACACCCAAATTCCTTTTTTTACACTTTTCCCAAATAGGTAAGAATTCTAGAATAAAAACCTATTTATCCCAAATAGGAAAAACAAACTGAACACTACGTTTTCAGCAGAATAAGTCAGCCAACATATATCTAGAAGGCTAAAAGTCTTCTGCAATGGCTGAATCTTCCTTCTGTGATAATTCTAAGATCTATATCCATATACTTATCTTCCATTTTTTCAATAAATATTTTCTAGACTTCCATGTGACAGTTGATTAGGTTATCTGGTATAGACCCAAGAAAATCAATAACACGTCTTTCTCTCTCTCTCTCTTTTTTTTTAAAGGTATGCCTTTTTTGGTGAGGAAGATTGGCACTGAGCTAACATCTGTTGTCAATTTTCCTTTGTTTCTCCACCTCTTCAAAGCCCCAGTAAATAGTTGTATATCCCAGGTGTATGTCCTTCTAGTTCTTATGTGGGATGCCGCCTCAGCATGGCTTGAGGAGCAGTGCTAGGTCCGTGCCCAGGATCAACTGGCTAACCCTAGGCCACCTAAGCAGAGTGCACAAACTTAACCACTACACCACCGGGCCAGCCCCACATCTTTCTTAACTTTTAACTTGACCACAATTCCATCCTTAGGTTAATAGATTACTATACACATTTGTGCATTATAATTTCCAAGATACCTTTTTTTTGTTGAGACTTTGTTTTGAATTTTGAACACAGAATCACAAACATACTTTTCTGGGCACAGATCTCACTCCAACAAATTCTGTCATTCCCTAGATGATCCTAATGACTTCAATATATTACAACTTCAAATTAGCTTCATTCTCATAGGCAATAGTAGGGGGAAAAAGATAGCCCAAACTCAAATCATGGAGTCTGATCCTTAACTGTGACAACTGTCTTTTCTCTTTCATTTCCCCTTCACAAAGCTTTAGTCAAGCTAATCTCAAGCACACTCCTGTTTCTACATCTTGGCTCACATAAATATCCTTCTCTTTAGTCATCTAAGACCTATCATTCCTTCAAGCTTTATCTCACCTGCCACAGTGAAGCACTCCCCCCAGTTCTGGGCACACCCTTCTCGCACACCACAGAAGAGCGAGCAAGGGATGTGGCGTTAGTCTTCCATGGGAAACCAAGCTCTGCAACTGACTACATGACCACTGGGCATTTACTGAGCCTTACTGAGTCTGTTTCCTCATCTGTAAAGTGGGCAAAACACTTCAGACGACTGCAGGTTTCTTGAAAAGATTAAACGAAACCTGTTGGAAACTGCCAAGCACAGTTACCAGCAGATAATAAAATTTTCTATGTGCTAATACTTTCTTCTTCAAAGCCGTATTTGACCACCCAAGCTTTGGATCACTCTGTCCTAATGCACAAATAATGAATCAGATCCATCCTGAACAAGAAGCAAAGGACCAACCTCTCAGATTGTTCAGGCTACCAGCACTATTCAGTATGATCATCCAGAAGGTTTAATTTCACTGTGTGTTGCTTGTTGACTTGTAGACATAAGCCTATTTCAGATACGGAAATTGTTCTGAACAGAATCTCTACTTATACTTTATCAAAGCAAGAAATCACTTCCAAGGAAGACCTTGCAAAGAGCAAGCCAGAAAGAGAGGCTCTTCCTTACCTTGTGGGTTATCCATTCTCGTCCATACTGATACACGTTGTTAGCCGCAGAATTGAGGGCTCTTTGGACTACCTGAGCCTCAGGAAGCCAACTAATTTAAATAAAGAAAGAAAAAAGTGAAAAAACTAGCACTCTTTTAGTGTACTGCACCAATAACTCTTTGAACTCAATGTATTAAACAATCAGTAACTGATAAACAGTTGATCAGTCATCAACACAGATACAAATGAATCACTTGCAGGACTCCTGGACTTCCAGGCCTAAGTAGCCTAATTCTCACATCCAGAATTTCTCTTCAAGCTTTCCTTATCTTTTAAACCCACTTTTCCCACAAGCTCCCTTTCATTCTTCTCCACCTGGTTTCTCTGCCCATACATTTCCTGGGTCATATGCCTCATTCAGCACCAGCAGACGTGGCTCTGAGACACTGGGATAGACAGCATCTGGGATTCCAAATGGTGGTTCTCAAAGTGTGGTCCATGGACCAGCAGCACCAGAATGGCCTGGAAACCTGTTGGAAATGTCAATTCTTGGGCCTAACCCCAGACCTCCCGAAAAAGAAACTGTGGGGCTAGGGCCCAGCAACCTGCACCTTAACAAGCCCTGCAGGAGCTTCTGATGCACACTAACATTTGAGGACCACTGATCTAAGGAAGTGAACTGAGGAAGAAAACAAGAAAATTAAGAGGGTGAATCACTATTTTCAGTTTTTTATCTATTGAAGACCTTTTTCTTTAAGATGCGAGGGACTCCTGGGCAGAGTTCAGCTGTATGAGGAATTGCAGTCTACAGGCTCTACTCCTGGTGTAGAGAGAGGCAGCCTCCCCATTTTCCTGTTAACTAAGCAGCCGTTTGCCTTAATCAATAATATATTACATATGCCCAGTGTTCTCCAAAGGAGAAAATATTTTCATATATTCTTTTTTTTTAAGATTGGCACCTGAGCTAACATGTGTTACCAATCTTTTTTTTCTCTTCTTCTTCTCCCCAAAGCCCCCAAGTACAGAGTTGTATATTCTAGTTGTGAGTGCCTCTGATTGTGCTATGTGGGACGCCACCTCAGCATGGTCTGATGAGTGGTGCCATGTCCGCGCCCAGGATCTGAACTGGCAAAGTCCTGGGCCGCCAAAGTGCAGCACATGAACTTAACCACTCGGCCACAAGGCCAGCCCCCATATGTTCTCTTAACTGCTCCTGACAATGCTGTATATTAGAGATGCTGACATTCACAAATTTAACAGTCCTGATTTTAACTATTCATGAGTGATGCCAAAAGGCCATGGCAAGCAGTAACCAATTACTTTCCTGGGGCCCAAATATAACACATGCTACACAGCTGGCACATGGCAGAGAATCAGATAGGGAGTCAGGCCCAGTGTGCAACCTCCTTGACTCACAGCAGCTTTACGTACTTGTAGTAATTTATACAGTAAATCAGAAGTGATAACTTGCATGTGTGTGTGTGTGTGTGTGTGTGTGTGTGTGTGTGTGTGTAAAATGATCCTACAGAGAAAGCCAACTGCCACTGATAGTCATGGAAGTAATGATGCCTAGGAAAGTCATGGTCTTTAACCAGAAAAAAAGACATCGTGGACAAATTAAAAAGTGGAATGTCAAATCAGTAACGGTTTGAATCTTTAACATTAACCAGCTCATGCTACACTCCAAACATACTTAAAACGTTTGTGAAGCTTTTTGCAAATTCTCAGCCAGTTCAGATTCTTCTCAGCAAGTAAAACAAAATTTTAGAGATGCCTATAAATGTAATAATCTTACAGTATAAGGATATGAACAGGAAATTTGGATCTCTAAATAGAGATGTGATTTGGGAGAAATTAATTAAGTAGCTTTTAAATTACTCCAGTATCTATAGATTTATCAGTGGTTTGAAGGGACTCCTGGATATTTTCAATTATATGGTACTGCACTTTTACGGGGAAAATTCTATCCTGTAGCATTATTCAAAAGTATGAGGATTCACAGAAGAACCTGAATAGATCCTGAATGACTAACAAATGTCTATCAGGCCTGACAAGAAGTCTTGCTGGCTGCAGTGAAAATGCTCCACCAACGTACTCATGCAGGTGTCCTAACAGCACTAGATAAGAGGAGCTGTCGTGAGGCCAAGTCAAAGGCCTTGGCTCAGCCCAGACCTCCTCACGATGAGACACGGGGCCAGAAACACCTGAGCAACCTTGGCTGGGATGAACTGGGATGTGCCTTCATCTTAATACCAACCAACGCCTCTAACTGAGCTCCTTCCTTAGGATATTCACTACCTCAGCCAATCACTAGCTTCCCTACCCTCAGTCAAGAGGGATCCCCCAGGAGAAACTAAGTTCCTGCAGTTTGGACTGGCCCACGCTCAGCCTCCTGAGAAAATGTTAATCTCTATCACAGTATGACCTAACAAGAAAACAAGCCATAGTGACAACAACTTAGCTTAGCTTCCTGGGTTCCTCCAAGTAAGGGCAGGGCACATTCAGTACCATCTCAGTGCCATCTCCTAACGAAGGCCCTGAAAATCAACAGGCTTGAGACTACTCAGTAGGAAGTAGAAAATAGGTTCTAGACTACTAGAATTGTTCAAGACAAGAATTAAGGTGTGCTTCAACTTCATCTTCTTTGAAGTTCTGCTAGGATGATTGTACCTTAAGTCTTTATAATTCATCCAACAGCCCATGAAGCACATCCATGGGAAGTCAAGGTATCTACACAGGGGATATAAAACGTGCACCATGATGGAAGAAAGCACACCTGATCAATTCTTAACTGTATCCCCTCCACCAGGAGCATCTACGTGAATTTCCCACTAGGTCAACCGCCATCTTCATGACGGGAATCCACTGAGTACTGAGATTTGCAAGAAACCATTACTATTAATTCATGGCTACCCTCACTAATCTGCTGCAAAAGAATCAGACCTTCCATGAATCACCAAAGTCTAAACAGCTTTTGAAAACCTTCCTACATGGAATTTAAGACTCAGCAATAAAAAGGAACAAACCATTGATAAATACCACATCTTCGACGGACTTCAAGGGACTTATGCGAAGTGAAAAAAGCCAATCTCATAAGGCTGCATACTCTCTGATTCAATTTATCTATCTTTATTGAAACACCATCATAGATATGGAGAACAGATTATTGGTAAGGAAGGGTTAGGGATAAGCTGAAGGGGGAGGTAGAGGGTAGGTGTGGCTGTAAAGAGGTGGCATGAGGAGTCTTGTGGTGATGGAAGACTTCTGAACCTTGACCGTGTTGAGAGCTTACAGGAAGCCACACATATGATAAAACTGCAGAGAACACACACATACACACACACGACTGCAGGTAGAACTAGTGAAATCTGAAGAAGGTCTGTGTATTGAACCAATGTCAATTTCCTGGTTTTGTTACTGTACTACAGTTACGCAAGATGACGCTATTGGAGGAAGTGCAGTGAAGAGCCCATGGGGTTTCTCTGTACACTTCCCTGCAACTCCTTGTAAGTCTACAATTATTTAAAAATTCAAAACAAAAGAAAGACCCCCACCTTTCTACAACTACCCTGATCTGGGGCTACTCATACTGTGTGTGCCTTTAATACGCTAGCAGAGATAGTGCTACCACAACTGAAAACCAGTACACAAGGGCTCCGGACTCGTTTCACTAAAGCATGATCGTGAAAGAAAAGGAGGTCTTCAGACATTAAGGCTGCCATTTTTAACTTCACTCCAGATCCCTCTCCTGAACTGCACACCAACATAGCCAATGACCTACTGGATTTCTGCTTAGATTTACCACAGACACTTCAAACTCAACAGGTAAAAAAGTAAATCAACTATTTTTTCCCTCCAAATCTGCTCCTCTCTTCCCTATATAGGTAAATCCACCATTATTTCACTAACTTCCAAAGCTGGAACATGCGTCATGCTAGATTTCTTCAGCCTATATCCAATTAACCACCAACTAACCCCACTAAGATCTTACCAATGGGCCCGTCCTGTTCACCCCCACTACAAGTGTCCACAATGCAGGGCTTCATCACCTCTCACCTGGTTTATTCTGGCCTTTAACTGGTCAAAAGGCTCAACTCTTGTACCCCTTCCATCTTTTCTCCTCAGTGCAGAGGGAAAGACTGCTCTAGAATAAAATCTGTTTATGCCCCTTCTCTTCTTACATCCTTAGTCAAGATAATGAACATATTTATTACTCTCAAGTTTCCTTGTGCTCCTTTGTGCTCTCCCCTGGAGCTCACCCCTAGCCACACACAACCGCTGATCTTTCTGTCACTACAGATCAGTTTTCATTTTCTAGAACTTTACATAAATGGAATCATATCCCATGGACTCTTTTTTGCCTGTCTTCTTTCACTCAGCATAATTATTGTGAGATTCATTCATGTGGCTGCCAGTACTGATAGCTCACTTTTATTTAATGCTAAGTATTATTCCATTGTATGGATATATCACAATTTGTAACTACCAAGAAATAATGAGGACAAGCACTTTGAGTATGCTCTGGCTAAAGGAGATAAGTGGGCAGAAAAATATTTTGAAAGAAATCCCTTTAAAAATATTCAAATATGATTCTAAACCAAGTTCAAGTAAAGAAATGTCCTAACTAGCTTTTATATAATGAAGTAAAGTTGAGTCAAAGGAGAAAACTAAGTTAAATCTCAATTTTCAATCCTAAAACTGGCAGAGTATTTCCTAACATAAATTACTGACTACCTTTGCATTAGTAAAAAAACGGAAGCTATATAATTTGTCCTCAAGCTCAATCAGGTGAACAGCGTAGCTCTGCGAACATTCCCCACAGGGACAGAAAACGCTTCTCACGGAAGCCAAATTAAACAAGTACACAAAGAGATCTTCTAAGACAGAGATCAGCAAATTTTTTCTGTAAAGGGCCAGAGAGTAAATATTTTAGGCTTTTGGGGTCATATAATCTGTGTCACAACTACTCAATTCTGTCTGCCCTTGCAACCCCAAAACAGCTATAAACAATATGTAAATGAATGGGGGTGAATGTGTTCCAATAAAACTGTATTTAAAAAACAGGTGGCTACATTTGGTCCTGGGCCATTTTGCCAACCCTGACTCCAAAATGATACAACATGGAATACGTCAAGAATTATACAGAAACTTGAGGAACAACATGGCATGTTGGCAAGTTCCCTTTACTTGATCAGAAACACTGGGCGTGAATGCTGACTCTGCCCCTGGGGGATTACGATTTCAAGTTCCTCAACCTTTGATGCTGTTTCCTCAGCTGTGAAACAGGGATAATTTCTTCACCCTACCACACACAGTCACTGTGAGGAAGACAGGTCACACTGCAGGTGAAAGTGCTTTGTACGTTATACACATGTTGTAAACTGCAAATCTCAATTCAAATACAAGGTATCATTTACCACAGATTGCTCCCCAACTCTTAAGCACTCCCCCGCCTCCCACATTACATGCAATTCTTATGGAAAAACAACAACATTCATCAAAGCTTTGGTAAACCCTATCTTTCCTCCTCCAAGGTAGCTGCATCAATGAAGACCACTTCACGCAAACGGATACTGAACCTAGGTCATTTATCTCTGTTTTTATCAAAATAGTATTCTTACTTTGCCCACTCAGGGTGATTTGCTAGAGTCTCATTAATCAAATTGCTTGTGACTTCAATCATGTGTACACTCTCTTGATGCACCTGTATTACAGATAAGGAAAGAAAAAAAATCTCAATTAAAAAAAATCCAATTTAACATTTATTTTTCTAGACTATCACTGGAATAATGCTGTTAGAGTCAAATAATTTCACATCTTAGTTGCAATTAATTTAAAAACTTGCACTGAACAGCTGCTATAGATAATATTCTATGACACACATAATGGGAAATAAAACGTACATAATAGGTACCTGGCTTCAAGAAGCTCAACAATTTACTTAAGGAAAAATATATGTAACTAGATACATACAAATACATATACACACAACACATATATATTTAGTTCACATATAAAAGTGTGTGTGTGTATATATACTATATAGTATATGTATACATATCTTGTGTATGTATATACATATGTAAGCAACATCAACACTACATGAGCTTATAGAATTATTAGGCAATGTAAGACATACAAGCAAATAAGCAACTGAGTAAGGTTTCTGAGTAAAAAAAGCCAACCGAAACTGCTTAGAATTTACCTTGCCCAATAACCAACAAAATGAGGGAGATAAAAAAGTAACAAGCCAATGTCAGGAAACATGCTCTATACAATTTTACTATGTTCAAATTTATTAAACATATTGAGCATATGGTTTATCTTGGTGAGTATTCCACATTTACTTGAAAAGAGCAAGATTCTGCTGTTGTCAGTCAGGCCAAACTGACTCGTTTTCAAGGCTTTTATATCTTCACTAATTTTCTATCTACCTATTCTCTCAATTATTGCAAGAGGAGTATTACTGACTTCCTACCTATAATCATTGATTTGTCTATTTCTCCTTTTAATTCTGAATATTTTGCTTCATATATTTTAGAGCTCTATTGTTAGAACATACACATTTATAATAGTTATACCTTACTGCAGTATAAACTTTTATCATTACGAAAAAAAGTCCTTATTTGTCTCTAGTAGTATTTCTTGTTATAACTACGTTGCCTCACATTAACATACTCACTCTACATCTCTCTTGTGTACAGTTTGCGTGGTTTATCTTTTTCCATCCTTTTACCATCAATCTTTTTATGTCTTTGAATTTCAAGTGAATCTCTTATAGATACCATGGAACTTGCTTCTTTATATCCAGTCTGGAAATCTCTGCTTTTTCATTGTCTAATTGCCTTCCATTTAATATAAGCACTGACATGACTGAATTCAAGTCTGCCTTTTTGCTATTTGCTTTCTATCTGTCTCATCTCTATAGTTCCTCTTTTATTGCCTTTTATGTTAAGCAGTTTTTTAAGTATAAACCCTTTTAAAAATCTTTTTGGGCTGGCCTGGTGGCATAGTGGTTAAGTTTGCACGCTCCACTTCAGTGGCCCGGGGTTCACGGTTTCAGATCCTGGATGCAGACCTGTACACCACTCATCAAGCCATGCTGTGGTGGCATCCCACATACAAAACAGAGGGAGATCGGCACAGATGTCAGCTCAGTAACAATCTTTCTCAAGCAAAAAGAGGAAGACTGGCAACAGATGTTAGCTCAGGGCCAATCTTTCTGACCAAAAAAAAAACATTTTCATTTTGAAATTTCAGTTGCAGAAAACTTTTTTTTAATTGAGATCACAGTCATTTATAACACTGTGAAATTTCAGTTGTACATTGTTATTTGTCAGTCACCATATATATATATGTGCACCTTTACCTCTTTGCCCATCCCCCCACCCACTTCCCCCTGGTAACTACTAATCTGTTCTCTTTGTCCATGTATTTATTTATCTTCCACACATGAGTGAAATCACATGGTGTTTGTCTTTCTCTGTCTGGTTTATTTTGTTTAACCTAACACCCTCAAAGTCCATCCATCTTGTTGCAAATGGGATGATTTTGTCTTTTTTATGGCTGAGTAGTATTCCATGGTATATATACACACCACATCTTCTCCATCCAGTCATCAGTCATTGGGCACTTGGGTTGCTTCTACATCTTGGCTATTGTGAACAGTGCTGCAACGAACATAAGGGTGCATAAGTCTCTTTGAGTTGTTGATTTCAAGTTCTTTGGATAAATACCCAGTCGTGGGATAGCTGGGTCATATGGTATTTCTATTTTTAATTTTTTGAGAAATCTTTATACTGTTTTCCCTTGTAGCTGCACCAGTTTGCATTCCTACCAGGAGTTACAGGGGTTCCCTTTTCTCCACATCCTTTCCAACATTTGATGTTTTTTGTCTTGGCAATTATAGCCATCCTAACAGGTGTAAGGCGATATCTCATTGTACTTTTGATTTGCATTTCCCTGATGATTGGTGATATTGAACAACTTTTCACTCACCTGTTGGCCATCAGTGTACCTTCTTTCAAAAAATGTCTGTTCATAACCTCTGCCCATTTTTTGATCAGGTTGTTTTTTTTGTTGTTGTTGAGTTGTACGAGTTCTTTACATATTTGGGAGATGAACCCCTTGCCAGATATATGATTTGCAAATATTTTCTCCCAGTTGCTGGGTTGTTTTTTCATTTTATTCATGGTCTCCTTTGCCTTGCAGAAGCTCTTTAGTCTGAAGAAGTCCTATTTGTTTGTTTTTTCTTTTATTTCCCTTTCCTGAGTAGACATGGTATTCAAAAAGATCCTCCTAAGACCGATGTCAGAGTGTACTCCCTATATTTTCTTCTAGGAGTTTTATGGTTTCATATCTTACCTTCAAGTCTCTAATTCATTTTGAGTTAATGTTCATGTATGGTGAAAGATAATGGTCTACTTTCATTCTTTTGCATTTGGTTGTCCAGTTTTCTCAACATCATTTATTCAAGAGCCTTTCCTTTTTCCACTGTATGTTCTTAGCTCCTCTGTCGAAGATTAGCTGTCTGTAAATGTGTGGTTTTACTTCTGGATTTTCAATTCTGTTCCACTGGTCCATGTGTCTTTTTTTGCACCAGTACCATGCTGTTTTGATCACTATAGCTTTGTAGCATATTTTGAAGTCAGGGATTATGATGCCTCCAGCTTTGTTCTTTTTTCTCAGGATTGCTTTAGCTATTTTGGGTCTTTTCTTGCCTCATATGAATTTTAGGATTCTTTATTCTATTTCTGTGAAAAATGTCATTGGGATCCTGATTGGGATTGCATTGTATCTGTAGATTGCCTTAGGTAATATGGACATTTTAACCATGTTTATTCTTCCAATTCATGTGCATGGAATATTTTTCCATTTTTTTAATGTCACCATCGATTTCTTTCAATAATGTCTTATAGTTTTTATTGTATAGGTCTTTCACCTCCTTGGTTAAATTTATTCCTAGATATTTCATTCTTTTTGTTGTGATTGTAAGTGGGATATTCTGGAGTTCTCTTTGTTATTAGAGTATAGAAATGCAACTAATTTTTGTAAGTTGATTTTCTACCCTGTAATTTTGCTGTAGTTGTTATTTCTACTAGTTTTCCAATGGACTCTTTAGGATTTTCTATATAAAAAACCATGTTGTCTGCAAACAGCAAGAGTTTCACTTTTTCCTTGCCAATTTGGACACTTTTTATTTCTTTCTCTTGCCTAATTGCTTTGCCCAAAACCTCCAGCACTATGTTGAATAAGAGTGGTGAGAGTGGGCACCCTTGTCTTGATCCTGTTCTCAAAGGATGGCTTTCAGTTTTTTCCCCATTGAGTATGATGTTGGCTGTGGGTTTGCCATATACGGCCTTTATTATATTGAGATACTTTCCTTCTATACCCATTGTATTGAGTTTTTATCATAAATGGATATTGGATCTTGTCAAATGCTTTATCTGCATCTATTAGGATGATCATGAGGTTTTTAGTCTTCATTTTGATAATATGATGTATCATATTGACTGATTTGCAGATGTTGAACCATTCCTGCGTCCCTGGTATAAATTCCATTTGATCATGGTGTATGACCCTTTTAATGTATTGCTGTATTTGGTTTGCCAATATTTTGTTGAGGATGTTTGCATCTATGTTCTTCAGTAATACTGGCCTACAATTTTCCCTTCTTCATGTTGTCATTGTCTGGCTTTGGGATCAGGGTGATGGTGGCCTCATAAAATGTGTTAGGAAGTGTTCCGTCTTCAATTTTTTGGGATAGTTTGAGAAGGACAGGTACTAAGTCTTCTTTGAATGTTTGGTAGAATTCTCTAGAGAAGCCATCTGGTCCTGGACTTTTATTTTGGGGGAGGTTTTTGATTAATGTTTCAATCTCTTTACTTGTGATTGGCCTATTCAGATTCTCCATTTCTTCTTGATTCAGTTTTGGGAGATTGTATGAATCTAAGAATTTATCCATTTCTTCTAGATTGTCCAATTTGTTGGCAAGCAATTATTTTTTAATACATCATTTTAGTTCCCCTAAAATTTGTGTTATTTAATAATTCCTATTTATCTTAAACTTATCACACCTTTAATTTATCACAATCTACTTCAAGTTAATATTCACTTACTTCCAGTAAAATAAAAATATTTATAGCAACTTCATACCAGTATAGTTCCATTTCCCAGTTTTCTTTGTGCTATGGTTATACATATACATAGTTCATCTATATATATTATAAATTCTACAATACAGTATTACAATTTTTCTTTAAATAGTCTTTTTTTTCAATAAATTAAAAGAAGAGAGGAAAAAAACACATATTTACCAAGAGCTCTTCATTTCTCCCTTTGGATACAACTTATTTCTGGAGTCATTTCTCTCTGGTCTAAAGGAATTCCTTTAGCATTCCTTACAGTACAGATCTGATATTAACAAATTCTCTCAGTTTTAGTCTGTCTAGAAATGTCTTTATTTTGCCTTTACTTTTAAAGAATAGTTTCCCTGAATATAAAATTCTTGCTTGACCTTTCTTCCCCCCAAGACTTTGAATATGTCATTCCAATGTCTTCTGGTATTCCCTGTTTATTATGAGAATTAAGTCCTTAATTGTTTTGCTGTTCCCCAGTGTGATGCATAATTTTTGTCTCACTTCAAGATTTTCTCTTTATCTGTGGCTTTCAGTAGTTCGACTAGGATGCGTCTAGGCGTGGTTTTGTGTTTGTGTGTATTTATTCTACTAAGGATTTCTTGAGCTTCTTGGTTCTATTAATGTTTTTCATCAAACTTGGGAAGTTTTTAACCACTGTTTCTTCAAATATTTTTTTCCACTTTTTCTCTCTCTCTTCTCATCTTCTGGGATGCTGATTATATGTCTGTTAGAATGTTCGATATTGTCCTACAGATACCTGAGGCTCTGCTCATCCAATATTTAAAAATCTGTTAATAATTAAAAATCTGTTTGTTGTTCTGACTGGATACTTTCTACTGATCTTTCTTCAAGTTCACTAATTGTTTTTTCCCTGGATCTCAAAATCTGCTATTGAGACTATCTAGAGAATTTTTCTTTTGTTATTTTCTTTTCAGCCCTAGGATTTCTATTTGGTTTTGTTTTATAGTCCCCATTTCCCTGTTGAGAGGCTGCATTGGTTTACCCATTATTAGCATACTTTCCTTTAATTCTCTGAACATATTCATAATAGCTGCTTTGAAGCCTTTGTCTGTTAAATCCTACATCTGGGCCACTTACGTGTCCACCTCTTTGACTGTATTTTCCCCCCCTGAGTATGAGTCACATTTTCCTGTTTCTTTGTATGTCTAATAATGTTTGGTTTAAAATTGGACACTAAAATAAATACGTTGTAGTAACTCTGGATTGTTTTGTTCTTCTAACAGCTGTTATTTTATTTCAGTAAGCAATTAACTTATCTCTTCTCAAACTAAAAAAATGTGTCTTCCCTGTCACTGATGTCTCTGCTCAGTGTTTTTTACTTATCTTTTTAAAGACTGGTTCCCTAAGGATTTTCCCTGCACCTGCATAGCTTAGCATCAGTAAATGATTTTGGCAGAAGGTATGCTCAGACACTTTTCATTAGAAGGCTTCACCCTCCACAGCCTGAGATGTGTAAGTTGAGAAATGCAATCAAAGACACAAATTTGCAACTCTCTGAAGGCTATCAATATTTACAGGGCTCCTTGGGGTCTCCCATACACATGCATAGTTTAGCAATCAGACTAGGTTGTATGGTTTATTAATTTCAGCCCTTCTACAGCTTTCTTGCTGTAGAATCTCTCCCTTTAATTTGTAGCTGCTCTGTTGCCAGCCCCAAACCAAGTCCACCACCTCCCACAGGAAGAGTTGCAAGTTTTTGCTGCCCAAGCTATGCAGGATGAGAATAACGCCAAGCAAGAAAGCCACAAGCTACCTGTTTTTACCAGATGCAGTAGCAGTTTTTCATGAGCAAACAGTCCTCAAGTTGTTGCCTAAATGGTCATTTTCCAACACCCTGACGTGGTGTTTTCAAACATTTTATACTGTTTTATTCCTGCTTTCTGTGGCGAGGAATTACCTGACATCCTCACCCTGCTATTATCCTAAGATATATTAGGAAGATGGAGCCAAAAAGGATCCTTTGACAAACTAAGAAAGAAAGTAGTCAAGGATGACCCTGAGACTTTTCACATGAGCAAGAAGAACAGAGTTGTCATTTACTGAAATGGGAAGAGTATGAGAAGAATGGACAAGAAGTGAAGGAAGATCTGAAGCACAGTATCTGACAGGCTGCCTTTGAGATGTCTATTAGACATTCAGGTAGTTACTGTCATGGTGTTTTAGAGAATGATCCCTTTATTGGCTGGGAGAATGAACAGGTAACCAATGAGTTTCCTTCAAAAGCTCTGTTTGCATGGTCCCAGACCACAAAGAAGGGGTTCAGTAATACAAGTTATCAAAGTTCAGGGAAGCAAAAGCTCACTGAAAGCACGGGATGAACAAAGAAAAAGGACTTGAAACACGAACATAATTGAGATGGGCAGGCAAGAAGACCCTATGCAAAGGGATAAGGAGGGAAAGTGGAATAGAAGAAGAGTAGGAGAGAGAGGAGAAAGAGAAAAAAGGAAGATGGAAGACCATACTGGTGAAAGGTTTCTCGAAGAACAAGAATGGAAGATAAGATTGTATAGTGGCAGGTTTGGGTGAAGTAAGACGAAAACAAAGAAAGGTCTCTAAACAAGTCTGTAGAGTGTATATAAGGGACTACACATGATCAATAACCAAGGAACACATAGGAACTGTATAGCGACTGAAACAGAGGTATTGAGAGAGCAGGACTTTAGAAGCAAATGATAAGACGGAGGACATATTGAAGCTGAGAATGACTAAGAATAGAATTCCCAAGTGGAGATGTCACATAGCAAGAAAGAACGCAACCCTTCAGCAAATTGCTGCACGTCAGATTATTTATCAACAAGAGCTACTACTTTATCTCTACAGCACTGTATGAAAACTTTTCATATCCATGATTTCACCTAAGCTTCAGGATTCCTTGAAGACAACATATCAAACTCTGGGACGTGGAGGTCAGTGAAGTTCAGAGAAACTAAAGGTTAAAGTACACCATAAAAGTCAGAAAAACAAAAGTCAGTAAGAAATATCACTGTAGAGATAAACTTCTAGCTGCACTTTGGAGAGTGATTTTCCTCGATGAGATGAAAGAGGGGTGTTATGGACTGAATGTTTATATCCCCCTGAAATTCACAAGTTGAAGTCCTAACCTCCAGTGTGACGAGTAAGAGGTGGGGTCACTGGTGAATAGACAAAGAAGATGTGGTATATATACACAATGGAATACTACTCAGTTATAAGAAATGATGAAATCCGGCCATTTGTGACAACATGGATGGACCCTGAGGGTATTATGCTAAGTGAAATAAGTCAGAGGGAGAAGGTGAAATACCGTACGATCTCACTCATAAGTAGAAGATAAAAAACAACGACAAACAAACACATAGCAACAGAGACTGGATTGATGGTTACCAGAGGGGAAGGGGGAAGGAGGAGAGCAAAAGGGGTAATTAGGCACACATGTGTGGTGATGGATTATAGTTAGTCTTTGGGTGGTAAACATGATGTAATCTACACAGAATTTGAAATATATTATGATGTACATCTGAAAGTTATATAATGTTACAATCCAATATTACTGCTATAAAAATAAAAATTAAAAAAAAAAGAGGTAGGGTCTCCGAGAGGTAATTAGGTCATGAGGGTGGAGCCTTCACGAAGGGGATTAGTTGCCTTATAAGAAGAGACACGAGAGAGATGATCTTTGTCTCCACCACGTGAGGATACAAGAAGAGGGGCTTTACCAAGAACTCAACCACGCTGGCACCTGATCTGGGACTTTGAGCCCCCAGAACTGTGAGAAATAAATATTGCTGTTTAAGCCACCCCGTCTACAGCATTCTGTTATAGCAGTCCAAACCAAGAAGGGGGAGAGGAAATGTAAGCTGGCAGGGCCTGGAAAGTGAGAAAGAAAGATCCTATGGTATACCAGCAGAAAGTCCAATGAGACAAGAAGGGAAGGAGGTAATCAAGAAATTCTGATCTAGTAACGGGGTACTAACTGGATTAGGAGTCATGAGACCAGATCACAGTTATCCTATTGACAGAAGAAGCCAATTGTGGCTCAGTATCTCTATTTCTTCATCTGCATTTACCTCTGAAAACTTTGATAATAAAATAAAAATGCATGTAAAACATATACTTGGCAAGTTCATCGCAAAACTAGTAATACAAAAATCATAATATGTTATACATATTTATACATTATACATATACATTATACATATTTATAAACAAAGTAACATTTTCCACGCTGCTTCTGCTATCATCTTATCCATACTACAATTCTAACAATTAAGAGGTTATTAATTGTAATAGTAATTATTTTACTCTACCTTTGCAGTCAGGAGTAGGGCTAAAAGAAGGGTTCCTATCACTAACAGAAATATGATGAAAATGCTAATTATTTTGTCTAACATCTTCTCCAACCAGATGATCATCTGCACAGAAATGAAAAAGAGAATTACTTATCTTTCAAGTACAAACAACTTAATAAAAACACACATGTATTCAAATACCATGAAGACAAAATAGGATATTCAGGCTTGCAAAGCAGACTATGGCATAACGATTAAAGCAGTGAAAGCTGTAAGCAACTTTAGAAAATTAACAGTATTAATTACTTTGTTGTTATATCGAGTTTCTGAATTGTCACATCTAAGAAAAGGCAGTCAATTCGACATAACCTATATCCAGTTGTGAAATCACATAATGTGGTATATTTACATTTCAAATTATAATTTATAACCTGGTAAATATTCTAAACAAAATGACGACAATCCATTAGCTGACCTCAAAGCTCATGAAATTTTACTGTCAATTAGCAAATACGAATGACTTTAGAAAAAGTATGCCTCTTATAAAATAGGTATGTCCTAAATTATGCAGATAAACTAGGAGCAAATTAAAATAGGAATTACATTCAAAGTATTTTTTCCCTTTGATGTCATTAGGATTACAATAAGAGTAATAACAAAAATTTAACATTAAGGTAACAATAAATAATTTCAGAATAATGGTCACTCTGGGGGGGCACAGGGCAGAGAGGTGGATGCACAATCAGGGCGAGGTATAAAATGGCTTTCAATTATACAGGTAATGTCTTATCAAGCTGGAGGGTGGGCACATAGGTGTTCTTCATATCTTTTTATATTTGAAATAGTTCATAGTAAAATACTTTTAAAAATCTGACTTTCCACTTGAAATTTCTATTTTTTAAAACATAAGCTTTATGACAAATTATTATTAAGTGACTGTAAATAAAATATAATCATTAATGTAGTGGTTACTCTTTAATCAATAATTTAAATTACGCTCTCCTTAAATGCTACTTAAAATTCTATTTTGAGTAGAACTTCCCTCATCTTTCACAATCACAATCCTACACTTAAAAAATTTTTGTTTTCAGAATATATAACAATTGTGATAGATTTCTAGAATTCCTGACATGCAAAGTTACCATATAACATTTCAAAAGTACAATTAGACTGATGATGGCTGAAACGCCACATTGCAACACTTAACCCAACATGAGCTAGAGCGTTGCTGAATAAATTATTCTCAATTTAAATCTGAATTATGCTCTCCAAACAGTAAGTTAAACACCCGAGAGCACAGAATGCTGGTTAAAAAACAACATAACTCCTAAAACATTTGTTTTCCACTCAATGCTTATAAGCTTGCATCCCTCTTATCTTTCATGAAGGATACTGTCACTAAGAGATCAAAGCTATAATGAACTCAAAGATAAAATGTTATCTTTTACCTTGACAATTACAGCTTCCAACAGAAGAGTTAATTTTCAGTGCATGCTACCAAAGCATCAAAGACAATGCAGAGATTAAAATAAGTAATAACAGGCTTTCTAAGATATGGAAGGTCAGATTTCATATTTTGAACATAAGTTCTAAAATCAATGAAACCAGGAAGGTTTACAATCAGAAACCAACTCTGCACCTAGCTCTTGAGCCAGCTTCCTGAGGAAAGCACCACCGTGGGAGGATGCCCCTTCCTCCTCCCAAACCCTAACAGTGCCTGGCACACAGCAAGCGCTCGGCTAATAGATGTCTGAATAGGTGAGAATAATTTCAGAATTAAGATGAGATCTGTATTCACAAATTACAATCTCTGAAAATAACTTGGGAGGCTCAAACTTTTTAGAAAAGTCATATTCTGAAATACATTTTTAAACATAACATTCTATTTAGAAAGTATGAATACCTAAGTTCACGTCTAGGTATTTTAAAGTATGAAACACAGAATATTCACAAACACCTTACGTGCATCAACACTACAAAATCAAACCATATATTTTTCAGCCAGGGTAGCAGTTTCCTATCACGAGTCATATACCTAAGGGTTGGAAAAAATCCACACTAAGAGTCATCTAAATAAAAATTTATACTCAAGGGATAACACTGAGGGTTAGATGTTTCATTCAAAATTTAAAACAAAGTCATTTAAGATGTTCAATACACAAGCTAAAAAGTTGGAATTTTTTCTATTCACATGATGGCCAGCTAAGATAAGGAGAAAGAACAGGATGAAAAGGGAGACAAAAAAAGAGAGAAAAGAGTGGGAAAGAGTCAGGAAAGACTTAAAAATATGGGAAGAGGGTAGGTGGTGCACAGAACTAGGGACCAACAGAGAGGAAAAAACAAAGCAGACAAAACTCACATGGAGGAAGAGAACCTCGTGCACAAGTGAATGGAACAAGACTCACAAGGAAAGAGAAACTCATGGACACAGAAAGAGAAACAGAAAGGAATGGAGAAGGGGAAACGGATGGAGGCAGAATTCCTAAAGAAACACCACAGGTGCTGTCCCCTGAGGCCATCCTCTGCTCCTGTGCTCTGCTTGGGGTCAAGGAAACCACACCACCTGTCATCACTGTCCTGCTTCAGAAGCCGCAGCCTCTAGGAATTCCCCCAGTCTCCGATGATAAAAAGGGAAGGGAGTCATTTTAAAATGATATTAAAATGTTTCAAATGTGAATGAAGGGCATGTATTTTTTAAAATTTAGAGATGTTGGCAAAGTTAGAGTTATACCAAAAGACAGTGAAATTCTACACTGCCTGGCCTTACTCATCAGGCTATTAGGAAAGTGTCCTTCCACGGCTGAGTTTTCTCTCCTATTTCATTATTCTGGGCCTGTAGGTTTTCATTTTGCTCTGAGTCTTTTAACCAAATTCTAGTTGAGTCTTAGTGCAAATAATCAATATACTAAGAAATAAAACAAGCCTTGAGAAATAGATTACATTTCAATTAACCATAAGATGTGTTCTCTATCGTCCTCACTTCTCTTGAATTGGTTCCCTAATTCACCCCACTGGAACTTGGAAGACCAAATACCCAATGCTGCCACTTTCTGGCCTCAGAGGCAACGTAATATAATAGTCCCCGACTTATCTGTGTGCTTTCCTGGAGCACTCTCTCAGAACTTCAAGCAGTTAGTCCAACTCTACACCAGTGCTTTATCTGTGCTGCACAGAATCATCAGAGAAAAAAGTTACCCAATCTCTTAGGAATCCTTTAAAATGAACTAACTAGTCAGCTGTGAACTAGGCCCACAAATTAGGTAATGTAACTCATTTAGTCACCGAAGGTTAAATTGAATTAAACCTAACGACTTTAGCTCTCCTGTCTCTCACCTCTTGAGGACACTTTCATTTCAATACACACAAATTAAGGAAAAACATATTTCCACCTATTTTGATCAAAATAAGAAACTGTGACTTATGTTTGCAGCAATATCATCTGCCAAGGATTGAACTCCTTTACTCATACAAGTTTTGTAAGAAATGGAAGTACAGTCATTTGCCGCATAACGACGTTTCAGTCAGCAACCAACTGCATATACAATGGCGGTCCCCTAAGATTAGTACCACACAGCCTAGGTGCGTAGTAGGCTGCACCATCCAGGTTTGTGTAAGTGCACGCTATAATTGCCTAATGTTGCACTTCTCAGAACGCATCCTCATGGTTAAATGATGCATGACTATATACACAACTATACATGTGGGGGTTGAGGGTAGGGGTGGGGGTTGGGGGGTGTCTGTGTCTATTTATTTATTTTATACAATGTTTATTTTCAATCCAAAGTTTAAAACTTTAGGCATTGTTGAAAGTCTCTCCTCTGTTTCACCAGAATGAACGCCTCTCTGCACTTCAAAGTGTCATTTTGATCTATTTCCAAAAGGTACATCTATCTTAAGGCTTGTGATAATATTTCCACTAAAGAGTTTTAGAATCTTACTGTGTTTAAACAAAACACACATAAATGATGTCATCTCTTGCTATCTGTCCTAAGGATTTAATGAAATTAAGTCTGGGACTACTAGATGTGGACGCTGTCATAGCTACAGCACTCCTAATGTATCAGGATTCACCCTTATTGAAGTTATTAAAAATGTACCTATTATAATTCCATGCCAATCAAGCGAAGAACTTATCAAAGATACAACCTCATATCTTGGGAAATGCATGAAATTAGATGTCACAGGCTATGACTATAACCTTTTTTAAGTTAAAAATAAAATTTTGGAATGCTACTCACAAAAAAAGACAATATATAAAATTACCAGCCGAGGGAATCATAAAATTACTTCACAGATTTATCTTTTTGAAAAAGTCCTGTCATTTACAGAAAAAGCAGCAAGAAAGAGTTCTCTTCCCTTTCAGTAACTATTGCCTAACATGTCTTCACACGTGAAAGGAGACCAGAGCCTCAGGCTGAACCACATTATAAAGCTGAAGAGGAATGGAAATCTTTTACAGTGAACAAAACCACTACAGGATGGAACCTCTTAGAAACATTTGGGGAAGGAGATACCATTCATATCCATTTAGGATTTAATGGCGATTTAAAGGCCTTTGTGTTTTTAGCAAATTGTGCTGTCACAGTATTAATGCTTCACGACCTTCCATAGCTTATAATTAGAACTTTAAAAACAAACAAAAACTTAGTTTGACAAATGGACAGAAACACAGAGTGAAAAGGGAGATAAAAGGGGAGGGGGGAATTACAGAATTCAACAGTAAAAACCAACATCTGTGTGTTCATTTACCTTCTTATTTAGCCAGTGCCAGAGCTTGAGGACAGGGGGGAAGGTGAGAAAGAGAAGATAAGAACAGTGGAACATCATTAGAGAATGCAATAATAGTATGAAAAGAAAAAAGTCACTGAGGGCATGAGGAAGAAATTATGCCAAAGGAAAAACTAGAAAAAAAAAATTGTAATGCATTAACAAAGTTTTAAAATCAAGTGAATGTAGTATTCCTTTAACATATACAATGACCGAAATGATGATAACCACAAGCTTTGTTGGCAATTCAACAATTAAAAATTCATAAAGTAACCTGAAAGCTCGGAGGCTTAAACAGTCACACCAAATTCCAAAGATGAGGGTAATAATTAAGAATCTTTCACACATCATGCACCAAAAAGATTTTTAGTCCCTGTATAAACTGATCTATGTTCATATACAACATTTTCAGTGAACTTTGTAGTCGCAGCTTCATAGTATTAATTATTTCACATTATTTTTCAAGAGTAAAGCAATTCAGTGCTCATTTGGAACAGCGAACACCTGGCCAAAAGCAAATATATCTAAGATTCTGTTAATATTTGGTGCATTTCCTCCCATCCCAATTTTTAGGCACACATTTTTCTACTATAGATAATATCCCACTTTTTTTTCACATAAACATTACCTCATCTAAACCTCACAATATTTATCACTATAATAACTAATGCTAGTTAGTAGACACATAATCTGAAAATCAGTAGACGTAGGATTTAAGGCATTATTAGTGGCATAAACAGTATAAAGGCTAAAAAGCATAATTTCATCAGTGACTATAAATCTCTTCGCAGAGTTATCCCTAAAGAAGTCCACCCAATGCATGTTCAGACACATATTCAATTTCCTGTAGATGGACCATTTCAGAAACACTGGTCCAATCAATTAAAATTTAATAGAAACGTGAAAAATAGATTTATTCCCCAAAGCAGCAGCCCATATAGATTACACTAGAAAGAATATAATTTTAGCATCAATTATATTTAAATATTATTTGTGATAGCCATTTATTCTGATATGTATTGTTATATATAACAGAAAACGCTGGTTTTATTCATTTTACTGTCTCTCTTCCTTAAGAAGGACAGAGTGGCATAAAACTGCCCCTGGAACTTCAAATGACCCAACTGTGGAGTTTTCCTAAACGAAGGGTTTCAAATACAAGCACAGGAGAATGCTGAAAATAGGATCTAGTTTCTATCCCTTCTGATAGTATGGTAAGACAAAGAAGTTAACTGAAATAAGAGTTACCCTCCTTAAACAGCCTGAAGTGCTAAATCTGCTCTAGTAAGATAAAGCTTCACCCAGCACCAAGGAGATGTGGTAAATAGGTTGAAATTTCTAAGAAATCTTAGCTTCTTTTTTAAAAAGTTGAAAAAAATTAATATGAATACAAATAGGCAAATCACAAAAGAATAATATAAATAACCAATAAGCATACAAAAGGATGGTCAACTTCATTTTTACTTTTAAGACTGTGAAATTAAAACAACACTGAGATACTTCTTTTTACGAAACTAAAAAAAGGACATTTGTTATCTTATCATATCCAGTATTGGCAAGAACTCAAGGAAATGGGCACTCTTATATGTTGCACTGGTGGGAATTAAAACTGGGAAACTTTCTGGAAGACAGTAAGGTAATACATAAGAAAACACATCCGCTGCATCTCCTTTGACCTGGGAGATTTCACTGTGAATTTGAAAGGTTTACTTCCTCCCCCCGCAACATGAACTCACACATTCTCATCTCCAGCTACACTTGCTTCACCTAACAGCATTTCTCAACCTTCAGTCACGTATGGAGCTGTAGAAGGAAATGTTTCTTGGCCTCTACGATGAAGCCCAGCCTGCACAGCATGGTACACAAAGACCTTCTTGATCCAGTCTCGTCCTTGACTCTCCAGTCTCCACTCCCACTAATCACCATTTCATATAACCCAGCCAACCATTTTCTTGGTGTTCCCTAAGAATCCTGCTCGGTGCCTTTGCACTGCTCCATCCACCTTGCTCTTCTTGCCCTGTCTACCTAATAAACTCCTACTTGGGCTTCAAAACTTACCCTGGCATCACCTCCTCTGTAAAACCAACAGTGAGTCATTTCTTGCTCAGTACTACCACTGTATCCTGTACATACTTTTCCTCCACAAAGTATAAGAGCTAACGCTTACAAAGAGTTTACATACACCCGGCCCTGATCTAGGAATTGTACACATATTAATTCATTTAACCCTCACAACCACCCTATGAGGTATATGCTATTATACTCATTGCGCTGATAAGGAAACCAAGGCACAGAAAGGTTAACAAACTCATTTAAGGTCACACAGCTAATGAGTAGCAGAACTAGCATCTGAAACCAGAGTTTGGATTCAGAGTCCATGCTCTTAACCACTAAGCCTCTGAATCTGAACACTCCCTCTGAATTTTAATGGATTGCTGTCTCTCCACTAAACAGAGCTTCTTCATCTACTTTTCTGTGATTCACCTGATTTTTACCAGGACTTAGCACAATATCTGACACGTGGGAATTACTCCAGAAATACTCACTGAACTGAGCCACTACCCAGCTATATAATTTTAGGCAAGTCATTTAACCCTTCTGGATTTCAATTTGGTCCTTATAAAATGAGGGAGTTGAATGAGGTGTTCCATAAGATCCTTTTCTCCCATTTTTAAGAGGAAAAACTACTTAACACAATACTTCTTTAACTAAATCCATCCTATCCTTATATAAGCTATAATTTCAAACTTTAAATTTCATCATGGAATTAGACATTAAATGTGTCATCAAAAATTACAGTATAAATACTAAATACCATGAAACAGAATACTTCAGACCATGAAATACATAAACTCCATTAGAACAGCCCAAATTCTTAAGATACAATACCTTACTATCGACTTTTAACAAGAATTTTCCAAGCCCGATAATCGGCCATGGAGCTAGAGCTTCCTGCCGCTCCTTCAGGAAGCGCTCCACCACCCGCCACCACGCGGAGCAGCGCTTCTCCAGGAAGTTCACGACTCCAAAGTGAACGATGAGCTTTTTGAGTATCCAGACTATAAAGAAATACATACAGAAACAAAATACAGATTACAAAGTTATAACACGAAAAGGTCCTTGAATTTCATGTGACCTTTCTAAAACAGTAAAGCTAGTATTAAAATAAAGATTAACTAAAAAAAAAAAATAGGAGGGAGAGAGAGAAACAAATTCAAGGTGTTCCACATTGATGATATTGGGACAAATAAGTTTTCACACAATCCCCACCTGCCTGGATACTATCTTCTCTGTGAAGTCTGAATCCCTGAAGAAGTCAGGGATTATTTCGCAGCCCACATAAACATAAGATACTCTGATCTTGAAGGTTCTAGTGACTGCACTCTTGGCCTCTCATACCTTCACCTTCCAGGGTAGAGAATTCTAACCCCTGACATGTTCCGATCTCCTTGGCTATTACAGCTGCTCTTTTCAAATTTTGTTCTCCTCCTTAGCTGTCTGATGTTTAGTGACTAGAAAAGGATAAGGTATTCCATTTGCATCACGATTTTCTACCACCACAGGGTAACATTTTCATCTGTGTTCCTGTTTCTCTACTTGATGCTGCTCTGCACATCTGAATCCTTTCCAGGGCTTGGTGGAGAAGTGGGGTGGGTACAAGCAGGGCTGTTATAAATGGCCTGAGGCTGTGCACTGCACGACTTCAGCAGGGACCATTCACAGACCACAGTATGAATGTCCCCCCCTACAGCTGGGCAGGGTGGTGGCCCTTCAAGCTGGGGTTAAGCTCCCTGTTAAAGGCCGACTAAGAAGGTGGTGGGACTAGAAGGAAGTGTTACTTATCTGTGAGGGTTGCCTTGAAGTTTGGACTCTAGATAATTGACGCCAAGCACTGTAATTTCCCTAACTCCAGGGATTTCTGTGTCCTTATCTCTGGCCTTGTAACCTAACAATTCAGATTACTATTTTGAACCAAGAGCTCAGTGGTACAGACTGGTTCAACAATTTCTTCATTAGCTTTCTTAAATCTCTAAAGAAGTCTTAGGAAAGCTCCTACACCCCCTAGAATAAGCCTAGGGTAATTATAGGCTCTAGAAACCTTTTGAGCGCCACCGTGTTCCCGGCCTGCTCTCCCAAGGCCATGTCAAATTCCTATGATGGCCTGTAGGTTAAGAAATGACTAGGACAAATGTTTAACTCCTATTAATGAACTTTAAAGAAAGGGAGGTTCCAACAGCAACTAACACATGATTTGCCAGCATAAAAGAAATCACCTGGCAAAACAGAAAGTACGGAACAATCCAGAAGAGCAATTTAAATTAAGCATTTCTATAAATTCCTTAATAGAAAGCATGGCTATGGTATGTACTCTGTGTGACTTGCTTAATTACACCTGTATCTTGTTCCAACTGCCAAACAGAAGTTCTGCTTGAAGAATGCAAGAAGCAGATACAAGTTTCAACCACTTATATCCCATGTTCCTGAAGGACAGGTACTACACAGTGTTCTGGTCATAACAAATCTTTAAAAAAAAAAAGGTAACTATTTAATTAGCTGTCCAATTTCACGAGAATAAGAAGTTTGAAAACGAATGATCTAGACGGTAAATGGTCCACTAAGTTTAGACTTTTGGACCATGGTGGGAAATAGGCTTCTAAAAATCAGACTGTGTTTAAATCGATAGTGAAAAACCTTCATAAAGGAGACAAGGACTAATCAAATTAGAAGGTATCTGGACGGCAGGATCCAGAGCATTCACTGAGGCCTTAATAAATGTGGCACAGACTATGACTGCAATAAGAGGAAAGCCCGAACAATCAGCAAAGTATAGAATAAGAGACTCTCCTACAATGCACCTACAAAACTCCTCCTTGCTCTTGCCAGTCTTAGAAGACAGCTTTAGAGAGAACAACACAAGAGAAGTGGGCCTTAAATTACCACGGTATTCAAGCACAAAGACCCAACTTAATGACGTATGGAAAGCCACATGATTCCATTTTGATACACATACACGTAATTCAATTTTCTATCAAATGAAGAATCAAGATTTTGCATATATATATTTCTTAAAACTCACATTTCCTTTGAATTAACAATGCAACGTAAAATGCGCTTCACTAAGAGCAGCTCTCAAAACTCAATCGTAAACCCCAAAATTCAAGATTAACATTCTCCTCCACAGAATCACGAATGGCAGAACAGTCAACTCCCCATATGGAATGACCAGTTTCTTATACCACACAAAATTGTAAGAGGCTAAACACATTTTCAAGCTTAAAAGTGAAATATTAAAGAAGTATCCAAGTAATAAATTTCCAAAATAATGTTGATTATCTAAATGCAAACATACAATTGTTTTATTCAAAAAGACAGGAAAATTATCTCAAATATTAAAATCTAAAAGAAAAAAAAAAAACTTCTTCGAAGACAGGAAAGATCCTAACTAACCCATTACCTGCAATGGGCACCGGCAGCAGCTGCACAATCCACAGGTTCAACCAGATCTGGACTCCAATGATGGCCCAAACAAGAGACACAAAGTAGATGTCGCTCGTTTTCTTCTTTCTAAGAAACGTTCCCATTTCAGGCCTTTGTCTGCCCAGGGTGGGTGACGGGGAGGAGGGTGAGGAAGAGGAGGACAGGGTTGGAGGGGGTTCTCCTCTGTCCATGGTTTCTGAAGAGGGAAAGAAAAAAGTCACCCACCATACTAGTTCACATTAGAAACAGTGATACAGAGCAATTCACTAGGCTACCCTATTTTAAGCCTTCAAAATGTACTCTGACAGTATAATTACAGTGGGTTCAAAAAGAAAAAAGATCTAGATGTATGTTTGCACATGCACTGGAAAATCTGTGGAGAATTACAATGCTGACAGTACTTAAATCCTTAATAGGGAAATTAAGTTTGTTGGGGGGTAGGGCTGGGGACGGGGAATTTTTTACTGTATACGCTTTACACTGTTCAAGTTTTTTATGTCATATATCATTTATTTATATATATTTATTTAAACAAACAACTAAAGAAAATACATGTCAAAATAGCTGAGAATTATAATTAGTCCATGAAAATTAATCAAACCATATAAAGCAACAAATACTAACATACAGTAGAATTCCTATATTTAAAAGTTCCTCCTCTTTTAATGTAACTTTATATTAGATGTGCCTATACACATTTCTGACACAATATGACTTTTCAGTATCATTTTACCAAAATGGAGCCAACTGCTCTTACAAGAACCCAGGACTCTGAAACATGTCTTTCTCTTAGAATGAGATATAAAACAATGACAGATTGCTGTGGGTGAGGAATTTTCAAATAAAGGAAATCAGACTGAATTATTTCACACAAGGCACTGTTCTCTAACAATGCGACTACTATGTTACATTTCCTAGTTTTACCGAAACATACTATATATATCAGAAATCATATAACTCCTAAAGCAATATAACCCAGTATACCCTATGATGATAGAAATGAGTAAGATCCTAAAACTTGCATTTTTGCTTTCCACAAAAAAATGTTAATGACAAAGTATATCATATTTCAGAAAGTCTAGAAAAAAAAAGAAACAAGAACACCCATAATCCCAACCCCCCATCTGCCTCAGAGTCTTCACATAGTTTTACACAGTTGCATCACGTTCCACTTACCCTTGTCCACTTCCTCCCTCCAGCTGAGTGTCAGCTCCAGGACAGCTAAGACCTCGTCTGTCTTATTCCCCCTGCACTGAATTCCTAGCACATAGAACAGTACCTGACACACAGTAGAAGCTCACTAAATATATGCTCAAAGAATGACTTAACTGTTATTTCATAATTTTCATAAGTGAGTGCATAGCAGCCTTCTGATTAGTATATCATCATTTCCTTAGTGTTTCTTCTAAAGTTAAATGCTTAGCCGTGAGTAAATTTTTACTACTGCTATAACTAGCACGCTGGTAAGTCAGCCCACCTCACCTCAGGTTTGAGGCTAAAGCCCAAGCTAGTTACAATATGCTTCTGTTGGACTTTAATCTCTGAGTATCTTTCTAATTTGGAAACTTCATGTTGGTGGATGTGGCAGACATGCAGAAGAATAGTAAGTCCGGAACCCAAACATCATACCCTCTTCATTCTGCAAACATGATTCACTGTGCAAGAAAAGTACGTTTTGGGGCTGGCCCCGTGGCCAAGTGGTTAAGTTCGCGTGCTCTGCTTCAGCGGCCCAGGCTTTCGCCGGTTCGGATCCTGGTCACGGACCTAGCACTGCTCATCAGGCCATGCTGAAGTGTGTCCCACATGCCATAATTAGAAGGACCCACAACTAAAATATACAACTATGTACTCGGGGGCTTTGGTGAGAAGGAAAAACAAAAAAGGAAAAAAAGAAAAATAAATTTTCCTACAGTCCCAAATGACTTCTCAGCTGATCCCTTCCTTCAAGACTTTTCTAAAGTCAATTCTTTGAGAAGAACTAACCAAAAATACTCCCTAACTCCAAAACCTCTGGCACTAATGGACCTCGTGGCACCGACCTTGTGGCACAGACAGGGACAGCGGTTTACATTCCTGAACTCTGTGTGAGCGCGGCGTGCCTTTAAAGCTGGTATAAATCTACCAGCTGGATCCCCCAGGAGCACTGAGTCCAAAACAACCAGAGGGCTCCGTTTTAATGGCAACAGTCAATATGAGCATGCGATGAGTCAAGCGAAGGAAACTGTGAGAAGAAGAGCAAGAAATGCCAAAGAAATGGATGACTTGAAGATGGAAAATAAAAGCCAAGAGAAAGAGATGGAGAAAGGGAACAGGAGAAAGAGCAACATGAAGAGTGAGAGCCAAACAGGACGCTGGAGGAGGACTGACAGAAGTAGAAGAAATGGAAAGTAAGAAAAGGATTCAATGGAGGAAAATACGGACAGAGGTAAACTGGGGACTGAGAAGAGAAAAATAATATGAAAGGAAAGTGAGAAAGAATAACAAAAGAAGAATAAGCATTTAAAAAAAAGGAAAAGATGAAAGATCAGGATATGAAACCTAAGAAGGTAAATAATTAAACATATGAAAAAAGGGATATACGACAACAAAGATGAAAGGCAAAAAGGTGTAAAAATAGAGATCAGAGAGAAAAATGAAGAACCAGTAAGTAGCATTTTGTGATGCTGGTGTCCTTCTTAATTTTACATCTATGTATATTTCATTTTCCAGAACGATTTTGAAGTCATTCCTTCATAAGGTCAGTCACCTGCAGGCTGGGCTGAGGGCTGGTCTTCAGTGCCCGATTCATACCCTGTGATAGAGATGGCCAAGGTCGCTAGAGTAGAAGCTGCCATGGAGATAACCTGCCCTGGTAACTCTGCCCCTGGAAAACAAGCAGACATTTTTAAAACTTCTTAAAGCAAATGAAAAAAGTATGAAATAACTTACAAATTGAAACATAACCCTACGTTTTCAACAGCAATAAAACAAAACAGTTATTACTGACCCACTGGACCAGTGGTTCTTTGCCAAGGGAGAATGCTTAAGAATCAACAGGAAAGTCTCCTAAAAATGCAGGCTCCTAGACTCTCTGTCTCTCTCTCATTTGGGAACTTCATGATACTGCATGTGACAGAGGATAGAAAAACACAGAGTGCCGCACTTCATTTTTTAACTTCACAGATTAATTTTAACATACATCTCTGCTGAAAAACACTGCCACACCCAGTCTGTAAGCTTCCTGAATGCAGACTGTCTTACCTTCCTTTGCATCACTAGCTCCTAGTACAGTATGAGACAGCCCATCCTTGGTGCTCTCAATAATAACATTCTATGAATGAATATGCAAACATATGGATATTATGCAAAACCACACAGATCTCGGAAGTACATAATTTGGCACAGGCAAAATCCACCACTTGAAAATCTAAGAGGACATCATTACTTGTTTCATGTTATATGTTTCTTGTTAAGTCTCTAATAGGTAGCACACCAATAGGTAGTAATCATTTGCATTAGATTCAAATAAAACATTTACCAGTCAATGAGGTCTGTTTGTAATGGTCAGTCTCTGACCTGCTATGGCAGAAAACAGAAATTAGCTCACACAATATCGACCCTTCAGAAAGTCAATGAATTTCAGCTCCAAACAGACTCCATGCACCCAACAAATCCAAGGCTGGCCATCTCGCAAAGATAAGCAGGCCAAGGCGCGAGATGGCTCTGGCGTAGATTCAGCCTCCAGGATCAAGAGCACTCATCTTGCTCAACTGTATCCTATCCCTCCTCTAAGAAATGCCTCTGTGACCTGAAAGAGCTTTATTCTTAGGCAATCTGAGAGAAATTCAAACTCACGATCTGGGAAGAAAGCAAGATATCTGCATTGGGACCTATTCTCCTGGGCTAAGTATCTAAGGTGTCTCTTAGATGCCAAGAAGAGAACAAGGCTGAGAGAGAAAGACATGGTCTTTCATGTCTTACATGTTCTTATTTCTCACTGTATTGGATGCTGGGGATGAAGACACAGACCCTGCCCCCATGGAGTCTGGTACAAGAGACAGATATGAATTAAAGAACCACACAAACATGAATGTATACAAACTATGATGACTGCTATAAAGGAAAATTACGAGGTATTTTATGAGCTCCTAACAGAAGAAATCTCAGTCTGGAGAAGCCAGGAAAGGCTTCTCTTTAAGAAGCAAAAATGAAGCTGATATACAAAGAATGAGAAGGAATTAACCAAAGGCATGTAAAGAACAGTATTTTAGGCAGAAGAAAGTAAGCAGGAAGGCTGTAAGTGAAAAAGCTGGTGTGTTAAAGACAGTAAAAGAAGGTCATGTGTCTGGAACACAGACAGCGGGTAGGACATTGGTATTGAACAAACAAGGCTGCAGACAGCAAGCCAGATGATGCAAGTCACAGATGACCACAGGAAGGACTTTAGTCTTTATCCTAAAAGCAGGAAAGCACTGAAGAGTTTTAAACAGGATAAGAACGTCTTTTTTACTAAATTTTATTGAGATAACTGTAACTTCACGTGCAGTTACGTGAAATAATACGGTGAGATCCTGTGTATCCTTTATCCAGTTTCCGCCAATGTAACATTTTGCAAAACTGTAGTACAATATCATAATCAGGATATCAGCATGGATACAAGATACAGAACAGCTTAGTTTCATGCCGCAAAGATCTCTCATGTTGCCCTTTCATAACCACACCCACCTCCCCATTCTGTAAATAAATGATCCGTTTTGGGATATAAAAACACCATTCTTGCTGTCTGGTCAAGAGCAAACTGGAGGGGACCAAGAGTAGGCACAGGGAGATAACTTACTGCAATACACAGGCAAGACACAACGATAGTACGGTCTGCAGTGGGAAAAGTGGCTGCACTTAAGAGACGTGGAGTAGGCACAGGGAGATAACTTACTGCAATACACAGGCAAGACACAACGATAGTACGGTCTGCAGTGGGAAAAGTGGCTGCACTTAAGAGACGTGGAGTAGGCACAGGGAGATAACTTACTGCAATACACAGGCAAGACACAACGATAGTACGGTCTGCAGTGGGAAAAGTGGCTGCACTTAAGAGACGTGGAGTAGGCACAGGGAGATAACTTACTGCAATACACAGGCAAGACACAACGATAGCATGGTCTGCAGTGGGAAAAGCGGCTGCACTTAAGAGACGTGGAGTAGGCACAGGGAGATAACTTACTGCAATACACAGGCAAGACACAACGATAGCACGGTCTGCAGTGGGAAAAGTGGCTGCACTTAAGAGACGTGGAGTAGTCAAAGCAGACTAGACTTGGTGATGAAACAATAAAGGGAATGAAAGAGATGATGGTATCAAAGATTACCCCCAAGTTTCCAGATGATGGTTAGATAGATAAACATGCAGGGGAAATGGATAAAGACTTTGGCCATATTTAAATTCTTTTTAGACTCCCAGATACAAGTTTCAAAAACAAATTGACTACACCAGAAACCAGACAAGACTTAGCTTCTTGTGCACGCAAGAGAGATTTCTCAGGCTCCACTCAAGAGCAAAGGTTGGGAACAACGAATGATAGCCTGGGACAGTAGAGTATAAAAAGAAAAGGAACGATTCCAGTCAAAATTCAAAAAAATCAAAGTACTCTGTCTCATATAGGATTAAAGACCAGTCAAGGATTCTGAATTACTAAACACACCTCTTCATAAGTAATTTAATGAAGTGTTGATTCATCTCTGAGAGACTCCAAAAAGTCAGTCCCGGGACGGTTTTTAAGTAGCTCCAAAACAACAAGATCATTTTGTAGCTCCCCAAATATGAACTTTCACTTTGGCTGCATTTTGACACATTCCTAAACTCCCGCTAAGCATTCATTCACCAAACGGGTGACCAGGCTACACACTGAGATAAGAGAGTATACCTAGTCTCAAGTTCAGTCTAACACTTAAACACTTGGATACAACTCAGTGTGTTGAGAGCTAATGTAAAGGGAAGTGTACACTATTTGGGGAGCACAGAGGACAGAAACCTAACCCACACCTCGGAGATCAGGGAAGGGTTTCCAAAGGCGCTGTCTGACAAGAACGGTAAAAGATGCCATCCTTCAAATCCTTTTAAACAAGTTAGTCTATCTTGCTAACAATCTCCCTATCCTGGGGAGGAGGGGAGAGGCTGGTGTCTTAGAGGGCAGGGGTAGAAAAGTTTTCCAGGAAGACAAAAAAGCAGGCGTAAAGACACAAAGGCAAGAAAAATCAGAGCGTGCTGTTCAAAGAACTCTAAGAAGTCCACGAAGGCCAGAACACAAGGTACAATGAGAAGAGTGGAGAGATAAGAGGATGCAGAGGGACAATGGAACCAGAGAATGGAAGGTCTCATATTTACTGTGCACAGAGGAAGGACAATCCAGTGGCTGGGAGCACAGGTGAGGAAACAAGACTGCCCAGGTTCAAATCTCAGGTCTAGTCCTTACTAGCTGGAGGACCATGGGCAAGCTACCTAAAATCCAGTGACCTTAGTCTCGTCATGTTAAAATAGGGCTTATACAAATTCCTACCTCACGTGATAATCAAGTGAAACGATATGTATTAAAATGGTTAGAACAATGCCTGGTATGTAGGACTCAATAAATGTTAGCTATTATTATCATCGTAAACTATAAGGAGAAGCCACAAGCACTCCTACAGTATTTCTCTATACCTCTCACCCCCTTTCTACTTTATATTATAGCCATTTCCCTAAGTCTTATCCCCCTTAGTAGACATTTTTAGATCTCCCCACAGAACTACACAAAACATCTTACATGCAGCAGGCACTGAAAGACTTGAGGAAAAGTTAAGACCAATAAATTAAACCTTCATGACTATGCCTTAAAGACTAAAACTCTTTCTCCAACTTGCTGATGTCACTAAAATATACAATAAATATTCAATAAACCTTACCTAAATCAATGAAAACTATGCAACATCATCCTGGTTAATACACTAATGATTCAGTAAATTTTTATAGCACCTGAAACTTCACGAAGCAATGAAAGGAATAGCACGCACAGAAAATCAACCAAGAGTATTTGAGAATCATGGATATAAGATTTGGCAACTGCTCTTACTTATCCAACAGATATGCACTTTAATGACTTCTGATATCCTTCTGCACTTCAAAAACCCCGAGGGTTCGGGCAGAGAGATGATAAACTAGACAGAAGAATGCCAGGACCGAGAATCTAGGCAAAGCCATGGTCCTGGAAAAAAAGGCCCAGCTAAAAATAGGCACACAGACAAGAGAACATAATCTTGGGATCCAAGAACTATAAACAAAAAAAGGAAAGAGCATCCAAGGTTTCAAGTGTCAATCCGCCCAGGGACAGGGCCAGCATTAAGTGGAGGCCCAAATAGTAACAGGGACCTACACAAGTCCAAACAAGCAGACCACTGACATTAGCAGCCTAGCACCAGGGAACAGAAATTCACAGTCAGGCACGTAAGAAACAGATCACATGTTCATATAATACTTATTAATATGGCTAAATCTATAAAAAACAGTTTTTTTCATAATCAAGGGAAAAATACATTTTGAAACCAGTCTAAACAAGGAGATACTTGATCGACTTTGTTCTCTTTCACAGAGATAGTGGCAGTTGCCAAAAACATATCTAAAGATGCTCACTGGAAGGAGGCCCTGCGTATCAAGTAAAACCTCCCCAGTGTGCAAAGCGCCCTTTGAAGAAGGCTTCTGTTCCCATCACTAATGTGGAAAATACATCCTCTCGACTTCTAGTCTCACTTCACTGTACCACTGGTCAGTAACACGGGCTTAGACGTGGACCAGGAGGAGTGTCTCTAGGCCTATTTAACTGACAGTGTCAGAACCGGGAGGTAGAGACGAGCAATAAGAAATTTAATGTTTTCCTTTTCTTTTTCCAACTTGGGCTTAACTGGACCAAACTTGTTCATTCATATTACATGCTACCCCAAAAAGATTAAGGCAACAACCAAGCGTTCCCTGCAAAGATACTTTTGGTTGTTCATAAACAATTACCAATGTCAGGAGGAACAGATCCAGGTGCACTTCCCCTACTTCTCAGGCTGGGTGTCCAGGCTATTAAGAGTACACTTGATGCTTGTTTGCCTAGATTTTGAAGAAGCACTTCTCATACTCAGAGTAAATGGCTCGCTGAGCCTAAGATTCTTCATCTGTAAAGTAAGTATAATACCAGTCTCACTGGATTACTAAGAAAATTAAATGAGATAGCGTGTTTAAAGAGCCTAAAAGGGCCTTGCCCATATTGTTATTACTAACAATAATGCTAGCTTTGCTCTTTTCTCACAGGCCAAGGGACACACCAAAGCTGGATTCCAGGATCTACTAAGTGAGACTCCTGGGATCCGAGAGGCAGAGGCGCTGGGTCCAGCAGCTGTGGGGGTCCAACAAGGCCACAGGGAAGACTGAAGGAGCTGATAACCACAACTGGGTGTGAGGGGATCAGCACTCAATACTATTTCAGGGTGCCTGACACCTGGTCAGAGAGCCTGGCGAAGAGGAAGAACACTGGGCTTAGGGTCAAGGACCTAGATTTGTATCTTAGCTCTAACAGTCACCTGTGGGACTGTGAGCAAGTCAGTTAAGCTCTGGAAGTAAATGTCTTCATCAGCAAAACAGGGATATCGACTTTATAAGGTTTTGGGGTTTTTTTTTTGTTTTGTTTGTGGATTAAAAAATACAGTACATTTAAAAGCATAGTAAACACCTAACATTTTTTCCCTACATTATCTTGGGGTTCCTGGAAATACCAAGAAAGAGCTCCCAAGATCTAAGAAAGAAAACCACTAAGTAAGGCCCCCGGGTTCAGCAGGAACTAGTGAAACTAACTCAGCAGTGAGCCACAAGTTTTCTGGGTCTACGTACTAAAGAAATTCATGCCTTGAATTCTGATGAAACCCAAAATATTAATTCGGTGAATCCAGTGAACCAGAGATCATAAAAGATCCTACGGCAGCAAAAGATTCAAAACTCAGAAGACACAGAGAAAGATGCCTACACAGGTGACCAGGAGACAACAGCAAGTCCTACAACAGGACAGTGGAAATGACAAGAAACGAGTAAGAGCACACACTGCCATGGCAGTACATTGAAGCATTCCTGTACCTAACTATATTATAGTGACATCTACAGGAGGGAAATGACTATAATGAAATGGAAAAGTTTTCCCAATATGGAAGAGAGAGTTTGAGTTCTGATGCCTAAGAGAAACAAGGTTCTGGGGCAACAGGAAAAAAAACAATTTGGAAAAAATGTTTAAAAGATTTATTTTATGATACGGATTATCTAGACTAGAAGTCCATACAAGGATTCTAGATCAGGAATAATCTATTCTGAAGCAGGGTGGAATGAGAGCAAACAAACCAAGGAAAACCAGCATTTCCAAATCTGGTCTCAAGATTTGTTCTGTGTCCCTGAGTTCCTTCTTTCTAACAGTCAGGAAAACAAATACCAGCAATCTGGCTTGCATGCCAACACACCACTATCCTGGGTTTATGGATGATTATAATAACCAGACACGGTTGTCTTTTCTTGATTTCAAAACTTGGTCTTAGAATTCTTGTCCTCACAGCTCTCTAGGCTGCCATCACCAGCAGACCAGAATTTACACCCGAGAGAAAACCCACCTGAATCCCCTGGTTTAGACCTACATTACTCGTATACTTGCAGTCGAAAGGAGAAAACGGTCCTGGGATGAGGGGTGAGGAATAAGCAAATGTCTGACTCATTACTATTAGGGGCAAAAAAGGAAATAAAGCTAACCAGAAGAAAAAGGAAACCACCAATTTCTATATTAATGGCCAAACAGGAAATTTACTTCTGCTGGTCAGATATATAACCACAGAGTCTGACAGATTGTGATCAGGAAGACAGGCTGAGCAAGGAAAACTTAAAAAGACAGCAAAATACAGAATAAAATCTTTCCTATTTTCCACTGTCTGAGAGATAAGTAATTAAGGCTTCTTCGTTGCAGGTAGTTATTTTAAAATTCTAAACAATATTTATGAATAAAAGATGTATTAAAGTCGTCAGACATTACTCATTTACTAAATCAAATAATAAACAAAGAGTAACTTCAGGGGCCAGCCTGGTGGCATAGTGGTTAAGTTTATGTGCTCTGCTTTGGCCCGGGGTTCACAGGTTCAGATCCCTGGCATGGACCCACACATCCCTCATCAAGCCATGCTGTGGCAGCGTCCCATATACAAAATAGAGGAAGATGGGCACAGACGTTAGCTCAGGGCTAACCCTCCTCAGCATAAAGAAGATTGGCAACGGACGTTAGCTCAGGGCCAATATTCCTCCCACACACATACACAAAATGCTGTTTAAAAAAAAGAGCAACTTAATTTAAAAAAGAAAAAAACTTTTATAAAGTAGCTGTACAAATACACCAGAGTGGCACAAATAGCCTTGTGATTAGCATAAAATGCAGATGTGAAAAATAACGTAGAAACATCTTCATCGACACAGAAAAAGAGTTATGACATAATTAAGTTTAAAACGTGGGTTACAAGAGAGAAGGTTCACTATGATCCAGTTTTCTTGTGTTTTAAAAAAAAGTCTGAAGGTATAAAAACCATTAGTTAACATTTTGGTACAATGTGTGGGCGGTGGGATTTTGAGTGATTTTTATTTTCTTCTTTTTGTTTCTCTGTATTTTCTAACTTAACTGTAACAAACTAATATCTGAGAAACTAAATTTTTTTCTTCTAAAAATCTGCTGCAATTAGCAATTTGCTGGTTTAGCTTACATATCACCATCAGAAAGGAGCAAGGAACAAATGTCGGTCACTGCAGAAACTGCATGCTGTTCAGATTTGCCTCGCAGCTGCTTCCGCATGGCTGGGTAAGTACAAGTCCAGTCTGATGACCTGAGAACCATTACTGTATCTGGCCACCAACTCCTCACAACTCATTAGAAACCTGTATCTTTAACAAACTGTTTCTGGATAAAGGCCACTTGCAACCAACGTACCTCAAAAATAACCTTTCAAAGAACATGGTGTATTCAATATTGTACTAGACATTCTAACCAGAGCAATCAGGCAAGAAAAAGAAATAAAAGACATCCATATAAGAAAGGAAGAAGTAAAACTCTCTCTATTCGTAGACAGCATGATCTTATATATACAAAATCCTAAAGAATCCACAAAAAATCTATTAAAGCCAATAAATAAATTCAGCAAAGCTGCAGGATACAAGATCAACAGGGGTCAATATTCAGGACCTTGGATTTGGCAATGGTTTGTGAGGACACCAAAAGCACAAGCGATAAAAAACTGGAAAATGCACAAATATGTGAAAATCAAAAAATAACACTTCTGATGAACCAATGTGTCAGAGAAGAAATCAAAAGGGAAATGAAACAGTATCTTGACCCAAAGAAAATGGAAACACAACGTATTAAAATTTATGGGATGCCACAGCAGTTTACAAGAGCTCTAAGAGGGGAGTTTATAGCGACAAATGCCTACATTAAGAAAAAAGAAAGATCTCAAATAAATAACCTAACTTTACAGTTGGTTGCTTAATGGGTACGGGGTTTCCTTTCGAGGTGATAAAAATGTCTTGGAACTAGATGGAAGTAATGGTTGCACAACACTGTGAATGTATGAAATGTCACTTTAAAATGGTTAAAGGTAAACTTTATATTACAGTCAGGCATCACTTAACAATGGGGCTATGTTCTCAGAAATGGGTCAGGCGAGTTTATTGTCATGCAAACATCACAGAGTGTATTTACACAAACCTAGATGGCATGGCCTACTATACACCTAGGCTGTATGGTACTAATCTTATGGGACCGCCATCAAATATGTCGTCTGTCATCACCGAAACGTCATTATGTGGTGCATGACTGTATATGAATTATACCTCAATTAAAAAATGCAAAAAAAAAGGGGAGGTAGGATATGGTCTAATAACCTAAAATACTTTAAACAAATTTATTTTCTGTTCATAAAAAAATGCACATTTTTAAACAGATTTAAAGCCATTTCATCATAGCATGTTCTTTTAAAGCTACTCTCCCAAATACTTAAGAATAATATTAATAGAATGCCCTGTTTCTTACCAGAAGACTCTTTTCCATTCTGTTTTTCATAGAGGGTGCCCACAGACATCAGGAAAACAATAACCAGGAATACTGGAATTCTCCATGAGCCAGCCAGGGATGCTGCAAATTATTAAGAGTTAACATTTTTAGTGAAATAAAAACTCAGCAGTTGTCTTTAAAAGACTCAGTTTAGTAGACTGGCAGAACAATTTGGCATATATGTTAATAACAAAATTGTTTTATGGGGAAAAATTTTTTTCAAAAAAAGGCCATCAGACAGACAAAACCTCAATTCAGGACTTCTCTCAGTAGGACCAGCCCTTCTCTCAGAGGTCCCTGGTCTAAACGACTGGGCATGTGCCACCCTACCTTTAATGGGTTTGTATCGCCTGAGGAATCAAGTTCATTTTAAAGTGCATCCAGGGTTTAAGACCATCTGGAACTCAAACCCCTCCATTTAACCCCAGAACTACCTGCACTAGGCATAGATCCTAAAGTCGTGGCACTGACTTGATTTCCTGAAAATACCACTAGGTGTGAACTCTATCTGTTAAGAAGGGGTGAAATGGCCCAAAAGAGCACTACAAAATCTTCAATGTATCCTCCTTAGTGTATAGTGCAAACATGCTAACAAGGGGCCAAGATCAGGTCCACGCACAGCCATTTGCATTTCCCTGAATTGGTCTAGGATCTCATGGACATACCTGCCTGCCTCCCCCCTCTGCCTTCCCCAAACTCAAAATGTGTCACATCAGACATCAGGGGACCTCGCTGATAAACTCCTCTAGCATTCCAAGTCAGCAGAGCTAGAGAGGGCTGCTTTGCTCAACAGCAGACTCTAAGCAGAGACATATTTTCAATCAACTTTGTTCATATTTTATTTTTAACAATAAGTAGCTCTAAAAACTAAATAGGCTCTATTCCTGTCTAGATGACTGAATTTTGTTTTTTAGTTAGAACTTAACATTTCCATAGACTTGAGACTTAGAGATAAGAGTCCCCAAAAACACACACTACAGCATCCTAGCAGCCACTCAGCGGACAGTGAAGAGTCTTAAATAACAGGGAACTCAATACTTAGAGCAGCTCTGACGCTGATCGTCCGTGTGCTGAACAGAGATTTCTCTCTTGGAAGCTACTTGTTGCTGACATCTCTCCCTCACGGTCACAGAGATCTGTCTAAACCTCTCTTTCACAGGACAGTCCTTCAAACACTTGAAACAGGCTTCCCTATTTGATATCCTCCCACCTCCACTTCCTCCCCACACCTGCGGTCCCGGCCCCTTCCTGCATCCAGAGTAAACATCTCTGGTTCCTTTAACTGTTTCTCACACAGGAATCTGAGCACCTCTCAGCATCCTTGACTCCTTATCTCTATGCTCCTTAAGTACGACACGCAGAAATGGCCATGGTAGTCCACGTGTGTGCTTTTTAAGATATGTTTATCTTTAAAGGACCTTTTTGAAAATGAATGTTCAATATAATTAAAACATACACATTTTAAAGCATAACAGTTTCATTAAAGATTAATGAAAGATTAAACCAGAACATTTTCTAAAGATTATTTTAAGGAATTCATTTTAAAGAATTTTAAATGCAACATATCACACTATCAAAAATTCACTTTGATTCACACGGTCAGCCTCTGCTGACCTTAAGCTAGACTCTCTTAGAAAAAGAGACCCACCTAAATGAAAAAGCAATATAATCCAGACAGGAATTGAAACTGCTCTCAAGTAGCGTTCAGTGCTTGCATTCCACTTGAATGAAACAGCCAACACATAGCCAACTACCAACGTCCAGATCTTAAATAAACGAAATATAGACACAGTTGTAAAATACATACACATGAAAGTAAAAATACAATTATATAAAATTTGCAAGCATCTATTAGCATGAGAGCTATGGATACAACACAGATAAGATGAAAGCTGGTGGTGCTGGAAGGAGTGTGTATAGGTTTTCATCCTCCAATTAGATAAATCAAGTTTTGAAATAAACAGGCGGGGCTGCCCCAGTGGTGTAGTGGTTAAGTTCACGCTCTCCGCTTCGGTGGCCCAAAGTTTGCAGGTTTGGATCTCAGGCACAGACCTAGCACTGCTTGTCAAGCCACACTGTGGTAGCACCCCACATAAAATAGAGGAAGACTGGCACAGATGTTAGCTCAGAGACAATCTTCCTCAAGCAAAAAAGGAGGAAGATTGGCAATAGATTTTAGCTCAAGGCCAATCTTCCTCACAAAAAAAAAGAAGAAGAAAGAAACAGGCATTTGGAATCCCATGTAGTGATATTATTTAAATATTTTTAACAAAAATTACATAAATATAGTTTTAATTTACATTAAAGCTCAAAAACTATTGCATGCATAAAGACATTTAAGATATAATATTCCATTTTTAAGCCATGGACTTAACAGTTTAATCTTGTGGAATTCTTAAAGTCTTCTCTATAGATTAACGTTTAGAAAAGAAAAGGGAAGCTTTCTGAAAAGAATCAGGTTAAAAGATTCCACTGGATCCTGGGAAATATGCTGGTAACTGTGAAAAGAAATTTTTAAAAGCTAGAAAGAAGGCAGCCAGCTAAAGTGTGACCCTGCTAAAATTATCAAGGTAACAGATGGTTAGAACCTCATCCAAAGTTACAGGCATAGTTGAAGAAGCGTGGCTGAAAAAAACAGTACTAAAGGGAGAAACAGCAGGACTTGAAACAGAAGAACCAGCCAGGGCCCCCTCCTCAGTTTTCCCTACACTAAAACTAAACGACTCCAGCACTTACGGAGCATCAGTGTGGCCTACACAGAAACTCTCTAATAATCTCATATTTTAACATTTACAAAAGATGGACAGAATACATAATCCAGAACAAATGTGAGCACCAAGAACTTATCAAAATAACCTGAACCTTGGGGGGAAAAAAGGCAAATTAAAACAAAGAAAAACCTTCAAGTATAACTCAGAGAATGAATAAAAAGGAACTGATAGGATTATTACAAAAGACAGAAAAAAATCACCTCCTACTTTATTTTGGTCATATCTATCAATAAAAATAGTCTTCAGGTCTTAAAAATGTTTACAGCTTTTGACCTTAGAATTCAGCTTTGGAACCTCACTAAATAATGACAGATTCTGAAAAAGGTTTAAAAATAAAAAAGTTCATCAGAGTGTAATTTAGAATAGCGAAAAGTCGATAATCCAGAAGTTCAAAAACTGTGAAGTGGTTAACTATGGATGATTCACTCAATAAAATGCTATGCAACCACTACAATAGGGTTTTTTCAAACAAAGACCACATAATTAAAAATATCCCCACGATATTATTAAAGAAAAAGCAAAATACAAAAAAATCATAAGACATGATTATATCTACTGCATGGTGGGGGGAAAAGGAAATGTACTAAGAAGTTAGTGGTTGTTCTTGGGTGGTAAGATGTCGTTTTTCCTTCTACTATTTTTCTATATTTTCCAAATTGCCTTTAATAGCACTAATTCTTTCATAATGAAAAGGATATTAAAATATTCTTCCTCAAGCAACTCTATTAGATGAAATATTAAAGAGAGCTTAAGCCTCAGATACGTGAGCACATGGGAAGTGAAACTAAAGCTGCTTCAAAAAAGTTTAAGGTTACAGGACCACACGAATTTAACCCCGGGAATTCAGAGAATTTGAGACATGACTGTAGAGTTCAGAACAAAATCGGAGTGTAGTAACAGTACACCTACATAACTCTCACTATAGGACAGGCCCCATTCTAACACTTGATATACACAAACTCATTTAATCTTCATAACCCCAAGAAGTAAGTACTATTTACATCCCCAATTTACAGATGAAACTAACTGAGACTTCAGAGAAGTGACCTGCCCAAGGTCACCCAGCTAAAAAGTGACGGAGCAGAATTAGAACCCAGGAATCTGGTTGCAGAGTCTGCCTTCTTAACCATAAAGCGAAAGACAGGTGGTGCTAGAAAAACAAAGAGGAAAAGCTGCTCCAATATTCACAAGGGAAAATAAAAACAATCCATTTGGGAAACTACAAATTGTTGAAATAAAAATGATCCTCAGCAAACAGATGGTCTTCAGGGACTACAGAGGTAATTAGTCCCGCCCTATAAAACATTAAGTCAGTAATTTAGAGAAAAGGCTAGAAGGCATATTAATCGAACTCGTAGATTACACAAAATTGGGAAGTCAATAAAAACTGAGATGATTATAATGATTCAAAAAGATATCCTGAAGTTAGAACAATGAGCTAATCCAACTAAGATTAAATATACTAGAGAGAAATGCCAAGTTCTGCTTTTAAATTCAAAACTCAGCTGCAGAAGTACAGAATGGGAAGAGGACAGCTAAGCCACTCGTCAGCTCGGTATGAGTCAGGAGTATCACTGGTGTGAGCGTCGACTAATAAAAGCACAACACTCATAGCAGGGAAAGTGTTTCAATGAATTTGCACTATCAAACACATCAGCAATAAAATTCAGACTGGGAAAGGAGATGGAAATCACAATACAGCAGATACAGATATGGCTGGAAAAAAAAATTTAGCTTAGAAAAGAAAAGGCAATATCAAGATTTGAAGCTATCATCAAATAGCTGGGAAAATGTCATCCGGGAGAGGCATTAGACTTAATTTTCTGTGGTTCTGAGGGCAGAAGGAATAGGTGGGAATTAGCAAGCAAAACATTTCAGCTTAATACGAGGATAAGTTTTTCTAACAAACTTCAGTAGTCTAACAACAGAATAAGTGGTCATCACTAAAAGTGTCTGGGCAAAAAAGCTGACCTTTAAGTCAGGGACGACAAAGTAAGAGAGCCTGCCCTGAAGTAGAAGCTGAACTACAGAATCACAAAAGGTATACACTTTCAGATTTTAAGCCTATGATACTTTTAAACCAATCTCCAGGAAGTGCTTCTTATCTGTACTTATAAGGAATTAGTATCACTTGCAGGGAGAGAAAAAATAAGAGATTGCATACTTCAGATTTTTTAAGGAAAATTCATGGTCTAGAGAAGCATGTGTTTCCACCTAGTAAAACAGAAACTCATAGATAACCTCATTTCACTTTAAAATAACCGCTTATTAAATACATTCCCCAACTCCACTTCCAGGAATTTGGTTTACAGAAGCACTACATGCATGCAGACAGATACAAAAATGTTCACTGTGGCAGTTTCAAATATAAAAACGTTGATAACAACCTAAGCGTCATTTCATAGGGGATTGTTTAATAACGGTATCTCCAAAAATGGAATAACTATTCAGACTTCCAAAGCCGCGATGAATATCTATATTCAAGGACACGGTATAAATTTATGCGTGTGCAAATTGATAACAGTGAAAATATACTCACCAAAGTGTTAAAAAATATTCTGTCTAGATGGTTGAATTTCAGGGGGTAATTCGCTTCCGTATACTTTTCTTCAAATACTGAATTTTCCCCTAAGAGTATTATTGTTTTTATAAACAGTAAATGTTTTTAACTTAAAAAAAACACAAACCTCTTTTGGCTTACGGATTTTTTTCTCAGTAGTTTGAAGTGTTTCCTCAGAAAAGAGTCACAGAACATTAGTTCAAAAAGTATGGCCATTTAAAAACACTTTACGGTTTCTATTAAACCATTATGATTATACAATTACCAATGTTTATCAGATTATCCTAATCCAAATTCAGAGCTAAAATAATCTGGTAGGAACACTTTCTAAAAGGCATCTAGAAAAAAAAAGTTTTTATACTATAGAACTACTACATTAACAGAAAGAGGTCTATCTGTAAGTGCTAACAAGGAAAGGTGTCCACAATAGAATGATAAACGGAAGAGCAAGGTGTGGAGTTTTATACACACGTTAGCCCATTTTTGTTTTAAAAAATAAAAACCCTATACTTCAAATGTTCACATACGCATAGAAATAAACTTAGAAGGCTATTCATCAGTTAACAATAGTGACAACTACACAGGGGGAACGGTGGCAGAGAAAAGAGACGACGATTCACCTCTACCACAGAAACTTCTAGGCTGCTTAAATGGTTTTTATATAACAAGCATGTTTTACTCGAGTCAACTTTTTAAACTGCTAAATATTCTTTAAAATAACTTACTGAAAATAGGATTTGTACATTCAAATGTCACTAATTTCTAGTATGGATTCCTAAAAGCACGCCTTTAAGAGAGTTTTTTTTACTTCTGTCTCTCAGAAAGATACGTTTAGCCTCTGAGCAAACCTTCAAGTATGAATTTTTTCCAGGCATAAACCAGTGAGCCACAGTTTATACATGAGGTGGCATAGTTTCCCAAATTGATGCTCTTTGAAACAATGTGTCCTTTTCAAAATATACATTCAACACATTTTAAAGCATCAATGTGTGCCAGATACTATATAAGACTGCATAAAAGGGGCAACATTTATTTAACACTGCAAGTAAAGCAAACTAATAAACAATCACATTTTCCTTTCATTTGACTTATTAACCACATATACATTTCTGATTAAATAAAATCTTAAATGCCTAAAGCCTAAGTAGACTTTGCCTTTTAGACTAAGTCTTTGTTTTATTTATCGTCATTTGGGCATTAACTGGAAAAACAACTTGGCATTCTTCTGTTGCATATTTTTCCAAAACAGTTTCCTAAGTCTTTTAAAGTCAATAAAACGACAGACTTCTTCCCAAGTTCTGGAGCCACAGCCCCCATCAGCAATCCCTTCAGGTACTTCATTCTCCTTTAAAACAGCTTTATTCTGGGGCTGGCCCCGTGGCCGAGTGGTTAACTTCATGCACTCTGCTACAGGCGGCCCAGTGTTTCGTTGGTTCAAATCCTGGGCGCGGACATGGCACTGCTCATCAAACCACGCTGAGGCAGCGTCCCACATGCCACAACTAGAAGGACCCACAACGAAGAATATACAACTATGTACCGGGGGGCTTTGGGGAGAAAAAGGAAAAAAATAAAATCTTTAAAAAAAAAAAACAGCTTTATTCTAATTTGGAAACTGTTCTCTTTGTGGTGTGTCAACTTAGAGTCAAGAACCTCTTACAATCAAAGTCTTTAACTGAGAAAGAACCTAAGCATTGGAAACTTTCCTCCATACTGTTGCAAGGCAAGCAAAAACACACCTAGAAAAGGTTCAGAAGTGGAGTGCAGTAGGCCTGGCTGGCTAATGTACACTTCCTAAGAGCCTCTTGGACAGTAGTACCGAACTCTCGGGATCTGTAAAACGGAACAGCAAGGAACCCTAGAAACCATCCAAGCCAACCCCACGCTTCCCACAATTGGGGCTGAGCAGCCCAGAGAAGGACCTTGGTCTGTCCAAGGTCACAAAGCAAGTTATTGACAGAACTCAGTTTAGAATTTACAGACTTCTCATCTTTCAGCTCCTATTCTTTCCACCTCACGCTTCCTTATAAAGTAAAATGGAAACAACGGGATCAGAGACCATGGAGAAAACAATCTATTACTATTGCAAAAACTGTAAATGGTCTTCAAGTTTTCTGACAAGTGTGAACTATCAGAGACCAAAACACTCCCAGCAAAGAAAATGAGCTTTTCAGATTTGACAACTCTACACCATGGGAAGATGCCAAGGACCCTAAGGACTCAATCACATGTGAGCTTGGGGCAACAGCTGATGTTTTTTAGGTGTTTAGAAATCACTTACTAAGTCTGTACAATATTCTAACACAGTTCAAACTGTTTAAAAAGAATGACTCATACCATGAATGATTAGTCTTTCACTTGTAAGCAGGATGGAGTGTTAGGAGATTAGATGCAAGGAAAAGAGCTAAGAGACTGAAGTCACCCAAAAGCGGAGTGAAGAGGAACTGAAATGGGAGGATAAACTGGTAAAAGAAAACACAAGTCCTGAAGTCATTACAAAGGAAAACTGGACAGGTCTTGGAAACAACTCAACAGATACAAGGAGAAAAGAGAAGAAAAGAAAGATGACTAAAGTTTTTAGATGCCTAGAATCCAGGGGGTTTTGGGGGGAACTTGTGTGGTCCGTCCAACCCTGATATTCTTCTATTTTTTTCCTAATAACTAAAATCAATTTATTCTTAAAAAAAATTAAACTAGAAAATTTAAATACAACATTTTGGGGGAAAACTTTTTTAAATCCTTATTGAAGAAGTTTTGATGACAAAGGGACTTCAAGTGCTGACAGGTCTGCTGAATGCTACTTACTAATAGAACAAACAGATCAATCTCTAAATTAGTCTTCTCACCTATGAAACTCCTCCCTCCTACTTCACAGGACCGTTGTGAGAATGAAATAACACACATGACAGCATCTAATCCAGTGTCCGGCACACAGTAGATGCTCAAATGTTGGATCTTAAATGCATGAATTGTCAGCTCTCCAAAACAAAGACCTGCTTCCATGTAACTTTTCTCTCTGCCTCTCCCACCTATAGCTCTCTTCAGCAGTAGGCCCAAATTTACAAGTTGTCTAGAAAGCATAAAGACTTTTTTTTTTATAACAGGCAGCCCTGCCTGGGCTCACAAAACCAAACCAGCTGTGAACTACAAGATAGAAAGTCGGAGAGTGGGCCCCCTGCCCGGTCACATGACCTGATTTCACTTCATGTCAGGCCTTGATCAGCACTTCTGGCTGAGAGCTGAGGACGCCCTGTCTCTGCTTCCCAGGCGCACCTCACCCCCATCTCAACCCCACCCCTAAATGCCGCTTCAAGAAAACACAACTGTAGGCCGCGTTTCTCTCAAACTCACATCAACCACGACGCTCCACTTTCAATTCAGCCCCTTTAACACTCCCTACTCATTTCTAATTAACTCATACTGTCTCTTTTAGAATGGCTTTTTCACCCCTTCCTCTTCTCCCTTGCCCCCACCACTTTACCCAAACAGCCGAGTTTCAAGCCTTTGTAAAATCATTGATTGGCTTGACCTTCCTCTCCCCTTCCAGCTTATTCAACCTTGGCCCTTACTTCTTTTCCGCTCATCCACAACCCATACAAGGGTATTTAAGTAAGAGACAAGATGAGGGTTTATTTTCAGTAAGAAGATATTCAAAGCTATACACACTGAGCTGCAGGCCTTTCTTCACAAGTATTCAATTCCTCATCTCTTTCTACTATTTAAGAGAGACAGGCAGAAATGCCTCATTTTCCACTAATCATGCCAATTTACCCATGTATTCAACTTCTTACTCTAGCATGAAAATACACTATTTAGATATGTTAGGCCTTTCTTTTCTAATTTCCTACAGTTTAGTGGATATGCTGCTTGGTCCCGCCTACAGTAATTTACAGTAGATTGCAGTATCAACAGTCAAAAATGTTAGCAGAATCTATAAATGTGTCTGACTTCAACAAGACTGAATTTCTTGAGGATAGGAATCAAGTCATAATAGTTTTCATATTTCTTAACAGCATACAGTATTCTGTCTTCTATATGAGACATTCAACCAACTTAAGAAACAACAAGGTAAGGGAGAAATAACGCTGAACGGGGACTCCATAAATGTGAATGCGGATTTGCTGACAATCTGAGTGAGTTTGGGACAATCACATTCTCTGGCCCTGAGAAACCAGAGTGCCAATGGGTCCGGCCCCATGGCCAAGTGGTTAAGTTCACGCACTCCACTTCGACAGCCCAGGGTTTCACCAGTTCGCATCCTGGGCGCAGACATGGCACTGCTCCATCAGGCCATGCTGAGGCGGCGTCCCACATGCCACAACTGGAAGGACCCACAACTAAAAAAAATACACAACTATGTACCAGGGGGCTTTGGGGAGAAAAAGGAAAAATAAAATCTTTAAAAAAAAAAAGAGTGGCAAGCATCAGGCAGTGGAGTAAACTAATTCTAGGATCACTTTCCCCTGACAATCTAGCAAGCCCATGAGTGAGAGAAGGTGATCCCACATCCCTCCCTCCCACTACAGTTGAAAGAGCCCAGGCCTCTTGGGGGCCAAGACTTCTACCTGATCACTGAACAGTTGTACACACAGGCAGCATCCCAAAATTACAGATGAGGCACTCCCCAATACCTTGCAATACTTTGCTGGCCCATCGCTGGTGGGTAATTAACACTTATCTGTGTCTGTCACCTCCATGACAATATGCTCACATATGACTATACGCACCTTGAAGACAGCCTGCACCTTACTCCTTTTAAATACCTCACAAAGCCCAGTACCTAACAATATAATCAAGTTTTTTTTTTTTTTGAGGAAGATTAGCCCTGAGCTAACATCTGCTGCCAATCCTCCTCTTTTTGCTGAGGAAGACTGGCCCTGAGCAAACATCTGTGACCATCCTCCTCTACTATATTGTGAGACACCTGCCACAACATGGCTTGATGAGTGGCGTGTAGGTTCGCATGGGGGATCCAAGCCAGTGAACCCTGGGCCACCGAAGCAGAACGTGCAAACTTAACCAGCTGTGCAACCAGGCTGGCCCTCAATATCATCAACTTTTAACCTGAACTGAAAGGTGGTAAAGATAGAGCAAGCAAAAACAGGAGTTCTGTGACCAATGATCACTCTACCGATAACCTTGGGGCAAGTCAAAACCCTGCCTGACAGATAAGGGGAATTACTTTGCAACCTGATGTCAAGGTGCATTGAACTCTGACAAAAGTGAACTGAGTTATTTTTAAATGGTAGTTGTTGGTGGTGAATTAGCATTCTTGTGCACTAAATATCCACCTGTTTTTAACAGTTCCCAGTTAAATATTTGTATAATTAACTGGTCTACAATCTGCTCTGAGTTAGGAAACGTGTCAGTAGATTATCTTTGAAATCCCTTCCAATTCTAAAGCTCCCTGATTTTCTATGAATAAGCTCAGAGTGATCCAAGAATCAGAAACCCTCCTCTCCTTCACCCAGTCTGCTCAAGTAACCCTGGCGGGAGGAGATGTACTGTCCAACGTAAGTAGTTCCCAAGAAGGAAAGCACGGCGAGGAACAGGCGCAGGTGGCTCAGCTCCCAGTGCCTCGTACAAAGCATCCTGAAATCACCTAACTGAGACGCGGCCCCGGACTACTAAGAAAGCTTTGTTTTAGAACTTGAGAAACGTGAGTCAACCCGTCCCCTCTTTGTCCCTAACTAGCTCTAGCCTCGTAAGAAGTCACCTCTCCTATCTATGGGACGGCAAGTTGGACTAGAATCTCTAAAATCCTTTCCAGCTCTGACATCCAAAAAAGTCCCAGGTGAGCAGAAGGGAAGATGGCCGGGGCACCCCCACTTTCTGCCCAGGGGTAAGTTCAAGTCCACCTGCTGATGCGGAACAGCGATTCCCAACAGGGGACACGTCCCCTAAGAGGGTCTAATAGGATGGGGGCGGGGGACAGGGAGGCTGTTTCAAACCACATCCTTCTTCTCTTTGCAAGGAAGTGCGCCAAGTTCCTCCAGTGCATGAGGAGGAAGGCAGAGACTGACAATCACTGCCGCCCAAGTGTGGACCTTTGATCGCCCGTGCCCAGGGAGGACCAGCACCAGGACCGCACCCCGGCGAACTAGGGGTGTGGCGACGGGTGCTGTGCGCCCGCCGGGACCACGGAGGGGCTCGGGCGCACTCACCCACAGACTGCTGAAGTAGTCCAGCCCGCGGCAGATGAGCGCGCCGGCGTAGGCCAGCAGCACCTGCACGCCCAGGTAGCTGCCCAGGCTGTAGAGGCCGTAGAGCAGCGGGCCGCCGGCGCCGAGCAGCAGCAGCAAGCGGCGGCGGCGCAGCGCCTGCTCGCCCAGGGCCTCGACGCCGTAGTCGGCGAAGCAGAGCGGCAGCAGGAGCGCGGCCAGCACGATGGGCGTGTGCGCGCGGTGCAGGCGCTGCAGCCAGTGGCGGCCCAGGCGCGTGAGCGAGCTCTTGAAGGGGTGCAGGAAGGTGCCGCACAGCACGGCCCAGAGCAGCGGCCGCAGGAAGGCCTCCAGGATGAAGTAGACGAGCACGGCGGCGGCGCAGCACAGGCACACGAACAGCACGGCCCCGGTGTTGTAGAAGGCCTGCTTGATGGGCTTGTCGAAGCGCAGCGCCAGCGCCGCCGTCCGCGGGGTCTCCCCGCAGCCGCCGCCGCCGCTGCCCGGCCCGACCGCGCTTGGGACCTGCGGCGCCGAGTCCGGGGAGCCCCGCGGACTCGGCGCTTGGTCAGAGCCGCCGCCGCTGCCGTCGTTGTCGGCCATAGCACTTCTGCCGCTGCCGCCCCCGAGAGGCGGTACTGGGAAGCTGGGCGAGGGCCGCGGGCGAGAGGCAGGGCGCGCGGCGCGTGGCATTGTGGGAGTTGTAGTTCCTAGTTGGCCACCGACCGCTTACTGGACCTTTGAGGAACTACAACTCCCAGAAAGTATAGGGCGAGTTCCGTCGCCCCCCGGGCTCATTGGTCCCTGCAGGATCCAGGTAACAGGTTTTTGGGCCGACAGTTTACCACCCGGAAAGGAAAAAAAAAAAAGCTCCCTTCACCCCATTGGTTAATATGAACTTTTCGGGAGGCGGAATCTCGAAAGAGGCACTGCAGTCACAGATTGAAAACCCAGGCTGCACAGTAGAATCCCATGGGGGAGTACTTAGCAAAAGACGTATCCCCAGATTCTATTTTATTGATTTATTTATTTAATAAACACTTAAAGTGTTTGCTCTGGTGTAGTTGGCAGGATTTTAAATCGCGATTACCATATGGCAGACCCTGTTCTAAGTGCTTCATTCCCATTAACTCATTTAATCCTTAGAACAGCCCTACAAAGAAGGCGGTGTTATTATTCCCACTTTACGAAGAGGAAAACTGAGGCACAGAGAAGTACCTTGTCAAGGTCGCACAGCCAGTAAGTGGCAGAGGCAGGATTCAAACTCAGAGTCTAGCTCCTAAATCTATTCTCTCACCTACCATGCTAATTGGTCTAACAGGTGATCCTTTGGCCTGTTTTTTAAAGCTCCTCAGAGGCGTGTAATGTGCAACAACTGTTGACAACCATTGGTGCAGGTGTCAGTGTGGGAGCAATCTAAACTCCTGAAAGAGCTCTAGATCAGAGTCTCAAACTGCCATTAGTTCTTTCTGAGACCTGGAGTCAGGTCAATTAAGCCCCCAACCCAAATTTTCCGTCTGTCACATGGGAATGATAATAATAGAAGCTCTTGTCTCAGCGTTGTGTGAAAAAGAGGAAGCTCTGGAGCAGTGCAAGGTGCTTCTGTTCTCCTGCTGGAAAGATCCCGGGATCCGAGCCTACTACTCATAACATATCTCAAACAGATTTTTATTTTTTAAAAAAGAAGAAAGAAGGAAGGAAAGACAAGAGGGAAAGAAAGCAAGCTTTTATTGAATATCAATATGTGAGTGCTTTGAAATCCTGCAGGTGATCCCTTTTCTGTTTGCAATAAGCTTTCCTACTAATTTCAATATAATTTTTGTTTCTCTTCTAAAGTAGACGTGACAGGTATCCTTATCTACAGTTTTCAGATGAAGAAACTCCTGCTTACTAAGACTTAGAGGCAAGGGGATTCAGTGGATAAAGAAAAAGTAATTCCTTTCCACCTTGTTTTTAGGTTTCAGGTCACGGTCCTTGTTTTTCAAGTGGTCTTTGGACTTGGACTCTGTAAATATTTTGCTTCCCTTGTACTGCCATTTGCTTTGCTTCTTAACTACTTTGTCTACGGCTGCTGAGATTATGATTACAAACTATGGTCACATCTGCTTTCAGTGTCCATTTTACAGTGACTCAGGCTCCCACTTATATAACAACAATGCCTCAGTCTCTCTCCCAAAAAGTCCTCAGCAGCTTCTAGGGAGTTCCAAAGGGGTTGCCTCACACACACCCGGAGACATGAGTCAGCCACCAACCACCTCTGTCCACCCTGCTGCCCACACAGCTCACTGAGTCCAGCACCTGTGTCATTATTCCCAGATCCTGGATGCTCCCAAACTTGTAATCCTCTGGGTGCAAAAGCAGAGCTGGGTTCCACTCAGAGATAGGGTGGAAGTCCTTCTTCCTGACTTGCTGACTCTGTGCCCTTTTGTCACTCAAGCCCTAGACCAGGTCACTTGTGCCCAATGTATGATAACTCCTCTCATGAAGATTTCCTTCATGTCTGGCCTTCAGGCCTCGAAGTACAGGGGCTCAAAACCCATCCAAGGGTCAGTGAGGGGACAAAGATCAAACCATCCCCTCTGTCCTCCTCCAACCAAAGACTCGGCTCTCTTCCTCTAGTTACAAGAGGAAAGCTCCATGTTACATAACGAAAGCATCTATCAATGGATACAAACAGAAACTGACATATGTATGCCCTGGACATGAGCAGGCAGAGGTAACGTGCCTAAATTGTGCTGGGGCCCCAGCTCAGCAAATCGAAAATGCCCTGTCATGGTGCTCTGCTTCTAAGTGTCAATGAAAGGCAAAATTGCTGAACATTTCAAAACTGTTCTCATGGCCAAAGCAATAGAACTGACAGGTCTCTGACAGAATTTCTCGTCAAAAATGGAACTCTAACAGAAATGAAGGCTGAAGTACTAGAAACTAACTAGACTGACATTTATATAGCCTAACGCAAGGCTAGGTTCCCGCAGGATTTTGCTCATCCCTCTAGGACTGCACTCACCACACTACAATCATTTACATGGGTTTGCTTCATTTCTGTGTCCCCAGCACCTGACACAGCATAGGATCTTCATAGTACAGAGTGGAAGCTCAGTGTTTGCTGAGCAAGTGAATGAATGGTATGATTTCAAAAAAGCCTATTTGTGCTTCCTGTGAAAAATAGTATTGAAACACTGGGGATGTTTCTGCCAGGTATTCTTATGGTTGAGAGCAGAGAAAAATTAAAATATTGAGATGTAGGACATACAAACTAAATTTGAGAAGGGCACACACATTCCACTTAAATCTCTAGTTCACAGGGCATGTGCTTTTAGGCATCTCCTCCAAAATGCTAGGGTACTTGGGTTTTCTTTCCTTTTTAAAAAAAATTATTTTATTGAGGTCGTATTGACTTATAACATTGTGTAAATTTCGGGGGTACACTATTATATATCAGTTTCTGTATAGACTGCATTGTGTTCGCCACCAATAGCCTAGTTTTTATCCGTCACAATACATACTTGCCTCTTTACCCCTTTTGCCCTCCTCTGACCCCTTCCCCTCTAGTAACCACTAATCTGTTCTCCTTATCCAGTGTTTGCTTGTCTTACACATATGAGTGAAATCATACGGTGTTTGTCTTTGTCTGACGTATTTCGTTTCGCATAATACCCTCAAGGTCCATCCACGTTGTCGCAAACACTTGGATTTTCTTTCTTGGCCCTACACAGCAACTCACTGCGACGACGTCATGGAAGAACAGCCTCCTTGGGCATCCAGGATACAGTGGAGATGAAATGGACTCAGAGGAGTGGATCAAGCTGACTCTGGGACCACACTGCCTTTGGCCTTCCTATTGTATGAATCAATAAATTTCCTAATCATTTAAGCCAGTTTTAGTTGGGTTTTACATTTCTTGCAACAGAAATTTACATTTTACATTTCTGCAAAGCTCTCTGCCTGATATGGTGATAATACCTACATCATCGTTTGCTGTGAGGATAAGATGAGAGAGTGTCTAAAGCAGCAGCCCAATGCCTAGGACATGGCGAGAACCCAACAGTGGCTCTCAAGGGTGGCTCTCCATTTTGTCCTAGAGATGCCAAGAGGCACCTCTTGAACAATTAATGTCCACAGACTCCCAAGGTATCAAGATAACAGCCCTAGAGATAAAACAAACGTAGACAGCAAGAGGATTCTCCAGGACATTGTGTCTATCTCAGAGTCCTCCAAGTGTCTCAGCAAACATTTACTGACTTGTACTGAACGCCTGCTTTCTACAGAGTCCAGTACTTACGATCACGTACAAAGTGGTATGTACAGTGCAGGAGGAGAGACCACGTGGAAATGTAATCAAACAGACATGCATTCAGATTCCAAATACGAGTTACCACTTTCCTTTGCTCAGTCCAGGACAGACATTGCCAATCAACCACCGAACTCTTTCTCACTGAGCCTAGACCCAGCCTCAAAATCCTTCACAGCTGAACATTCTAGAGAACCACTACCAACTGAACAAAGTGAGCACACAAGATGAAACTTATTTGCCTTCCCTACTGCAACGAACCAAGTGTCTGATACTAGATAAAATTGGTAGACTAAAAACACAGATACCTGGTTTAGAAGAAAAGAGTTTGGGAAGTCAAAATTAGTGCGTATGTAAGAAATTGCTAACAGATTTTAAAAAAAAATCTCAGGGGCTGAAGGACAAATGATGCAAACCAGTCTGACACCATCAGCGCCTACCTGACTCCCTGACTCCTCCCCCTCCTTCCTCCTCTTCCCACACTGGGACACATGACCCCACTTACAGTGCAGGTCCTGCCAGTTCACTGAGCCCACTGTAGCCTTTCTTGCCTCCAGGTTCCTGTCCTTCTGGTCTGTGGGATCAGCTGCAGCTAACCTTCCATGCCATGTCAACAAAGACAATTTTATCAGTTTGTAAAAGGTCAGGGAAGAGATTATCAAATTGATTCAAGGAACCCCACTGAGACCCGTGTACCCAGGAGAGGGCCAGATAAATAAAAAGAAGCTTGGGCAGCTCTTTTGGGAAGAAACAAACATACAAACTTTTTTTTAAGTTTGCAACCAAAGCAGCGCCCCCTTCCTCTTGTAGAATGGGAGGAAAGATGGTAGAGAGGGTGGGCATCTGCAAGGTGAATTTTGTGATAACAATTACGTGCTGAAAGCCAGAACTGCCTCTCCAGAAAGTGGCTGGCCTTAAGTGTTGTTCGGGGGCAGGTCCTCCTCTTCACTAGAGTGATTTCCATTGTATCTGGACCAGTTGAAGCTTGAGAGTTAGGGATCAGGATTTGGAATTCTTAGCCCACCCCTTCCTGGACTCTACTCCCAACGATATACTCAAACCAAGGCTGAGGCCGCCTGGTGTATCAACAGCCAGCCTTCTGCTACAAATTGGAGCAAGACTGAAAACCAGAAGATGGTGGATCATTTCAGATTGGCCAGACTAATCCTTTTTCATTTATAAATAAACCGTCTTTATTTGAGACTCAAGTCCTGCTGGTTTTGAATTTTAAGCGGTTATTTGTTTCTATACTCTTGGCACCACACTGATGTCACTGCAGCCTCTAGCTGGTCTCTCTGCCCACCCTCTTGCTCCACTCCAGTCAGTTCTACATTGCAGCCAGTGTGATCTTTCTAAAATACAATCTGATCTTTTCAAAGCCTCCTTACTCCGTGGGAAAGTGTCCAAGCTCTTGACTACGACTTGCAAGGTCCTCTGTGATCTGGCCTCTGCTCACACCGCCTCACCTCTCCCCACTCCCCATTTTATCCTTTATCCTCCAGCATTGTGGTGGAAAGAACAATGGCCTCCAAAGATATCCAGGTCCTAAGACCCGGGATCTGTGAAGGACATTACCTTACACGGAAAAGGCACTTTGCAGATGTAATTAGATTAAGGCTCTTGAGAGGGGGAGGTGATCCTCGTTTATACCAATGGGGCCTGATGTAATCACAAGTGTCTTTATCAGAGGGCGGGAGGGAAATTAGACTACAGGAGAGGAGAAGGATCTGACCCCAGAGGCAGAGATTGGAGTGACGAGGCGACAGGCCAAGGAATGCCACAGCTACCAGAAGCTGGAAGAGGCAAGAAAGGATTCTCTCCCTGGAGCTCCCAGAAGGAACCAGCCCTGCCAACACCTCCATTGTAGCTCCATAAGATTCAGTTCAGACTTCTGGCCTCTAGAACTCCAAGAGAATACATTTCTGTTGTTTTAAGCCACTAAATCTATGGTAATCTGTTACAGCAGCAATAGGAAACTGATACAAGCCTTGTCAAATGACAGTGGTTCCAGAACACATCCTGCCGGTCGCTTCTTCTGAGGTCCCGTCCCCTTTCTTGGAGATGCCTCCCCCCCCACCCCCCCGCGCCTGCTTTAGTTCTCCCCCTTCCTTGAGGTTCAGCTTCAGTAGCATCGCCTGCTTTCCTGGTTGCCCCAGGCTGGGTGAGAATCCCTACTCCAGGTTCGCACCACATCTGAGCATTGCCTTACCACTGCATTCACCAGAAGGTACCGTCACGGTATTCATGTGTCTGACTTCCCAACTAGGCTGTGAGCTCTTAGGGGCAGAAATCAAGAGCTGTTCTTCCTGGAGTCCTCTGTGTGTAGTGCCTAGCATATGGATTGGCATGAGTCCTCTATATTTATTGAATGAATGAGTAAACAAGTGGTTAAACTTCTTGACCTCCTGGAGCAGGTGACTTTCACATCCACTCCACTTCAGCTGTCTCTTCTTACAGCTTATCCTCTGGCCCTGGCACCTGCCATCAGCCGGGGTCAGGTCTGACAGCTGGGCTACCCACTGAGAATACTGCAAAATAAGTACCACGGGGAAAACATAGAATACCCCAAAATAACAAAATGTTTGGGGTTTTTTGGAAGGGTAAGGATTAGAGCCTATAATGGAGAATGTGGTAATGCCTAATTCCTCCTTAACATGCCATTCCTTGAGTTTCTCAACCTAGCCCCGGCAGGACATGCAGCTCAGTTACTACCTGCTGCAGCTTCCATTGCTCCCTGATGATTCATAAAACTCTACAACTAAACTTCAACTATTCTTAACACATAATATGATTTAGTTACCAATAAGCTCATAATTGACATTCTTAGAGTTAGTTACGCACTATTCACCAGCTAATACACTTTAAGTGGGACTATAGGCTTCCATTTACCATTTGATAAAGGTATTAGGCTGAAGCTGGAAATACAGGTTTATTTTGCAAATTGTTTGTCTACAAGGATTTTTACCCAACGACTGCAACGTGATTTTCCTCCTTGTCAAACAAGACAGGCTGTCATCTTCTCCAATGTCTACAGACCCAGGGAGACTTTACTAATGCAAGGATGTAAAACAAACAAAACCAAAAATGCACCAGAGCAAAGCAGTAAGGAATTATAAACTAACTTTAATTACATCAAGAGGAAGAATTCCAAACCATGTTGAGAATGTATATTTTAAAGTTTAAATCTAGTTAATATATTCTAACTATAACATAATCCTCTAAACATAAAAGTATTTGTGATGGCAAATAAACAGAACAATCGTTTAGGAGCATCTAGGAATATTGCTACAATCAATTTATGTAAATAGAAATCCATGTCTTTATTAGTAAGGTACCACACAGAGTAAAAATTCACATAGGACAGGCTTATAAATATACATAAATTTCAAAATCAATCACAATTGAACATTAGGTACACAATTATTATAAAAGAAATATAACCCATCAATGTCTATTTAAAGGCATAGTTTTTACAAAATGTATTTTGTAGACAGTCTCAAAAAAGTATATTAATACTCCTGGAGCCAGATTGTCCCAGCATGTGTGTGCGTCTGTGGGACTAAGGCATGTGGAGAAGCTGCATTCATCTTCCAGGGGGCCAGCACATTGTATGTGATGAAATGGTTACCGCCCTCGTGACCTGGGTGAATGCCACAGCCACCAGCACCCCGTAACCCTAGGGTATTGCTTACTCTCCAGAAGATGGAACTGAACACTATTCGCCTATTAGCAAATATCCAGGTGGAAAACTGAAAGCAGTCAAGCATCAGTCTATTTTAAGTGAAAAATCCCAAAGAGCTTGATGATTCACTTCAATTTTTCAGTCCCCAGACATATTTAAGATCACATTAGCATAGCCATTATTTTTGTGAAAAGAACTTATAACTTAAGTCACTTGTTAAATATAAAAACAAGTCTGACTTGAAATTAAATAATTGAATAACTGAATAAGGAATCTAATTAAATACAAAACAGGGAAAGGTTGCATCAACATGCCATTTACTCAGTTAACACTAGTCTTAGTTTCTTAACTAACAGTATGGAAAAGTCAAACTCAACAATGATACTTTATACATTCTTCACAATTCATATAATGTTGAGTGGAGGAGGCAAATCTTATTAAAGGATCCAGGAATCCTTTCTACAAACTAAATTACTATAAACTCAAGGGTAGTTTTGCCTGTAATACACATATGTTTTATCTCTTGGGTTTTAAAGCATTCAAGAGATCAGAAACAGAAACAATCCTGACAAAGACCCTCAGATGGTCATGGTACGTATACATAGGCATTTGTGTATAAAAACACACATACCTTGTCATGTATATACAAATATATACAAACACACTGATAATAATCAAACTGTTCACTAAACATAACCAGTTCTGTTTAGAGAACAAGGATATACAATACAATTATATACAACAAAGTATACACATCTCAGCATTTGGCCTATTGCAGTGGTTCTCAAACATTTTTCATTATGATACACAAGGTAGATACTATAGTAACAGGTGTAAAACACTCCAGTAGGTGTAACAGATTTTGATAACAGTTTTTAAAAAGTCTCCATTTTTTAAATGTCTACAGGGAAATAAATTACTCTGAAACATTGTAATCCCCACCATGAAAAGCAATTCAACAGTAAAGTCCCTCATGATTGCCACAGCTTAGGTAAAATGAAACTGCTGCTTACCCAGCTCTGACTTTACTGTGACAGAGCTGAACAGCTCAAACAGAGATCGCAAAGCCTAAAATATTTACCAGCTGGCCCTTTAGAGAAAAAGTTTGTTGACCCCTAGGCTAGAGTGAAGAATAACACACCTCAGTGGTAATATCTCTTAAGCACAAAATCCTGAATATAGACAGTAAACTTAATTACAGAAATATAGTAAAAACCATCTGGGATGGAAATCCATCCATGAGTTGTCCAAACTTTCTGATTTCCTTAATGACAAAAGCCATCTCAAGATAATTAAATATGGCTCCTGCATTTTGTCTGAAATTGTGTTCATAAATTCATCTTTGAGATTACAAGGGAGCAACAGAAGGGCACTGGGCTCCAAGTTAGACCTGGGCTTTAGGGAAGTCACTGCTAAAAATTAACTAAGACAAATACATTCTTCTAGTCTTGTCCAATCTGTGTATTACTGAAAACAAAAACAAAACAAAAAAGCAAAAAACTATTAAAAGCACTAAAATGACTGGTAAAGAATTTAAACGTTTTTAAGAAGAGAAGAAAGTTCATAGAAAGTAAAATGTACCTCTTTCCCCAAATACAACTATAAAAAGTCCTCCTGGTCATTGTGAAGTAGTAAAGGGGGAAAAAAGCACCTGTCTAAGTTGAATGTAGATGGTGGGTTCCATTTAACAAACCGTTTAATGAGTGTGCATAAAGGCATGAATGTGGAGGAAATCACGTCACCTCCCCAGGCCTCCTCTGCTGCCCCTTTGTAAAATTAGCCCATGAAATGGTCTCTAACGTCCTTGCCAGCACTGGTAATGTATGCCAAATGACTAGCCTCAATTTCTTCATCTGTTAAATGGGATTAATAACAGAATCTACTTCCTCTGGTTGTTGTGAGGATTAAATGAGTAAATCCATGTAAAGTGCTTAGAACAGCACCAGATATATTTAGCTAGCATCATTACTCAATTTAGGCATTTTACAAAAAACATTGGTGAGGCATCTCCCCTGTGACAAGTACTATGTCAGAAAATGGGAATAAAGAGATAAAACAGAAGTTTATTCTCTTATATTAGGTAAGAATGAATGGAATTGAAGTACAGAGTTTTCATTTCAGAATGTCTATAAATTGAAGATTCTCTAAGATGATGGTCAAATGCTGCTCTGCATCCCTGATCTGTGAATTCTTATTTCTGAATAATGATTATTGTTAAAAATGTCAATTAAGGTGCACTGCGGGGCAAAGCAGCATTGTTACTAACAATCTTTCTATTTGTGTTTCAAGACAAAGTTAGGTGTTTGTTAACGGAATCGTTTGATCACAGGTGGAAGAAAATAAAAACGTTAGCCAGTCAGGCAATGTTCATGAAATACAAGGTTTCTGAACCAAATGAACTTGCCATACAAGCACAGTTTCATTTATTTATCTATTCGACAAATGTTTGCCGAGTCCCTACTATGTAGTAGTGTCTGCTACAATGACAAGTAACAAGAAATGGTCACTGCATTAGGGAGTTAGCAGGGAGGACAAGCCAGCAACTACAATAAAGAGTGATGAGTAATATGATTGGGAAGCCCAGTGTGCTATGGGAGCAATTGGTGGGAAACTAACCCTACCTAGTCCAGGAATTGGAGGAAGGAATATTTAAGCTGTGACGTGAAAGATGAGTTGGAGTTCAGCAAGCACAGGAAGTGGAGAATGTTTGGGCCCAGGGAACATCCTGAGAGGTGAGAAAGCAGGTCTGAAGAACTCAGAGCAGTTCAGTTTTGCTGGGACATAGCAAGCGAGGAGTGGTGGCAAAGAGGATATTGGAGGTAATCAGATGGTTTGCATTTTACCCTAATGGCAATGAGAAGTCCTAGAAAGTTCTAAGCACAAATACACAAAACTGGTCATCAAAGTAGGAAAACAATTTGTGAAATAATTAGCTTGACTTGAAATGTAAGCAGAAGGACAATCCATTAAGTTATTCCTTCCCTGCCTGCTACAGAGACTAGCCAAGTTGCTCTTTAGTTTTAATCTATTTATAGCTGAAATATGATACAAATAAGAGAGTGAAATATAAAAATATTTGCTTTCTTATTTACAACGTGGGCACCTGTATACTCAGGATCCTCACTACTAAACAACCGCTATAACTTAGAAGGTGATACACAGGCCATCCTTAGCCATGACAGGAGGACTCGGTTAGGGGAGGCGACGGTAGTCAGGTGGGGCCACCACCAGATGTCTTGAATTTGAATCTTACCCTGTTCCGTTGCTCACTTGATGTTATTTAATCTCTCCCCATCTGCAATAAGGATTATTTCTCCTATGTCCTCGGATGAGTTTGGT